ATCATTTAAATTTCGCGTTTTGCCGCAAGCGCTGAAACTCGATAGCCGCACTGATACCGATAGTGATGGCTATAGATCATTTAGGTAACAGAGTGACGAACTCTGTCAGCTTGTTTAGCAAACAAAATGGGTGGCGAACATGCGATCTGGCATAAATATTGATTTTTTTATGGGTGTAGTTTGTAACTATGTAGATGAGTTTACATACACGTGGGGATGGAGGATGTACGTGTATATACGAGCGTTGACTGTCAGTCAAGTGAGCGCAGCGTAAGAGGCGCGGTTTATGGCAATTTTGGCGTGACGAACTGTCGATATGCCTGAACGCGTGCATAAATTATGTATATACATATGTATGTATGTACATATACAATTTAAACTCAATCAAAATCTATTAATTTTATTTGACATGTAATTATATAATCAACGCTAAAGAGCTGTTAACTGTTGAAATATTAAAAAAAAAAGAATTTTTTATGGTCCGTTCGTTTTTTTTTTTAATTTCGCATAATCACAATGATTTCTCGCAACACAATTATTGTAATCATACAAAGTACTTAATGATTAATTTTTTCTTTTATTTCTGTTTTTTTGTCTTACGCGAACTCTTGAGTTCACATAAGTCTTATAATTACATGTTCCCATATACGAGTATATGTAAAGGTTTACGAATATGCGTACCCAGTAAACAATATACAGACTTGGAGGAAACTCTTTTCCAATTGCAATCGGCAATATATCGTGGCGGCCTCAATAGCAAAGTGGTTAACATTCGGAAAGACAGGGTTTGGCTCCTGGTCCAAGCAACGTCCAAGATAATATAAAAGCGTCTCCGAGTGTATTTCTGACCACATAAATATAATAAAATAAATAAACAAAAGGTCTCTTCATTTGGTGAAAAAACAATAAGTTCCACACCACACCACATATTGGAGTAACAACTGGCTTCATAACCGCGTTCGTGGATACAAAGCACCAATAATATTTACAGTGGGGAGCTCATGTGGATAAATATTACTGAAATTGGCCTTCAAATAACTGCAAACTCCTAAAAAACACATCAATCGAACTGAAATATACGTTTTTAAAATCTTAATTAATATAATATATATATATCTATATATATATATATATAGATATAAACTTAGTACAAGTTTTCAAACAAATACTCCAAATTTACAATGAATTTACTTCTGAGCGTTCATTAAAAAAAAATTGTTTAAACATAATGCTCGAGGCATACTCTCCACTAATTTTTCTATTAGTTTCTTATGAAATATATGTAGCTCCACTTCATTTGAACACGACTAAAAAACTCATGTAGTGCTATAGGTGTAATATTCTAACATGCCTGTCATTTCTCCAGTAAAACCCATCAATTTTCTATTGGATTTAGGTCCGAGATACAAGCAGACCACAGTATTTTTCAAAAAATTTGGTAATTAAGTCATTCTTAGACGATTTTTGAAGTCGGATGGTCTCCATCTTGAAGGAAAATAACTTCACATTCGGGATTAGCATATTTATCGATGGATTAGATTCCAAAATATGTAAGATAATCAGACCACACTATCAAGCTACCTCTTCCGCTTTTCGTAGTTTCTTTCAATAAGTATTTTTTTTTTAATTTTTTTTTGTAGGCGATGTTTGCCATCGAACTAAAATCTATTTGCTTTGGTCTCATCCGACCAAATAACCCTCTTCTACCCTCTTAAGCGCACCAAAACCTGAGACGTGCTGCAAAATATTTTCTTAAACAGGGTTGGCTTTTTTCCACTTTAACTGCCGCTGTTAGCAATTGCAACTCCCTTAGGCGTTGTCTTTTGCTTAGTAATCATTAGGCGCTTTATAGAACGAGCATCCCTATCAGTTGGCAATTGCGGGCGCGATTTTCTCGATTCAGATGCACTTAAATTCCGTCGTTTTCTCTTTTGGAATACGTTTCGAAGGCAAATTTTAAAATTTTTTTTTTGGGATTTTCACACGCTGATTCGTTCTTTTTTTTGTCATTTTAACAATTTTGTTTTTAAGACTTTCTGGTATTTTTCCATTTTCGCATCAAAACTTATTTTTGTTTTTTAAACAGGTTCTTCAGACTTCCACTTCGGAGGGTTTTACAGATATTTAAAGATCAATTTGATTGAGATGTATCCTCATGTGCTCACCATTGTATACACATGTACATACATATATATAATCTATCTTACGATAAAACGACGCATTAGTATTGAATTTGAGTTCACACCGTTAGGCTTATTGGGGAAATTTGTATGTAAATAAATTACTTTTGCTTCTGCTTGTTTGTAAATCATTAATCATGCTCTTTGATTAATACAGACATTTTTCAATTCAAATTGATGTACATATATATGTATATTTCAATTGCGCCTTCGCAACGAATTCACATTGAATTACAAATCGAAAGCAAATCTCAGCACCAACCACCAACGCAAACGCGAGCGGCAAACTTTAGACTTTAGTTGACACTTTGTCTTCTTTGCCAAATTCGGTTAATTGTTTTCTGCTATTTTCATGTATTGTTTTTTGACAGGTGAAATGCGATTGTATACGATTTGTTTTCTAATTTCGTACTTGAAATATACAATATTTTTGTGCGGAGAAATTTATTTCAAGATTGTTATGAATCACATTATTGCGCACATACTCTTATTCATGGTATAGTTCATGATATCTTTTTTAATTTTTTAATTTTCGAAAGTTCTAATTGTAATTGTCTTTGACCTTTTTATAACTAAAAGCTCCTCAAACGTTTGATACCTCATTGTTTAATAGTTTTATTGCTTCGAAAACTGGAAATGAAGCATCCACCAATTTGGGAGTTAGCTCGCAGAGAATAGAAAAAAATCAATTATAGCTCTTTTTTAGACCAGTTGGAGGCATCAAGTGTCCTAGTTCTATAAATATCAAAACTATATATATTTCGCAAAGCCAATATTTTACAACATTTTTGGGATAAGTGAATGGTGAATATATGTGAGCAGGTGGTAGCAAAAATAAATATCAAACATAATATCGTATGCCAATTTATTAGACATGATTACAGTGAATTTTATTTCGGCCTGAATAATTTTTTCGGAAATCTCTTCACCGCTAATTTAGTCATTTGCTTCGTTGCTCTTCAGATACTGGTAATAGGGCTATGGTTGGTCTTGCCGTTGTGGGGTGGAGGCTCAGTTGTGCTATCTTTGGTGTTAAAATTGATATCAAAATTAACAAAATTGATGTAGTGTTATCTTCCTCAACCTAAGAATTTATAACGTAGATCGACACTAACGTCGTTGTAGGAGAATTCGAAGCTTTCAGAAGCTTCAATAAGTCTATGCATAGTTATATTTCATGAAATTCATTTAATTGCAGTAGCCTTTCGGTTTCTCCCTTATTATTCTTGACTTAACTTTCGCATCAACTCTCTGTAACATTCTCATAAAATGTGCATTAACTTCTGAAATCTACACATTGGGCTAGGTTAAGTTGAATTGGTCGAGTGGTTTGAGTGACTCGCATAGATCATTTGCGATATGCTAATTCTTGGTGAGTTTCTAGCTTAAAAAATACCGCTGTTCTCTTTATGAATCGCTAATTGAAAGCCTTGTAGCTTTTAGTTTGCATTGTCTACCTTTCGGACGCTCATCACACATAGGTTAAAGGCGGCCCTGTATTAATACGTTCCCCCAGCGCGCAACAAATTGTCAAACGCTCATTTGTTCTTTTTATAATACAAAATTCTTCATCAATACTGTCGAATATTGATGAGCTTGGGCACCTTCCTTAACGCCGAAACACGGAATATCTCCTTAATAGAAAAGCTAAAGTGATTATGGATTTTTCACAATCAACTACGCTGGTTTTATGAGGTATCAGGAATTGATCATCTAAAAAGTGCTTTGTACTATTCTCAGTTGTCAGTCGATCGCTTCTTTTTCTTATTTCTAATTGGGATAGGCAAGTACGGTTTCTCTACTTTAGCTTTCACCTTGGATAGCGTAGAATACTTTGAAATCTGGAGGATTTGCTCACATGACCTAGCCAGCATGTCCCTTAATGCCTTGGTTTAATATAAACTGACTTTGCTTGCATTTCTTAACCTGTCTTATTTTGAATGCTTGTATAGCCAATTGAGTACTTGGAATGCTGTTAAAAAATAAATATCAATCCATAAAAATAATGAAGTAATTCAAACACTTTAGGCAGTGCAAAGCAACGGTCTCTTTTTAAACGTTTCGAGTTTTGACAGTTCTCACAACAAACCAAGCAAAGCTAGCATTGAATTAGCACCTTTAATACGCTGAACGGCAAAAACCGAAATTAATTTTTAATTTTTTTTTTAAATATTCTTAAATAGTTCACTAAAACTGTAATAGTTGCTCGGAACATTATTAGATGTTATTACTGTCACTACACTTACTTATATAATATATAATAGGCGCTGTGTAACCGCTGATGTGATCCGATTTCGCGGTGTACGTCTTGATGTTTTACCAATAAATTGAGAGATCTACAGTTTATTCTAAGCCACCTCCATCTCATGCCAGAAATACACTCGGAGGCCTGGATATGACTTGCCGAGGCGCGACCGTAATTATAAAAATTAATTTCCTATAATTTAAGATGTTGATCGAAGCAGGTATCGAGCCCCGGTCTTCCGAATGCTGGTACTTATTGCTCACCATGTCTCTCAATGTCCAAAATAAATCAGAGTCAAAGCATATATATGAAAGATTTAGTTTTTCCTTTTTTTAAAGACAAGTTTAAAGTTTCTGTAGACTTTCCCAAATATTGAATGAAACGTTGGTTGAATGAAATAACCGCGGCTTGCCGATTGCTATACAAGCAATTGTATTTTTTAAATATAAAAAATTAAGTTTTAATTTAGCTTAAGTGACGTCATTGACCGAAAATCATTGTCAAAATATTTTAACAAATTTTAGTAACTTATAACTCCAAGCTTGAATAATAACTCAATTCATTATCAATTTCAGCATGTCATCTAAACATCAGCAATTCACACCGAAGAGACACTTCACTGCCATTGTCATGTTTCCTGCCATTATCATCTACGCAATTCTCATTACATTGCCACATTGTACGCTTGCCGGCAGCTATGCGTTCAAGCCCAATATGCTTTCATTGAATGTAGCACAACATCAGCAACAACAATATCAACAACAAAATCAACCCATGTCTGCGTTGGCTTCTAAGGTACTCTTTCACAGTCCGTCAATAGCGAATATCTACAAGGAGATGATAGTCTCTTCGAAACCCTTACATCTTCGCAAACACGGTAATGGGTCGAAAGCGAAGAAAACTAAGAAGGACTCTAAAATCTATTATATACCAATACCACCCATGCCTTATCGTTATATACCCGGTGTTGGTTTGGACTATCAACCAACGAAAATTAAACCTATCCTCCAGGAAACACCACTAGCGTCTGGCAGTATGACTGGTTTGAATGAAATAGCTCATGTGAGTAGTGGCAACGGCGGTGCGCCAACAATTAGCTCTCAGCAGACCACAACGCTGAACCGAAAAAGCGAAAATAATTTGGCTGTCTTTAACAATGACATGGCGGCTTATGGAGGCGCAAATATAAACGAAATTCAAGTAAATCCCTATAGACCGACAGTTAGCGTGGGCGGGGAAAGTAAATTCCATCGTATGGATCGCGGTGATTATTTTTTCAATGGACGACCATTTAGACTGCAAGTGGCGCATGCGCAACCAAAGAATCAATTAACGCCACTTAATCTTAAGTCTAAACTTTATTTTAATAAAAAAATTATTTATTAAATTATTAAAACTAAGAATTAATGAAAAATACAATAACTAAAGTTTTTTGTTTTTATTCGTTGATGTTCACAGAAAGTATATGAACTAGTTAGGCACACTTTGCTCTTCTGGGCAAGGTCGAAAGGGTAGAATGTACGATTGCCAAGTTATCAACTAAAAGCTCTTAAAAAGTTTGGATACCAATTCATATGAATTGAAATGACTTGAAACGAGCGAGCTTCTCTTCAATTCTGTTGTGTATCACATATGGCAGATTTGTGGTCAGATGACGCTTCCGAGTGACTAGTAAATATTCATGAGAAGCTTTGACTCTCATGTATCTGATCGGTACTCAACAAATTCATATTGAAATGTAAAACATTTTACGGAGACCTTTTAGTTTATATTTCATTTAATTTGGAGTTGATGATATTTACATTATCGGCCTTAACAACCGCGCCGTTAGTTCTGCTTTCTCCAGGCTTGATAAAGAAGTGAGGCGAATGGGTTTGGTAGAGAACGAGGACAAGACTAAATATCTCCTGTCATCAAACAAACAGTCACCGCACTCGATACTTGGCTCCCACGTCATTGTTGACAGTCATAACTTTGAAGTCGTAGAGAATTTCGTCTATCTAGGAACCAGCATTATCACCAATAACAACGTCATTCTTGAAATCCAACGCTGAATCGCCTGGTAGAGAAGGACCTGGCTGGACTTGGTGTTTCCAATTGGCGCCAAACAGCAAAAAGAAGAAATGATTGGCGCACAGTTGTAAATAGACTATTATCGCGTAAGCGGTGTCTACGCCAGTAAAGTAAATAAGTAAGTAATTTGGAGTTCAGATAAAAAACTTAAAAAAAAATTGCAGAGCAGCTTGCATATACAGCATACTCGTAATATCACATATTTCGATATCAGCAACAGTTAAAGATTCTGCAGTTGACGTAAACTGGGTTAGGCCGCCGACGTCATGCACTCTCCCCTCCCCATGGGATGGCGATCGGTACTAAAGTACGGAGTCACAACAAAATCCTCGAGTTATTAGCCGGCAGCATCTGCGGTACAAATATTTTATTGGCCACTTACAAGCGAACCAACCAGCCGATCATAAATTACACTGCATCTAACAGAATACACGGTATTAGCGTAACGTAGCTGGTGAAGTACTGCTATATATTATATTTCGCAGTAGACTCCAAGGAACTTAAGAAATACTGAACTATAGGGACACCATTTAGTAATATACATATAAGAGAACTGCTGGCACGACGTGCTTCTATTCAAGTAGGGTCAACATACAGATTCTTCAATTTTCTTCTAGTGAAGAGCTTGAGCTGACCCGTCAAATCCCACTAAACCAGGCATAAATGAAGTCTGGATATTACGATATACTACGCGGACGCATTAACCGAGTTTTTGGTGGAGGACTATAGAATAGAACCCTGTCGTGGTAGCCCCTTGGTAAGAAATCTCTCAAGACCATAAAACTATCAGCTGTTTGAAGGTCCAAGTATACCTTACGTATATAAAAATGCAGTTAGTCCGAGAACGGCATTAATCACCTCTTTGAATATTCCCTATGGTCGACTCATCTAACATCTAACACCCCCTTCCCTTTTGCACGAATCTTCCTCCCATTAAATGAGATCGATGGCATCGACTACACCTGTTCCTTAGCTAAAGTTACTAGCCGTTAAAACGACAACAACAAAGGTTCAATAGCGCTTTTCGAGATAAAAAAAATATACTTTAGTCTATTCATGAGGAATACTTGTTGTTAGCACATACAAATGTACGCATATTTGAAAACACCGGAAAAAAATTGAGATACTTTCTCGGATTATAAAACGGCTAAGACTCGCTGTTACATATATTAATCATCACAAATCTCTATTTTACACTCTCATTATGGAAACATTTACAACAATATTTTGTATATAAAACTAGAATTTCATACAAAGAGACAGCTTGACAGCAAAGAGCTTGACATTCCCTGCCGATTTTACGGGAGAGAATGAAAAGGTTTTCACAATCAAGCTGGCTCCGGAAACTTGCTATCATTAAAATATAAATCCTAAGTCACAAACACCTTCCCCCTTAAAGAATCGGAGCAACCTATTCCGAAATCAGCATTCAAGAATTGGGAAATTAGACGTTGTTGGACAAATGAGATCTTCGTTTCCCAAAGAATTAAAAAAAGCGGGCTCTGGTCGGTGCAATAACAACATCTTCGTGGTATCAGCTCTGTTCGGTAAGAATTAGCGAGTAACGAAATTGCGCTCTCTGGTTTTTTATCTCACCGAACGCAGTTAAGTATAATAAAATTCGATAACAATGTTTACTGCCCATTAAGTCAGCGAACAGAAATAAAATATAATATTACGTATAGTAAACATTAACATATTATTATGTTATATTTTAAATTTCTTCTTCAATAAAAAAGAAAGAAACTAGTCAGACACCTAAAAATTGGGAATAGTTTTATGGTCCTGATATTTTAAAAGTACATCATGCACAATTTTGATTTCATCGACTTCGTGCCGGTAACTTTGATGTAAAAGAAGATCCAATGTTTGGTAGGCCGATTGCCGAAAATATCGATAAAATAATAAAAATCGTCAAGCCTCACATTGCACAAAAACCTATTTGGAACCACTTAGAAAAGGCTGGATACACAAAGAAGCTCAATGTATGGGTGCCACATGATTTAATATGAGTTAAAGAGAAAAAAACTCATGGGCAGAATTACCATTTGGGAATCGCTGCTGTATCGTAACAATGTCGACCCATTTCTGAAGCGGATGGTTTGCTTGTTGCCAACTACTGCTAAAACCTAGAGCAAGGAAAATAAATAATTCGAATTTATATTTAAGAAAGCTTTTGGCTTCTGTACCTTTCAAAACCTTTCCATTTCTCTTCCTTATACTTCTTTTAAGCGTCTTTACGAATATTTTATTTCTTGTATTGTACATAAATATAAAAATATATTTATATTGCAAGTATCTTAGTATTAACCGTAAATCAATTCCATTCAACTTAGCCATTCCCTTTTAAGAGGTAGAAATAAAATATTGGTAATCAATTCCATCAAGTGAAAGTAAATAAATCGTTGCTCATTTTATATTTTTTAATAAATTTATAATATAGCGAAATGATTGAGTAAATAAAATTAAAAAAAAAATTTCGATCACGTTTCTTCAGCCGACTGGCAGTAGGTGTAAGTTAACGGTAGTTAAGCAAAAAAAAAAACAAAAGAAACACCGCAAATTTTATTTCTTAATCAGTGAAGAAAAATACTTTGCTCAAGTAGCAATTTATTGTTATTATCTCTTTTATTTCTTCTTATTTTATTCTTTTTTTGTTGCCGTTAATCAGTTAATCGAAAGACTATTCGTTAGATTAGACCAATTAAATGGTTGGTCAATGATTTTATTAATGAGTACAAAAATAAAACCAATAAAATATATTGATTAGCTTTCTTTCATAATTTTGGCTTTTGTAGTTTTATTTAGTGTAAAGAAATGTTATTATTTTTTAATTTAAAAAAAATACCAGAAGTGACTAGCTTTTGATGAGTTTAATCTTATTGGGCTCAGATTCAATTGTATATTTCTAAATATTTATTTCTATAAAGAAAAACTATGTTTACGTAATTATTAAAAAAATATTTCCATAGTTATGTAATTTTACTTCCTTTATTAGATTTTCAAACAGTTTTTTCAAAAACTCTATAACAAGAGAATGTATTATTAGCCACTGGCTCTTAAGGCAAAAGAAAATATATAGGATTATCCATTTCGCGATATGACAAAAACATACTGACACTTAAAACGCTATAACTTTACTTCCAATAGATGAAATGTCATATAATTACTGGAAGTCGATAAAGGATAGCGGATTCTAACGCATTCGTCGACATATAGACGGCGCCACTAGAGGGCGCTAGATACAAAAAGTCCTGTTTACTTTGGAACGCACCTTGTATATATCTAACAAGTAAACATTTCTGGTTTCCTAGTGTAACCAAACTCCTCCGAAACGACCGATTTTTCAGAAATCTATATGCATTATTTTTGTTTGTGCTTGTGACTAACAACTAATCGGCTACTTCGTTTACTATTGGTTTCGGTTTCGCTGGTATATACAAGTATAAGCCAAGGCTTTTCCGAACGTGGACTTTTTCTACTTTCTGCAAGATTGAAACTAACATCGCGATATATACCAAGCTCTTGTGCAAACGCAAGGAAAGTTCGTCGGAGAAAAACTTGCAATCACAATAGACACAGTAATGGTTTTCTATTCGACTTGCATTTTTTCTGACTGAGAGTACTCATTCACAACTCTACATTAGAGAACTGCGGGATGGCATTCCAAGCTCAAAAGAAATGGTGGGATGAGGATTACCAGATACCGAGAGTTTAAATTAAAGCAAAATGATTTTCCAAGCAGAATAAGCGAGGGGTCGAAGTGCGGGAGTATGAAGGGCTTAAGAATCCAATCTGTTCGAAAGGGATTATTCTCCAAAATTTTGTAAAAAAATGTCTGCGAAGCCTTTATGACTCAAAATGGCTATTTGGCGACACATGCCATAATATGGAGGGAACACTTGTCCAGGCTGCTGAATGGCAGTGAAAGTGAAAGACACCCATCACGCGATCAATATTTATCACGATAGTTGAGTCGCTATCTATATTGAGGGATTGATGAACAGCAAACGTATGCTCCAAGTTCAAACTTCTTCAAAAATGATGCGAATCGTAACGTGAATGGTGAGCGCTATCGTGAGATAATATCGAACTTTTTTTTTGGCCCAAAATGCAAGAGCTTGACTTGCATGACATGTGGTTTCAAAAAGACGGTACTACATGCCTCACAGCACGTGCAACAACGGACTTATTGAGAGGCGAGTTCAGTGAACATTTTATTTCACAATCGAGACCAGTCAATTGGCCGGTCAATTGGCCGGATCGTGCGGTTTAACGCTTTTAGGCTAATTTTTGTGGGCCTATGTTAAATCTAATGTCTATACAGACAAGTCCGCTTCAATTTACGTATTGGAGGGCAACATTGAAGCATTTATTCGTGAGATACCGACTAAAATGTTGGAAAAAGTATGCCAAAATTGGACTAACCAGATGGACCATCTGAAGCGCAGTCACGGTCAACATTTTCATGAAATAATCTTCAAACATTAATATGAACCGTAATATCGATTCAAATAAAAATTTCATGCATTTTTCTAAATTTTATGTGTTCAAACTTCATAAGTCGGTCATTATTCCCGTGTTGCTAATACGGTGCAGACGCGAGGACGAGCAAGACTTCCGATGAATCAGCGGTAGCAGATTTGGGAAAAAGTTTTTGCGATGATTTGAGGTTATTAACGCATTGTTATCTGAGACAAACGATGTCATTGACATAGTTCAGCGAATTAAAAGTCAGCAGCTAAGTTGTGTAGGATATGTCGTACTTAAAAAATACTCCACGGAGCGGTAGACCCATTCACGAAAATTTCGATAAAATAATGAATATTGTAAGGTCTGACAGGCACTGTTTCAATCGTCCAGGAACTAAACATTGGATAAGACATGTTTGGCATCAACTGAAAAAGGCTGTTTATACAAAGAAGCTCGATGACTGGGTGCTACAAGAGTTAACAAGAAAAACCTGAAATCACTTACAGCAACGTCAAACAAAAACGGCCGTTGTCGAAGAGCAGTAAGACGATCTCCAAGCCAGTATTTACGGTCAAACAGGTTTTTTAGTGGTTGGCAACGGATCGACCTCTATGAGCTGCTCCCCTACGGCCAGACATACTGTCAGCTATTTAACCGTTTCAAAGAAGAGAGTGGCTTAAGAGCATTAGCTCCAAAATGGCAAAAATTTATCGAGAAAAATAGGACATATTGGCATAAATCGGATAATTCTCAGTATGATAAATAAATCCTTAAATTTAATGCAAAAATAATAGTCATTTTAACCGTTTAAATGATTTTCCACAAATGTTTTTCAACAGTTTCTAAATGTGCGCTGAGATTGTTGCGAACGCCTTTTGGACTTTTATGAGAAACTTTTATTTCATGTTAGGAACCCATATGGAGGCATTACCATCACCCTCCACCTCACGATAATCACAGCCACTCGACTAATGCGGGCACAAAGTTATATTGATTTTCTTAAAATACACACAAACTCGTATATATGTAGATATAAACAATCTTATGTAACCATGTTTAAAATTATAGCAACGGTTGTTACTGTTAACCATTCTTCGACATACTAGGGTCACAGTGACTTGACAAATACCAAAACAATTATTGAACTAACTTCCAATTGAACTTAACCCAAATGAAAAATGGAATAAACTAACGATAAATTGGTTTACTGGCAGCACTTTGAAAGTGATTTTTATTTTAAAAAATTTCGATTGTAGTGTCAAAAAATTCTACAACACTTTTTTTTAAATATATTTTGTGATTGTTTTATATTTGTCTTAAATCAATATGAACTGCGAAGAGCTCAAAGAATTACCGAATTTGAAATATATGCAATTCAAGCCACCGCCGCCCATACGCGGAGATCCATTCCTTAATGAAAAAACGGATACAAGTAAAAATGGGGATTGTTTGGAGGCGCTCAAAGAATTGCCATTGGAATTTGTCGACGAAGTTGTGCCCGAGGAAAATGTTACCGTTAAATTTCGTGTTGATGGCTCACGTATTGTGGCACAAGTATACACAAATCGTTCAAGTATTGCTGATATCAAAAAAGACATTGGCAGTAAATTTGAAGTTAAGCCAAAGTATTTGGTACTCAAACAAAATGAACGCGAAATTCCGAATCGTTGCCTACTAGCACAAACGGATTCAAATCAATTTGGTATATATGAATTTGATTTGGAATTATTGGACATTGCGGAAATGTATCTCGAAGATGGTGAAGAGCCACCAAAGCTTGATTTGAATATTTACTATAAGTAAGTATGACACACATAAAGACTGTAAATTTTTGGAAGCATTGTAATCTCTTTGAAACCCTGAAACTGAAACTTTAGCAAATATCATATGCCTGATTTTATAACTGTAAACGTCGAAGATGAGGAGGGTAAGACCAAGACCATTGTGGTGGAAATATTGAATAAAGCCATTATAAAGCCTTTTTTATGTGGTTATCGTGACAAGGCGACGGGTAAGTGTTAATGTCAATCCAATTTTGCTAGATACGGATTGTGTATTTATTTTATTTATTTTTTGCTTTCTCAGGTATTGAGTACTTGGATGCGTTCACTCAAACTGGTCCTTATTTTGATAAAATGAAGTTTGATCGCTTCATCAGCAGAGATACGCAGACTTATGAATTCAAAGGAAAAGAAATTGTAAGTTCAAAATTTGGAGTTTAACCAAACCGATTTTGCCAAAGACTTTAGAGGCGACCTCAACAACCTTGAATGCAGTTGTTGTTACATTCGATTTCAAACATATCTCCGTTTTGTGAATTTCTGGTAACAAATCTTACAACCTGAAACGAGCGATTAATCCCTGCAAACGTTTGTGGCACATTAGAGTAATCCATTAGCTAATCCCTTGTAGTGTAATATTGGACCGATGTTAGCCGATGATTATTCGCGTTGTAAGTGCACAATAAGATTTATACTAGTATCAAATTAAACTTGAGTCTTTTATCCGATTTATGGCTTCAAATATGCACTGTTTTGTTGCTTGATAACTTTGTACTATTTGAAAGATAAAGTCATCATATCTCTCTCATAGAAACCCTTGTCCCTATTGGTAAAAGATTGAGACATTCAATTTAGGTCAGTTATTCACCAAAAAAATCTTGCGTAAAGGACAGGATTTGACGGTTATCAATTGTTTCGAGGTCCGTACTGTAAGGTGTGTGCATTAGAACCTCCCCACAAAGCCCCCGTAGCTTCCGGCACGTCACTGCCAATGTGTGTGGTCTGGCATCGTGCTGATGTCCAAAGCTGGGCGTTTCTGGGCGACTTCTTCCCTCATAATGTCGAATTGTTATCAGTACTGATCCGATAAACAGTGTGACCGTAGAGCAACAGCTCATAGTGGATGATTCCAATACCACCAAACATATAACAACACCTTTCTGGCCTTCAAACATGGCTTGAAGATCATTTGTGCCGGTCCACTATCCTTCGACCACGTCCATTTTCGTTTGGCATTGCTGTAAGTGATCCACTTTTCATTACCAGTCACCATCAGCGGGTCGATTTGCTTACGATACAATATACAATAGCGATCCCCAAAAAGTAATTTTGTCTATGCGGTTTTTTAATTAGCTCATGTGGCCCTCTTCAACCAGCTTTTTTTGTATAAAAAATGTTTTTGTGCAATTTTTAACAACTGGGCAATCGAAACTGTGCTTGGATGAGGATACGACTCAACGATTTCCATTATTTTATCGACATTTTCGAGAATTCACTTTCCATCTTTTACATCGACTACCGTTTTCGCCTTTATTCGCCTTAAGAAAAGTTTAAAAATACAGCCCTTTTTCTCTCGAGATACTCCATAACGTAAACCACTATAGGAATATCTCTGATCTTTTCAGAGGTGTAGTATATGGTCCAATCTGACCCGATCGGTATAAATTTTCATGGGTTTGTCTCTTGGCTTCCTGGTAGTTACATGCTTCGGGCCAAATGTATAGATTACAGGTATGAAAATATTTTTAATACCCAAAGATTGCACTTGCATGCTCTGTCCCCCAACACTAGCATTTTTATCGGTTGTACAGTCAATTAGAACTCAGGTATACTCTAAACTAATCGCTCAATAACTCTTTTGTGCGAAGTGTTCTGAAGAAAGCTTCTTGCAGCCGTAATCTTTTTACTTTGCCACTAAGCCCCTACCATTTAACCCGTACGGAACCCTTGGCTTCCTTCCGCCTGACTAAATTAGTGGAGAAAATCTTGGGATCACTTACATGTCTCTAGACACTTGTAGTAGGTCATTGAAAACAGGGATATTCAGTTTTAAGCCACTAGTGCACTTCTCAGTCCACAATGAAGAGCTATTGCAATCGCCTACCGCATGGCGACCGCAATAATAAATCTTTTTGGGTGTTGATCTGATTAGGACAGGAGCCCATGACATATAGCACGCTCAGCCAACAATTCAACTATACTAAAAAGATATTGGTCGACCATGCTTTTAAGCTTATTTTCGATGATGAAAAAATTTTGAATTCTGGGACCAGTTCGATGTTCCTTGACGCCACCTCGTCTAGAATAATGAAGTTAGTAAAAAGTCTATTAAGACTGGTGGTGTAAGGAATAGAACGAGGGAGGCTGGAGAAAATGTTCGCATCAAAAAAAAAACAAGGAAACATCCATGGGGACAGGGAGGACATAAGCAAAACCGGGTTTGTATAAGTGACGGACTATCTATTTTGAAAAAATTATGACAATGAGAACCCATTTCGTTTTTATATAAAAATCTTAAGCTTCTCCTGTTTTAACTGTTCTCTAGGACACTGCACATGAGCAATCCACTCAGTGTTTTCAAGATGGCAACAATGTGCTGTATGTATCCGCTGCCGCAGACTACACCATAACCCCGGGAAAATACCAAACTTATGCACAAAAAATGCGCCGCGAAAATAAACTCGCAAAAATCATACTGATTCAACGTAATTTCCGCCGTTACTTATTGTGGCGTTTCATGCAGAATGCGGCCGCAAAGTATCGGTAAGCCAAACTGAATAATTAACGCAAAATAGCGCCGAACTATAAATGAACTATGTAACTTTTTTGTTATTCTTATTTATTCCCTTTGATGTACTTTGCCGCTCACAGTCGCTTGGTGGCGAATCGCAAGGCCGAGGAGGCTCGTCTCGAGGCGGAAGCTGAAAAGCGTATCAAACGCATTGAATTGGCAAAACAGTTTCCACAAACAAAAGATGACTTTGAAATGTTGTACGGCGAGGTGCAGAAGTGGAAGATAGCCGAGCTAAAGCGTATTGCCAGATTATATGAAGGGCCAGCTCGAATTGCTGAGGTCAATGTATTGCTTGACAAGGAGATACAACTGCGCAATGGTATTGAAAAGCAACGCGTCATTGTCAGAAAGGCAATGGAGGATTTTCGCAATGAAAAAATGTTAACTAAGTTGGGTGAGCCAATCACATGGGTCGGTTATAAAGGTGAGTTTGTTGAAAGAGTATGCTTAAACGTTTCATTTTACTACAGCGTTAATGATTATATGATGAGTTTTATTGACATGAAAGTTTCCACTACACCTATAGAACTGAACCAGTTGTTGGCTAAGTGCGCTTAACTATAACCTCAGCTTGGACGCTCACAGCCCGCGTTTTGTGGGATACAGACTCGAAATCCCATTATCAATACAATTCACTAAATTAATTTCTTAGATGAAAATCCTGACTAAACTTTGGCGGCCGCAATAGCTGAGTGGTTAGCATTGCGTACTGCTATTCGGTCGGCTAGGGTTCGAGTCTAAAATTATAGGAAATTAATTTTTCTAAATCAGTCGCCCGTCTGTAGGTAAAATTGTTCTCATAAAAATTCATCGGCTGTTCAGAGGCGGCTTAAATAAACTGTTTTGTTGGAAAACCACAAAGACAAAACCACAAATGGGAGGGGAATCTCGGCCGAAAATCGCTTCAGCCTTTGCAAAGCGCCAATTATATACAAACTTAGACTGGCCGTAGGTGTAAATTGAACTAACACTGCAATAACACGCCCCCAGAGGAATTTCTCTAAGCTCTTGATAATAATAATAAGCCGAACGGTTACGCGAGGGCGCCATTCACATGACGGACGAATTTTGGCGAGTCATGAAAAGCTAGAATTAGTTAAGCGTCGAGATTTAAAACTGCTCAACTACAGACAAACAAATTCATCAGCTGAAATATACGATTGATTAAGCTTTTAACGAAATTTAATTCAGTTACTTATTAAGAGAGGCAGGGATTGTCCACCCCTCCGAGTGTATTTGAAACAAGAAATGAAGGCGCCTCATAAAAACTAATAAGCCTTTCGGAGACGGCTTAGTATAAATTGTAGGTCCCTTCATTTGTTCAAAAAACATCAAGACGCAAAACCACAATTATATATATTTAGAGAGGTTAATGTAGAATTTTTCATTACAAAAAAGGAGTCTGTTAAATTAGATGTGCTGGAATAACAGTTGAAATCTTGACATATACGGCGAAATAGTTCATATAGTTCTAGGTTCCTAATGGTCTAAACTGCATTGATAATCGGATAGGGACACTAAAATTTATTTCACCCAAAAGAAGTGAACTGCAAATCACTCCCAGCCATTACTCTACGGCTAGAAAGTGTAGGTAGATTTACAAGTTTCAAGCGGCTAGTATACGGTGAAATAGTTTGGCTAGAATTCCAGTAGAAATGACGCAAAGCAAACAACAAAAACTGGTTTTGAACAGACTCAATTTCATCGGAACCATGGAGCCATACCCCAATATTGGTCGCACTAACGATGTAAAAGGTATTTTGGTGATGCAAGGGTCTTTAAATTCTTTCAGCACGGTAGAATTAATATGCAGATTAAACTTAAGTTTAGGTTACATCCAAGTCAACAAAATTACATACTTTTTCAAGAATATATTTGTATATTGTGTAAGATGGTGATTGAAGATATTTAAGTGAAAATATTATGGTTTTACATTTGTTAAGGTTGAGAGGCATAACATTGTTATTGCACCAAATTAGTAAATTATTTAAATGGGTTTGTAAATAACACCTTTCGCGGTATTTAATTTACAATAAAATTTTTGAATATTTTATGACTGAAGACAATTTATTAATAAACAAGAAGAACAGAATATGATTCAGGTGGCTGCCATGCGGAACGCCTAAAGTTACATCAATTACGTGCGAGAAGGAATAAAACTCTATAAGATTATTTACTCTATCGAACGCTTTACTAAAGTCTGTATATACATATAAAATCAGTGTTCATGTTTTCCCCAAACCCATTTGAGACGTAAGTAACAAATTCAAGCATATTAGCTACGGTAGATTTTCCTGTGCGAAACCCATGCTGGGAATTGCAAATTAATGGAAATGTGGAAAAAGTTAGTTGAGTAGTAATTATTGCTTCGAACAGTTTTGGTATAGCAGATGTCTTTGCGATTCGCCTATAATTCTCAATCGAAGATCTACCACCATTCTTATGCAAAGGCTTTATATACGAATTCTTCCATAACAAAGCATGCATTAAAGAGGTTCGATAAAGCCTAATAAAAGTTTTCAGCGCAATATTTAGGAAGCATGTTGGAACCATGTCTGGCTCATAACTAAAGGATATCTTTTAAGCTTTCAACTGATATAACACATTTTCGGTAGAAACAATTGGGGTGTTAATTGAAGTTTGTAGTTAAAATTCCTCCTAACTGACATAGTTGCTTCTAGGCGAATTAATGTGATCTGTCTGTTCTTCCACGCATGATTATAAATCTGTTACGTCCATTCTGTGAATTGCCCGATTTGATATGACATCTCCATTTCCATAATTTTTTCCTATAATAATGATTTCTCGTTAACTTTGTAAAAACTGAATGTAGCGATGACACCTGGAACTTTCGGATTTATGTATTTGATTTCGCTGCTTCAAAGGACCAGAGAAAAGTTAATTTGGAATCAAATTTTATTTTTATTTTCATTTCTCTAAATCCACATCGAATCCACTTACCTCTTCAAGATCAAAACTTCGGGCAAAAAAGAGTCATAGATCACAATATGCTAGTAAAGCTAAATTCCCCATTGCGGCTTCCAGCATTCTCGAGGTGTAAAAATTAGTTCACTTCACGAATACTTTGTTTCCTTCTATTATACAGAGACCGGTCTGTTGGGATGAGAGGAGCATTATAAAATAGCAACTCATCATTTCGAAAATCATTTTTGTTAGATATTGATCTGATCGGGATTTGATGCACGACAACAGCTGCTGCATTTTCTCGAATTATTTTGTAGGATTTATTTTGGCAGAAGAGCCTAACAAAATCGAAAACTAACTACGCTACAAAGTGAGCTTAAAAACAGAATCGTTTGATTCTAGAGTTCATAAAGGGTACTTTTTTTATATAAGTTTGGTTTTCAATGGGACAATACTTTTTTCAGAGTTGTTAATTTTACGACTGTTGCTTGTTTTATACTCGGTTTGCCATTTCATAATGAACATCATTACCAAAATAATGCGATGAAGATCACTTTTGGTCGAATGGGCACGAGTGATGATAATTTAAAAGCCATTTTTGAGACGCCATTACATCCTCCAAGAGTCACTGTTTGATGTGCTCTATAGACAAAGGAAATCATTGGCATATATTTCTTCAAAAATTAAACCTGTCATAGTGTTACAGCCAATTGAGGAACGCTGTAGAGCCACTATTAATGACTTCATCGCACATGAATTGGAGGAAGACGGCGTCACTTGCCGTACAGCCAACGAAACAATAAATTTATTGAAGAAACCTTTTGATGAATGAATTACCTCGCGCCGTGCTCCCTTGGCGTTACCTTCAAGATCGTGCTATTTAACACCGCTGGACAATTTTTTTTTTTTTTTGATTATATGAAGATGCTTATATACACAGATAAGCCCAAGACGGCGAGGCATAGCCTAAATAGCTGCAAAAAGTTGTGTAATAGACTTATTGACTGGAATTTATTCGGCGCGGCGGCCGCGGTGATCTAGTGAACTTGAGATATTTTTTAAAACATAATACTAAGTCCATATCTTGATATATATATTTTTTAACCGCTGAAACGATTTTTCGGCCAAGCTCCTTCTCCAATTTGTCGTTTTTGCGTCTTGATGTTTTTCCGACAAATGTAGGGACCTACAATTTATACTTAGCCGCCTCCAAACGGCGAGATGGACATTCCCTACCAAGGGGCGATCGCAATTAGAAATATGAATTTAAATTTTAAATTAAATTAATTTACCATAAGTTTTGGATGTTGGTGGCACCCGGATTTGAACCCGAGCCTTCCGAATGTCAGTACGCAATGCTAACCACTCGGTTACCTCGACAGACAAAATTTAATTAACATATATATGCGTTTTTTCTTGAAAACCACATTTCTAAAAAAAATCACCGTTTAGTTCTCTTTGAGTATGTACGAGATACACATAGGATTTTTCAAAATTCGTTCGGCAAAATTATTTAGGCAACATACATATTTTCTTAGAAGGAAAATATATGTAAGTTCTTGAAGTCATTGGCCTACTTTTAAAATACATAAAACATTAAAATTATTAATTTTTATTTATTTAAAAAAGCCAATTTTTTCTGATTTTCCTGATTTGATAGTGATGACCCTCCAAGATCTCTACTAGGTTTTCTTTAATGTTTATTTTAAATAAAAATTGTATAATTTCAAATTTTACACTTTTAAACTCATTCATTTCTTATTATTTTTTCTCTTTAATCTGCTTAAAAGATAATATAATTCACTTAGATCTGTTACGCACCCAACGTGCACGATTTCTTTCCGAAGTCTATAAGGATATGCAAAGGAAAGTTAACAGATCAGATCGTCTGGAGCTTTTAGCAAAGGTGAAACGGATTTTATTGGATGAACGGGAATATCCGGATTTCGGAGAGGTTGCTGCGATTAAATTACTTCAAAAACTTCAAAAACTGCAATTTTTTCGTTTTTGTAATTTCAGCTCTTTGATTTGATACAGCGTGAAATAAACTTGCTGCTCCATACAAAATATTGTGACGTCGAAATTTTACGTAAACGCCAGAATATTTTATGGTTGGAACTTATCAAATTCTCTAAGGATAAGTCAGCGGATCGTAAGAATTTTAATGTTATGAAAACTCGCCATTACGTAAATTTAACAAATCAATTTCACATTGTTATTTATCACTTTATCCGAAACCGGAGAGGACTTACTCACTTACTTATTCGCTCGCTTACTTACACAAGTATTTGAAACATTTTCTCTGATATGAGCGTCATTTACCTTTTTCAGTTGGTGAGAAACGTATGTGCGAAGTGTGCAAAGTGGTCAAACCGTATAATCAGTTTGCATTGAGGACGCGTCAAAATAATGTTGACACTTGCAAGCGTTGCTATTACATAAAGGTAAGTGCGACTTACACGTACATATGTATATGTATGTATATATGTGTTTGTCTCTGTGTGTCTGTGTGTCTCAATGGGAAGTTCTTTGCGAATAACTTCTGTACGCTTTGTGGCCTTACGTAGATCGCTTCGACGGACAACAAGACATATGCGGCCATATTGCGCGCCATTCAACGTGACGAGCGCAAGCGCCGCTGCAATGCATCATTCGCGTTTGTGCTGCAAATGGATGACATACGTTACATAATTGACCAAATTTGGCATAGTCATTCAATACTTAGCAAGAATGCGGTATTGAGCAATTTGCGGTAATTATATATTAGTTATTGTAATCAGATCACAAAAGAGTTAAGCGACAAACACGCAAAATAAATTATTGCACCATATTAGAACACTAACAATTTGCGTTTCTTATAAATTTATGTATATACGTGTATGTATGTATGTATAGTCTCGTTTTCAACTTTTTATATGTAGGTTGCCACGCTGGTTGAAAGGTGAAGATTGGTCACCGTGGAATTGCATTTGCCTTACCGAGTCTGAGGCACGCGACCATTATAGACTTGACGATCCGACAACAGTTTATGACCCTAAATTGGTGCTAGAGGTTGGAAATAGGCATATGTTGGCACGCGCTGCATTCCATAAGATGAGCGAAGTTGCAACCGAATTCGTTGAGACGGGTCAATGGTTTCACGTTGGGTTGAATAAGCAGCGTACTGTCTTTCCACCGGATGAATATCCGCGTTCTGGTTTCCCTAGTAAATCGGCTAATCCAGTTGTACTTAAGGAGAAGAAAAAATGCAATTGAAATGGGTTGACACGAAGGGATGGGATGGATAATATATCTTCAGCCAATTGAAACATTATAAGTATATATTAGCACAAATATTGTTTTTAAAAATAACATTTTATTTGATTTTCTAAATAAAATTTACATTTCTTTCCTTTGGTACGACAAAGTAGCATTCTTAATAAGCGTAAAACTTATAGCGAATTGGTGAAGAGGTCAAATGAAACTAGTCGTAGCAATATAGCTATCGAAATATTGATCATAAAGTTAACAATTATCCTTTCTAATGCCTTAAAGACTGTTAACAGAAAAATTAAGCTTTACTACTGATTATCGCTTTGAATTTCGCTTCCAAATACTGCACTCGTTTCAGCAATTTGTCGCTAGTATTGAACTCGTTGTAGGGCACTGGTATGACTTTGTAGCCACTTTTCTCCAACAAATCAAAGCTAAGGTTTGTTATGCCACTTGCTGAGCGATGTGTGCCATGACAGACATCATGGAAATCGACAACCATTAATGCAACCCTTAAATATAAAGTATTTAATTATGAAAAAGAAAGAAATTGTAATAGTATAACTGAGAAGATTTTACGATAATGATATTGAACAAAATTGTTACTTTTTTCTGAATAAAATATGCGTATTTGTCTAAACGTATAAACCAAAGCGAATTCATAAAGGTGAGAGCAGAAGAGTAAATACAGCTATCACCTTGTATTTTGGTTTTGCTTCTTACGCATAAACCACAATCACAAAATCACAATTCTAAGACAAAGCTAGTCTATATTGACGAGGTTCAGGACACAAGTTGTTTTTACGGGTTCAGGCCAGACGAAAAGGGGTGCTAGATGAGTGGGTTACAGTGGGCGAGCAAGAGGGTCGTTGGTGTTGTGCGGGCAGTCGAGATAATCAATTCAAGCAAGGCATACATACGTTAAGTATATTAACATTACAACGTTGATGAGTGGGAGTTGAGTCTTCTAGAGTATCTACGCCTGTTGTGGTGCTCAAGGCGGTGTTCTGGCAGGTTTATAGTTTTTTCATCTGCGTCTCGCAAGTCCCCCGAGTCCAACTCGGACTGAAGTTATTTATGACCAGCCGGCAGATTATCTTATAAGTTGTAAAAAAACGTTTCTTTGTCTTTCCCGGCTAGTATTTTGAGGATTTTATTTGCCGCTCTTCACTTTGGTGACGATTGCATCCGCTTGCCAAGTGGAAGAGTGCAGGCTATTGAATGTGACTCAGTAATTTGGAATTGTTTGTCGGAATTATATGTCGACCACACATTCAGAGAAGGAGTGCGAAAGGTCGGCAAGATAAATTGATTAAAGATTATCAATATCCTGGCCAGACGACAAAGCGAGTAGTCAGGGTGGAGCTGAACACCCCCCGCTTAATTTTTGCTTAATTTTTCGACGTTTTGAATTACGACTTCGAAATACTACCGATAATTCATGGTTTACCTCTGCAACCGCGGCTGTAATAGCACTTAGTGATTGACAGATCCAGTACTACTAGAACAGTTTGCGCTTCGATTAGGGAAATGGATTATCAACGTTTTTATAGCACTTTTTTTTGTAGCGTTAATTGCGGTTGTGGTGCTGAGCACTTTGCGGAAGACCCGTTGGTGTGCTGCTGGACTCAGATGGCAAGGATGTCGTAAGAGGTGACTGATATCCAATAGTTACCGCGACAGACGGGTCTTTATACCGGACCGACCCGGATATTTATCTAGTCAAAGGTTGACAACATTCTCCGTATCGTAAGAGTAATAAGATATCAGGATATTGTTGGGGAATTTTGCTCCCTATGGTATCATGCGTTTTAGCATCAGTCGAAGGTTTATAAAGCGTTATTATTCCCGATAACATATTATCAGTAAAATCTGTCAAGCTTGGTTGTTGTTGTTGTAGCGGTTCGCTAACCCCGCTTAGGTACAGGTTTCACCAAACTAAGTCGCCGAGGTCATCTAATGGACCGTCCAGGAAACGAGCTGTTTCGACGGGATTGGGCCAAAGGGACAGGGGGGTTAGATGAGACGGTTTAAGGGGGCATGAGAAGAGGTGATTCTGGATAAGTACGAGTTGAACCTGCTACAGTATCCAGACCTAAGTTGTGTCAAGGACACGCGGGTCTCTCGAGCTCGTTGTCTGCGATGGGTGCTGATTTTACTCCGAGCACGTCATTCACTGGAAGGGAGTTTGAAGGTGTTTACTGACTCCTGGTGAATGTCGTTCAGTGCCTGTCTGTACGCCGTCTTGTCCAGCGGTTTTTGTACATGTTGCTGGGTGGTGTTTTTTACGTCAAATACTCTCTTTCTGATGTGCCTAGGTGGAGGTTCAGCTTCGATTAGGTGCCTATTGGGATATTACCGCAGGGAGCACTGCTTGCACAGCAAAGCATTATGCTCCGTAACTCGTAACAGAGATGGTGCACTGTGCAAGTGAACTCTCAAGGCAGCCGGCTCTACGTACCGGAGTTGACACGTATTTTATCCGGCCAAGGGCTGTCACCCTTTCGGCGACCTAACTTGGTCGTTCAGGTGAAGCTTTGTTAAAGTCAAGTGAAGCTTTATTAAATTTGACATATTTCATGTTATCCTCGAAAACAAAGGAGAGACCAGCTCTAGAAGTTGTGATAGGGGATTCGGCAATAGACCGTAGTTATGGTATGGTGACATCGTTCATGATGCAAAATGTCGAAATGCCTATCAGTTCTGTCGGTTTCATTCCTCTAGTCATGGTTCGCGTTAAAACCGCTCGAAACTCACATTCTATGTTTAATACCTCCGCGATTGAAGTCGAATAGAGGAGCTCAGAAAGTCGGAGCGCCTATTACGCTCGCAGTTATCGGCAGGTCTTTCCGGTTCGTGAAGTCGACGCAATTGATTTACATGCTTAGATGATTATTATCCGTAATTATTTCTTTATCTTATTGTGAGTTACCACACATCTTCCTTTTCAATACCTACTTGATAGCATCAGCGTTTTCCTTATCTACGGGCAACGGATTTCGTTTGTTATCGAATAAGCAAAATGCATCTAAAAATGTAAATCAACTTGATAAAACATTACATACATTAATCCTTCAAAAGATAAACTAACCAATTAGAAAACCCATTTTGCTGTCATGTAAGCTTTTAAGATGGTTACTGGCCGGCAGTAAGCTCTTCAACGCATCTAACATTCCATTAACCAAAATCTGTTTGGATTTTGAATGCGCAATCGGTACATTAAACGCTGAACTATCGGCGGGTAAGAGAGAACCTTTATAATCGTTAGCTAATAATTGCGCATATCCATTCAAATTTAATAATTTCATTTTGATTGTTGGCGCGAGACCATTTCGCTCCGTTTCAAGCTTCTGAAGAAATTTGACACTAAAAAATTTAATCGAATATAAAAATAGGAGCATAAGATTAAAAATGAAATATGTATTTAAATTGAAGGGTATCCTGAGAATTAAATCGTAAAACTTCTCATACCTCAAAACAGTCTTCAATTGGGCGTGATTCACCAAACCCAACATGGCCAGCGACCAGACGTGATTTAACCAATCATGGCTCTTTTGAAAATCAGCACCCACAATAGATGTGGCTAATTTCTTACTAACATCGTCTATAATAGCGCTCCTAAAGTTTAATATTGCTGATGTAATAAATAAAGCACTTATATCTTGTGGCCGACATATTTCCGAATTTTTCATTGTCCATTGCGTTAGAGCCTCCATAATATCTACGATTCAGAAACAAAAAAAAAAAAAAAAAAACTGTAAAAATATTATCAGAATTCCCTTAATTGCAGAATACAAACCTAAATCACGATACTTCAATATACCCAAACTAGTTAGGATTGAACCAACTACAGCTGATTTTTCTGTATTTTTTGGCAACATAACTTGTATATCCGCACATATTTTTGCTGCCAAAACCGAATCTTGAAAATTTAAACATGCCATTGCGTACAGTATATCTGCGGATTGCTTTAAATCTAGCTGTTCTGTTGAACTACTAATATTGAAGGCAAGTGAACGCAGTAGCGGAGTGCTGCGTCGTTTTCGTTGAGCTAATGTACTCATCACCTTGACCATTTGTGGTAAACTAATGCTGGCAATCAGTTTTGCAGCTTCATCATCGCCTGCTACACCTAAAACTGTATTAAGATCATCGGTCCGAAATCCTGATATACGTTTAGGACGATCATCTTCTTGTGCAGCTCCACCAGAATTATTGCCTTTGCCAACATTGCGTCCCAAAACACGGCAAACTCTTAAAAATCGTGCATCATTTTCAAACTCATTAATCTTTGCACGATTTTTTGTACTCCATTCAGCTAATATGGAGACAATTTTAAGCGCATGTTTACGAGAGAGTGGCCCACTCGCCTCAGTTATAGACAGCAAACCGTTCACTGTTTTTGCTTTGAGAATCCGTTCGTCTAGATTGCTAGTTGTCTTGGAACCAGCGGCTTTATTTTCTGAGGTACTGTCTTCTTTTAATGATTCAAAAGCTGCAGCTACCAAGGAACCTACAAATAACCAATTAGGAACACATATATTCACCGATTTTAACATTATAATAATATTCGTACTTTTAGATTTTTTAGCATTTATTTCTGAATCACCATTGGTCGGCTGAACTACATCCTTTTCGGCAGAATCTGATGCGGAAATTTCACCTTGTTTTTGTGTAGCCGCTGTCGCTGTTGCACCGGCACCACGAACTGACGTGCTGTACGTTGCGTATTGTACACGACGAAACAGCTGTGCGGTCACACCACCGGCAAAGCGCTGTAATCCTAACATTCTGTGGGTCGATAGTTAAAGCTTCAGATGTTGTTATCCAGTAGAACCTGCTGCAAATAGACACAATGTTTTACATAACCTTTTTGATAGAGATATAAATAATTAAATGGAAAATAGCTTCAAAGAAATATTGACAGTTTCACTTTTTTAGGAATATGTAATGAATTCCAATTGAACAATCTGCAAATCAAAATGCAACAATATGTTTTTATTTCACAAAATATTCATTTACATTTCTCCCAATAAGTTAAGAAATCAACTTACACCGCAAGACAAACGTCAAAATTAAGACGATATATTCAGAGAAAATACCACAGGAAAAGGCAATTTATTTATCGATATCATAAAAAATCGAAACCTGCTCGCAACCTTAAGGCCACGATCTAGTACTAATTGGCTTTGCTTGTTCTGCTGTGGGAATTTACAAATATCTGTTGATAGCTTCTAAGGAGATTCTAAATATTATTTAACCAACCAGTAGCGAAAATGCAAATATGACAATAAGATGAAAGGATGAGTCTAATAACTATATGTTCTAGAGCGCGTGTTGAGAAAATTCGTTATCAGAGCATTCATGGTAATAGGCATTTGGTAGAGAAAACGTCGGAGCGGATTTAAACGGACAAACCCGTTTTTCTAGTTGAGAAAAATTACGTTTATGGAGAGTTAAAATGGTTGCTTACATGAAATATTGTAAACTGTGTATTTACTACAAAGAAGCTGAGAATAAAACATGTAATTTAATTATTGTATTCAAAGAGCTAGTGATCTAACTCGCAAAAGTTGAGAAAAAAACGAATCTTCTTTAGCGAATTCGTTACAATACTTTTCGCTATGGAGCCATTTAAAGTCTATAATACAACCTTGCCTCTTTTACTACCTTTCCGCAATTGAGAAGTACCACTATTGTGCAACCCTTCTTTGATTTAGTGTAATACACAAACCCTGGTGACAAATCACCAAAACTTTTTTGTGTTCTTTTCGAAAAATTTTGCCACAAATTATTTTTTAAATTTTCCACGAATTTTATTGAATTCTTAATTTTCTGTTTTATTTTCGTGTAAAATTGTGCAGCTTATAGAAACCAATTTTGAACTGGTTCAAGGGCGTTCTAATAAACGCCTTAGGAAAGACAAAAGGTGAACGAGTGCGGACTAGCATTGGAATTTTGCAATTGTGGGCTACGAAGTCTATACCGAGTAAAGATAGTGAAGAAAATTTGTAGCAATAGCAGCAAATATTGAATCAAAATGGTTGATAAGTTTATAAGCATGTGGAAAGTGCGCGAATTGGCTGATAAAGTGTAAGTTGCAAATCAATAAAAAACATAAGGCTATAAACTATATAAAATTCACATAATATCTCTGGGTTAGTATTTGTAGGCTAACATAATACACTTTTGTACGTGTAATGTATGTATTTTATAATTTTATAGCTAATTAATATTCACTACCTATGTATGAAGAGAATGTAATTTTTATTTTTTTTTTTTACAAAAAATAACATAAACCCCTCTGAAAAATAAAATATTCATTAACATAGCAAATACATTTGTAATTGTAATTTATGGACTTGATCTGACTAGGGAAATTTATTAATCGTGCAGGTGGTTTTTGGATAGGTCGAGTATTTTAAGCTCTTTGCAATTGAAAATTAAATTTTCGTAATTCATCAACTACTAATATCGTTTTCAAGGTCCCTTTAGCTAATAAACACAAAGCTTTCTTTCTGGCTTTCACGTAATAAGCAATTAAATAAATGCCTCCTCACAATATTTCAGGTTTCGATTTCCATTTCCATTTTTGTTTATTGGTTTCTTCTGGTACTGCATACATACATCCATATGTACATCCGTAAGCTAATAATGGCAACATTAATGTTGTTTTAATGTGAGTGATACTATTATTTGCTCCAAACACACAACTACCACCTGTTTTGCTACTTTACAAATCACACACATAAATCTATGTATGTTCATATGTATTTTGTGTGCCTTTTATGCCAACAGTGCTGTGTGCACGAAATGTTTCCATGTAGTGTTAATTACGAGATGGTTCTTTTCTAGGTAACCATTAGACATTGATCCTGTAATAACATAAATAAATTTATGAATACATAATTTCTTTAATATTAATCGTATCGATACTATCATTATATCAGGCTTAGGTCACACTATTCCACGTAACCCGTTACTATAAGAACTATAAGATTTGAATTATTTTTAATCTTCTTGTCTGTATGTATAAAATTTAAAAAAGACCAATTATACCAAACCAGATATTACATTGAGAAATGGTTGGACAAAGTTTGGAAGTATGAAGAAAGTGCAGCTCTACTCAAAAGTAGATATTCATATATTGGTAAAATTGGAACTGCTGCATAAATACATATATAACCGCACCTAGAAAAGTTCGAGCTTTGAAAATTTAGCGAATTTTTATTTTCGACCGTCAAATTCTATCAGGAAATGGGAAAGTATTGTGCTATTTCAAAAAGATACCTTGATATAAATTGTAAATTATTTAATAAAACTGCCACTCCGACAGTTATAATACCTAAATTGTCTAACTTAATTATACTTTGACTACAGTCTTTCGTCTTGCAATAAATTAGTCTTTAATGTCGCACAATTATACATATACATTTTATTATCAATAAAAATGAGAATTTCATGTCAATGATTTACCCACCTACAGAGATATGAACCCATCGGCGATATGTAGTTACCACTCAAAGATATGAAATGAAATAATGATTTCACAAATATATATTAATATATTTAATTTTAAAAAATAAAATAATCGCACCGAAAAATTTTACTTATTTTATTATACATATATAGTTCTAATTTATTCTTCTTTGTGATATGTGTTATCTACGTCATTATGCACTTTCTTTAAGCCAATAAATTAATGAGTGGAAATTTGTAAAAAAAGAAATTAGAAATCAAACAATACCTACAGCAAACTGTTTGTACATCCAACATACATAACTTTTAGGTATACTTCCGAATACTACGTGTGTACATACTTTGAGTTTTCTCTAGCATTTTCACTTAATTAGCACGTAAATTTTTACAATTGCGATATTGCAGTTTAGTTTGTCATAAAATTAGCACTAGTCAAATGTAAACAAGTAAAATATATAAGTATATATGTGTGCATGTATATATAATATGATAAGTTACAATAAGTTACTGCAACTTTTTCATTTAGTTGTAGGTTCCCTGGCGTTAGAATATAATTACCTAATTACATATACATTCTTCATACATATATACACGTATGCATGTATTTATACATAACTCTTTAGTAAGATATCAGTTGAGAAAAAGATAAGCTTTTTCAGAAAATATTCATAATTGTTAATTATATCTATATGTATTACGAGCTGCTATTTACCTTAATAATCAATTCAGTAACATTTACCGTGTAATTCTAAGGTCGTTTTTCCCTATTTCCAATAAATTATCATAATCATTAATGTCAAAGAAAGATTTGCTCAAGCTAGTAAGGTACAAAATAAGTTATGGAAAAAAGTAAAAAAAAAAACTGCTACTGACATATGTATGTATGTGTGATTGTGTATGCCACGTTATTTACATAATTATAAAATTGTTTTATATTTAATTATTATAGATAAATATTTAACATGCTGCACATACATGTCCTTCGCTTCTTGCTTACTATGGATAGTAAATAAAGGAATTAAAAATTATAGAAAGTATTTTTCTCTAATATTATAGCATCAGCGATTTTGATTCTTTACCCAAAATTTGTTAAAACGGTAGTTTATTTTCTACCTAAAAAGGAAAATTCATTAAATTTCATTTATAAAGATTTGTAACCGTCTAAGAAAAAAAATAATTTAATAAATAATGTACTCATCTTCTGGTGGTCATGTATCTATTAAAAATCTTATTGGGATAAACATATGTATTTACACACTTATATTTTAGAGTAACCCGTTTTCACTTGGTTAGTGGAGTATCGGAATGTTGATCGTTTTGGAGGTATGTTAGGCAAAAATCCTGTTTGAGACGATCAGTGATTTATCTAAAATGACGAAAAAGGTCAGAATTCGTCAGAAAATCGATAGAGCTCCAAAAAGTTTTCTATGGCAGGCGTTAGCAATTCAAAAACGTATCTTCGTGTCAAAAACGCTTCAGTGAAAAATGCAAAGATATTTTGAAATTTACTAAAAAATCTAACATCTGAGGGTAGCTACTTCAAAACAGTCGGCTAGAAAACTTGGGCTTAGGATAAATAGAACTCTGCTTCTGATCTGAGCCGGTTCCTCATCCGATTTGTAGTTTTTTTCTGAAAAAATAGACACAGCTACAGTTTATTCTAAGCCGCTTCAGAATGGCTGATGGATTTTTATAGAAAACTTTAATTTCATGTCATAAGTGCATTCGGATGGGGTTGGCATTCTCCGTCGAGGGTAGACCGCAAATAGAAAAATTAACTTACTTGTAAACGGCCTAAATTTCATTACCTCTTTTCATATGACACCTTTTTTCTCGCCTTCAGCACCAATGTCGTTATGAATTACACTGAAATCGAAGGAAAAGTACGCGAAGCAACAAATGATGATCCTTGGGGACCCACCGGGCCACTAATGCAGGAATTGGCACATTCAACTTTTTCGTATGAGAGTTTTCCCGAAGTCATGTCAATGCTATGGAAACGCATGTTACAAGACAATAAATCCAATTGGCGACGAACGTATAAGGTAATATTTGCAGTAAATAATATCATGTTTATAAATATACATACTTTTTTTATTCTTCACCATCCACACAGAGCTTACTGTTATTAAATTACCTGGTACGTAATGGTTCCGAGCGTGTTGTGACGTCATCACGCGAACACATTTATGATTTACGGTCGCTGGAAAACTATACATTCACCGATGAAGGTGGCAAGGATCAGGGTATTAACGTTAGGCATAAGGTAATAACACAAACTTTCAGATTGCAAATTCATTTAAATCACTAAATTTTGTAAATTTTATATACTTGCAGGTTAGAGAATTAATAGACTTTATACAGGACGACGATCGATTACGCGAAGAACGAAAAAAGGCAAAAAAGAATAAAGATAAATACATTGGAATGAGCAGCGATGCGATGGGCATGCGTAGTATGAGTGCACAAAGTGGTGGTTATAATGATTGGCGTGCGCAGCGTAGTGATTTCGGTGACAATTGGTGTAAGTAAAACATTGAGTATGTAATAAGAGAATTCACAACTGATATTCTCATTGGTTACTACAGACTCTGATGCTCGTGGTGGTGATCGTTATGAAGATGAGGATGCACAATACGAAGGTGAACGAGAGTACTCCGACAGTGATTCACCCAGTCCGAGGTAATGACATTAATAAATAAATTTATGCTTTATAATTTAAAATATTTTTTTTTTTTTTGTAAAATATTTTTAGGCGAGCAAATCGCTATAATGATCGTTCTAGTCCCGCTGAAATTGGCATAGAAGCCAAGCCAAGTTCTATTAACATGAATATTCGCCCGAAATCAGCGACTAACAGCTCTACGTCTAGCATCACAAGACAACCAGCGGCGAAACCACCAATGGGTAGTAAAAGAATTGATATGGGAGCTGCAGCAAACTTTGGGAAAATGTCACCCTCTGCGGCGGGTATACATTCCCCAACGCACCGTGATACCCCCGTAGGTGGTGGAGATGATTTGATTGGTGGCAACAGCAGCGTCGGTGGTAATAGTACTGCATCATTAGCTAACAATAATCTTATAGGCGAGCAACCACAAAGCAATATCAGCAATACTAACAATAATTTAATTGATGATATCTTCAAAACATGTGCGGCACCGAATGACAAAACTTTGACAAGTGCCGCCGTAACAGCCGACGATTTGGATGATTTCAACCCACGCGCAATCGAGTCGAAGCATTCGCAAGAGTTTGGAGATTTTACTTCAGCCTTTGGTAGTAGTGCATTACCGGAATTGCCTTCGGCGAACATAGCAGCAGCTGCTACGGATGAGTTTGCCGACTTTTCAGCATTCCAAGGAAGTACAACTTCCAACACTCTTAGCGGACTAGATAATAAATTGTTAACAACGGCAACACCTGCTAATGAATCTTTTGATTTGTTCAGCAGTTCCTCAACAGCTGCACCAACTGCAAGTGCAGCGTCTGGTACAGATCTATTAGCTGGCCTTGGTGATCTGTCCATTCATCAAAGCATGCCTATGGGTGAGTATCTTTTAAATTAATTGCCTAAATAATTATCCATTAGCGGAGGAAATTCTTAGTTATTAAAAATTTAAATCCGCATGACTACTGTTATTGAGAAGCTTAAAAAGCTCTTCATCTACTTGTTCCTAAGTTGCAAATGTAAAGTAAAGTACGAATGTAGTTGTAAAAAGTGAAATTGAAAAATTGAGCAATTGAGAAAGTAGAATTGTTAAGTAAAACCAATCGCATACGTACATAACTATAGATATTTTCGGAAACAATTTCCAATTGGGTGCACACGTTCTTCTCCATTTTCAGCCGAGGACGGCAATGAGGAATCGCATAGGCTTTTACCAGTGCCGAACACCATTCGAAATACATTGAAACAGGCAATTAGCATGTTGAATGATATGCCGAAAGTAGCACGCGCAGCAGATGTGGATAAAATCACAAAAATAATTGAAAATTTATACAGAATTGGTGCATTGCCAGCATACTGTACACCAGAGAAAATTATAGGACTCGATAAGGATGATTTGGACTGGTCACAGATCGCCGCATACGAATTCGCAGAACTGCTCACAAGCGTAATTAAGTTATTCAATCGTGAATGGCCGGGGACGCCAACTTCAAACAGCGATCTGCCTATTTTTAACCTACTAAAAATTGACTACAATTTCACCTTCATATACGAGACGTTTTACGTCCTCAACAAACATTTGATTAACACAAACGGTGATGAGTTCACAACTATCGCCTCTGTGCTGGCAGAACTCGTAAACGACACACAATTATTACCAGTGACCTTTCTACATATTACCCGGGAACAAGCTTACTTGATAGATACATTCAAATCGGAGTTGCATGTCTTACCTGCACAACCTTTGGAAGAATTCAATGCTAATGTCTCGGAATTTTTGCAGATTATTATCGCCTTACCAAATCGCGCTGCCAATAAATTGGGCCAACAGCTGCCCGATGCCTTTGTGCCGAAAAATTATGCACACACCTTGCTTAAGCATTTACTATTTGCTCTGAATTTCATCTTTAAATGCGAAGACACCTCATACTTCAGTATGGAATTTGTTAGCCGATTATTAAGTCGTATTACCACAAACTTATGCAACACCGAAGAAACTGACATTGTATTGCAAGCTTTCTTTAAAATTATGGATGAATTTGCTAAGGTGCCAAAAGCACGGCAAATCATACAGGGTATTTTTACTTTGTTAGATGCAAACGCCACAGCTAAGGTAGGTTTGGCTTTGTTGCTTTCTAATGTTGATGTCTATCGTCTGCTCGGCGATGCAGCTGTCAAATCTGAAACCTGGCGATTTTGCTTTACCCAGAAATTGACGGTACAACGTGCACCAGATGCTGGTCCAGCGCTTTGCGCCCTAGTACACTATTTAGCCATGAATGATCTGAAGTTGGTGCAGCAAGTATTTATGCAGTTACTTGGTGTTTGGTCAAAACGTACAACCTTGCAGCGGCTAACGGATAAAGAGTACTTGCGGATTGGTAAACTTCTTTTGTTAACCGCCAAAGAGTTGTACGCTGAAGGAAAAGATCGCAAATCGCAACACTTAGATGAAATTGAATGTAAACGATATCTCCACGAAATTTTACGCTTTCATCTCGAATGCACAGATGTAATCCAACGTCATATTGGCATGAAAGTGGTAGAAACTATTTTCAATTACGTGGAAGATCCCAAAACAAAAGACGAAGATCGTTTACGCTTCGAGTACGATGATGTTTTAAAGTTACCACGCGGGAATTTGATAACAGAGCTTGATGTTATAGCTAACAGCTATAACAAGCTACAAAAAGACACAGCGCTGGACGCGAAAATTGACATTAGCAAATTAGAAAATTTGTTGGAGCATTTCACTACAGGTACGCATGGAAACGAAAACGATATATCTAAAGGAGGTCTAACAAATACCGATTCCTCAAAGACTTTGGCCCCCATAAACCAACAATTGCAAGTTGTTAAAAACCCAGAGAGCATAATGGAACTGGATTCTGATGATGATGAAGAAGAAGAATACAAGCCATACGATATGTCCAACGATACATCAATCGGTGCAGAGAAACGTCCTAAATTTATACTAGACTTGCTACACACATTGAGCACTAAAACAGACAACTATGAAGTGTTTGAAGCTGCCATGTCTGCAGCAGAGCATCTAATACGCACACAATTGGCACAGCAGGATCCCAGCCTTGCTCTTGACCTTATGCGCCTTTTCATACCACTCGAAATGCAGTATTACTATGAAGACTTTGAACGTACAAAATTCAAGTGTTGCGTAGCTGTTTGTGTTGCTGTGCCTGGTCCTTCAGCTGAATATCTATGCCGGGAATTCCACACCGATAACTCATGCTACAACGCCAACTTACGTATACTAATGCTACAAGTATTAGCCAGCGCTGCTAAAGAACTTTCGGGTATAACAGTTGAAGCTGAAGTTACCAGCGAAAAGGCGTCCATACCAACACCAGCTAAGCATCCACGTAAATTTCATTTTGAAAATGAGCATGAGTCCCGTTTGATTGAGGCACAACGCATTATACGACAGCGCCTTAAGGAGAAAACAAAACGTTTCCACAGCCAACGCAAGACGTTGGCTTCAAAGGCAGCAAAACCAAATCGATTTCACACCGTTGCAGGCACATTTTTCTTTTCGCTTGTACGCGGCGCCCGCACACAACAGATGTTGTACGTTAAACCTGATCGCATTGCGCACGACATCGACACTCTGCTTCTAGTCAATTTCCTGCACACGCTCACAGTATTTGTTTTGAGTGCACAAAATTGTCCACTTTTGCCCGCAATTGCACGGGAAATTTTCGATCTGTGTGCATTCGTGCGCTTCAGTGCGGAGGCTCGTGTACGTCTGGCCACGCTGGAACTCATTGGTGCCACACTAGTGACTACACCCGCTTATATTTTAATGACGCAGTATGGCGAGCGTGTTGCAGAAATACAACAATGGCTGGATGATTTCGTGAAGTCGCCGTTATTTGGTGGCGAAACCTCGGATGAGTGTCGTGAGATTGCTAACCAAATACTCCACACATGCTATAAGCTCTTTTCAACACAAGAAACGGCTGTACATTAAAAACGTTGTTCATGTTAAGTTGTAAAAGTAAAAAAAAGAAGAAAATAAATGCGAATAAATTCTTTTAATTAATATGTCATATGTAGTTATGCAGTGGATTTTTGTGATTGAATAGGTATTATTAGTTTAAGTCTTGCGGTTGTCTTATTGGAACGAATGTATTCTATTAGACAGACATTTTTCATAAAATGTCCAAATCGATGATTTTGTAGGAGTGGAGTTTCCTTATCCTATTAATAGGAGGTAGCATTTATTGTGGTGGTGTTGTTTTAATGTAAAAAACCTATAAATAAATAATACACATCTTTTTTGTTTCTGAATCGCATATAAATTTTATAGGTCCTAATATGAGTGCAGTGATAATATCCCATCCCACTTTTTAACATCTCTGCATTGGTGACAAAAGTTAAAGAAGTCGTTAAAAAATTAATTCTTTGGCGCACCTAAGGAGAAAATAGGGGGAATTTTTTGACAAGCTTAATTTAGCCAACTTTAACTTATTTTTTGATAAAAAAAAATACACATTTCAGATCATAAAAAAAAAAAATTGGAAATTAAAATTTCTACAAAAAAGGCAATTATAAAAATAAAAAATAAAAAATAAATTAAAATAATACAAAAATTATTAATAAGTTTAAAATAATTTTGCATCTGCGATGCGCATGTACATACATACATATGTTTATTTTTTTTATTTTGTAACTGAAATATTTTTTACACTAAAATACACTTTGTTACTAATTTTACTACATGAAATCTACATAAATATTAATAAATTTATTTTAATTGTATTTTCTTTTTTTTATATTCTGTGAAATTTGCTTAACGAATGGTTTTTGGATTTTTTCCGTGCAACACATTTGCATTACAAATTATTAATTATTATTTCAATTAAATCAAAATCGAAAAAAATATGTACATAATGAAAATCTATAAAACGAAAAAATTAAAGCATTTCTCAACATACCCGGCATTGTACCACCGCGGACGCATTAGGTAAAACGAATGAATAAATCAAAAATATACGTAAATTGGATGTTGAACGCTTTGCATACTCACAAAACTATTGCAGCTTTAAAGCTTTTCAATCACCTTTTCTAATTAATTTGCATTCTCGTTTCATTCACTAAGTGTTTGTACTCAATATTATAAAATTAATGCTTGTACACTTATATATATACTCACTGCTCACGACAAAGCTGATTTATTTTATTTTCACTTATATGAACTCATTATTTATGAACTTCAAACTTTTGTAGGTATTATTTTTTTTTTTTAATAAACTCTGCTTATTTTGTTCACTTTCGAAAATACTATGAACCACATTTTATTTCGACTTTAGATGATTAAAAATTGTTTTTAACAAATTTTCTGTCGGTGAATATTTAATCAAAGTAAAGGTAAATAATTTTTAAGAGATATTTTCATGAGAACAATTTCTACAAAATAACTTTAATTTGGTCGAACAATCAATGCTTAAATAATGCATTGGATTATCATAAAAGTTACAATAGTTTTAATAAATAAAATAAAAAAAAAAACGTAAGTGTTAATGGATTGAAAAAGCAGTTTTGTTGATTTATATAATAAAATAACAGAGCAGAGATTTGATTTTTTTAGTATTGTATTTAAATAAACTTTTTATATTCTTTCGATGTTTTTGAACTAAGTCTATTTTTATTATTTTTTTTTTTTGTTTTAAATTGCAAATCATTTTTACAGCGTTTTATTCTATCATTCAGTTAAAAAATATATATTTTCATCTATCCCTTCAATTCTTTTCCCCACACAATACAACTTACATACACTTTCAACTAATTTTTATATAAAAAATAATCTATAAGACTTGTTCTGGATTTCGATTTGATAACGAATTTTAGTGAAATTAAGACTTAATAGTGCCTCCCTTTCTCGAAAATTTAATTTTGCTGATTTAGCCTCAGCACTGTCTCTCACGCTACTCTGGTATATAGGCAATAATTCCATTTAAATTATGTTTGATCTACGCTTGCAAAACCTCGCAGTTTTTAAAAGCGTAGAAAAAAATTTGGAAAATTTTGCCTCAGAATAATGCGTAATTTTTTTTAGATTTTTTTCTTAGTTTTATTTTCGTTTTTTTTTTTCACTCAAATACGAAATCCTGAACACAGCTGAATCTAGGCTTTTACCTTTCTGTGAATATTTGTATCACTCTTCCGTGCGTAAACTATATTACACCACGTTAAACTATTTATTTATAATTTACTTGCTTAAATTTACTATTTCAACATTAAAACAATTCATTTTTAATAAAACAATATTATTTGATTCTTCCAGACAATATTTTACCACCAATATCAAGCAGCAACAACAACCTACTCCAACCCATCAGCGTCAATAATAATCAACTGCAACAACAAGCAGCAACAATAACAAATAATGCGGCATCATCAGCAACTGCTGCACAAAATGTTGGTGCCACTTGGTCTGAGAACTTAAAGGAGGGTCATCTTAAAATCGATTTGGACAACTTGTTGAATAGCAAATCGAATAAACTCAATGCGTCAGCGCCATCGATGAATGCGTTAAAAACACAGAGTCCCACAAAATCGGGCAACAACAACAATGTGTCATCTTCAACGGCAACCTTTAATGCATTTGTCGGCGGCACTGACAATAATGGCATTTCGCCATTGACGAGTCCTACATTCGGTGCACCAGCAGCTTCACAACTATCGACTGGCTTTCCATCTGCTCCAATGGGTATGCCTGCCGCGTTCTTTGGCGCTACACCTCAAAACATTCCACCGCAATCACAACAACAACAACAACAACAGCAGCAGCAGCAACAAACGACAACAGCGTCAGCAGCAACAACACAAATGTTTGCAAACTTTAGTGCAATGAATTTGGCACAGTCGCCGCAACAGCAAAAGAGCGGCGCAGGCAGTCATAACAACAATAATCAACTGCAACAAGCGCAAGCCTTCGACATATTCCAATGATATCTAATAGCTTAAATAAATCAGATATATGTATACATACAAAAAATATTATTTACTGTATAGTTTTGATACACATATTTTTTTCTGCAATTTCTTCCCTCCTGCAACTGCAATATTCAATACTATTATTATTATGATTATCTGCTTGCGTTGAATGTCGGTTTAAGGTGAATCGTAGCAGATTTCCACTTCTATTGTGTTTTGTATTTTGTCAATGAAATTCGTAAGCAATTAAAAAATGAAACAAGTATCTACATAACTATAAATATAATGTATACACAAATTAAGTAGGCACCAAACTTTTTTGTCGATTATTTACATACGTACGTTCTACATATGTGTGTAGAGCATACATTATATATTGGATTAACTGAATGTGCTGTTATAAAAAATTTTCTGAGTTTTAATTGTTAATTATTACAGTAGAAGTATGCATGTTAAATACCATAGGAAAGTATGTAATGCATACAAACTTATAAACTTACATACAAGTATATGCTAATGATTTTAATACAAATATTTGAAAAGTTAAATAATATTAAACACAAATTTATATTTTAGAAAATCCAAATTAATTATATTTCTGTATACAACAAGTTTGTAAAAATAAGAGTATAAAGTTGTAATTTTGGGAGTGTTTCAAAGCGAATAGCGGAGGTGGTCTGCCGGCTTGCATATGTATACATATGTATGGTAGTAAAGTCAATTTCACATTTCATGCTGTTCTTTAAGTATTAGAATAGAGCAAATTTTAAACTGTTGCTTTGTGTTTGCTTTTTTAAACTTTATGCCTTTTTTGTGTTAACTTTTTTGAAAATCATGGCCATTAGAACGTCAAAGTTGCTTACACACACATCATTTATGTACCATAAATGGATTTGTCGTTGTTTCGAATAAAAAAATATATTAAAGCTGCCAAAAATAATTACAGTCATTCCTGTTAACTGTCAATATTGGATCATCAAAGGCATTTACGTTTAGTTAAATTAATTTAAATACCTAAGTAGGGCCTATCGTGTGCATAACCTTTGAAACTGATAGCGTTTAAACACTCCAAACATGATCAGGCCTGAAAATGCAACATTCTCGATATAACAACATTTATGCAAAAATGTTGTATTGCAATTAATATTATAATAGAACAATGCAATTGGAGTGTAAAAAAGTGAAGCTTATAAACATTTCTAACGAAAAAGCAAAATCTTTCTGCATTTGCAAATAAGCAAATAAAAGCGTTTCAACGATAGATATTTAAGCATTTCAGTCGCTTTTTTTTATATTATGGCTCGGAAAATTAAAATTTGTAAATTCATTTCAAATAAATTCGTTTCAACTTTTTTATATATTTTTTTTTTTAACAATACTTAAAATTCGCCTTGAAACATTCCAAAAATAAAAAAAAATACAAATGGTGGAATACCATGCAGTACGGAAAATTTGTATTTCTTATACCTACTCCGTCCCAAATTCCTAATTCAATTTAGTCGAAAGCTTACAACCACATCACACAAAAGCAACAACTCGTAAACAATAAGCTATAATATAGAAATATACATAAATAAAAAGGTTGTGTAAAAAATTGTAAGTGTTATTATTTGTGTAAAACCTATTGTTGTTCTGTTTCTGTAACTGTTCTGTGCTATCGAAGTCTAGTTGAAATCATTACAAGAATTGTCAAAATTGTATCTATCTATATTAACAAGTACATTATTGTGGAACTCCAAGTGTATATTTTTGAAGATGCAACTGTACAAGTTTTAAATTGCTTAATACTGCAGTATTTTGAAACAAGTTCCAGTTTTGAAATTTGTTGACTAATTTACATACAGCCATGCTATTCTATCAAATATAATTTAAAAAAAAAAACTATAATTAGTTTAATTAATGTTAGTTATAGAAAGTTGCTGCAATAAACATTATCATAACAATTATTATTAACATTAAATATCATTTTTAAATGGTGGCATAAAATAAACGTATTTCCAACCACTATTATATTTGTATGAAAATGTCTTTAACTTGGACCAAATGAAATTCAGAAAGGACTGAGGTAGATTTGATTTTTTTTTTAGTTTCTATCGCGCATATTTCAATTGAATGCAGGAAGTGAACTGATGCACCTAGTTTAAAAGGTTCTTGAATAGCTTTGAAAGACTTAAATTGGTTTTTTTATATGGCTTACCCTTTTAAAAATATACTGACATACATTCCTAAAGTAAATAAACTTCAAAATAGTGAATTATTGCTTTTAAATAACTTGAAACCAATAAGGCAATTGTCGCAACTTCGCAATTTTAAATTTTTATCAATGTTGTCAAAACTTAGTGCTATTCTACATGAACAAAATTAGATTTCAAAAATGTTTTAAAATAACTAACGAATTTGATAGCTACTCAGGTAATTTTTTGACCCCACTCAGGCATTTCTCAAAATTTTCAATACTATGAGACACATCTCATATTCTTCTTGCATCTATGTACACACATAAATATATATGTATATAGATTAAAGTTTGTATGTTACTCAACAGTGGCAACAGAAAAGCTTCTAGCTATTCCAATATGAAATAACTGCTTGTTTTTTTTTAGATATTGTGCCTATTTTGTGTTAGCATTTTCAGGCATCATGCCATTAGGACATCAATTTTTTTTTTTAATGAAACTCTTCATTTGACTTTTTTTCAGAACTATAAATAAAAGACCAGAAAAGCAATGTGTACATAAAGTATAATTGAAGATATGTTGAAACAACTGATTAATGGAAATGCGTAGAGTATTTTAAACACCTAAAACAAATGTATTAAAAATATAGAAAATAGAAATCAAAATGGTATTAATAAAAATTTATTATTCAGTATTTGATATACATACATTAATATTGAAAACAAAAACAAAAAAACAAAGCAAAAATTAAAATGTGTGTTATTAACAATAATAAAACTTGCATGAGCAATTTCAATAACGAACTAACATAAATACATACATATTGTATTTATGAGAAACCGTAGCTTATATGCAAACAAACAGGTATTTAGACGTATAGTAACAGCAAAACTACAGAAAACACAACTTTATTTCGAATTCGATTATACTTGCTATTTTTCGAGAATTCCATTAAACGAGTGAAGATATTTTTTTTTAAGCTGGCATCAAGCATTGAAAAATAAAAGCATGTAATTTTAAAAATAAAATTAATATGTACTTATATATACGTACAAACGGAAAAACATTATTTTAAAACTTGATTTATGTATTTTATGTATTTAGTAAAATATACAGAAAAGAGTGAAAATAATATATGTATATAGCATTTGAAGAAAACATTGCTAAGCATTTTTTCATTGTTTTTAGCACTGCTTTAAACTGTTTATGAAAACTTCATTTTTTTAAGGAAAAAAATTACTGGTATTTTATAATTCCATGGATATATTGTAGAAAAATAATATGAATATCAACCAATACAAGAAAACTGTGTTAAAAATGCACTTCTTAAAATGACGGATCATGCATACATACATGTATGCTTTCTTCCCTACGCTTTATTTGTAATTACAGCACACAGCGTACAGTGGGCTTTCCATTTACCCTTTTATAAATTTAACTGATATTTTTGAACCCACTTTAATCCATCCAATGTATTCGTCTTGGGTTTATATTCGCAACCAATCCAGTCGTCATAGCCAGACAATTTAATAACATCAAAAATATAAGAAAAGTCTAGCTCGCCGGATACGTCAGGTTCGTGACGATGAGGTACTTGCGCAATTTGTATATGTCCGATTATGTCTTTAAAACTCTTGAAGGAGTTGGATATATTACCCGTTATATGTTGCAAATGATATATATCCACCATTAATCTGAGATGATTGCTGTTTATTTCTCTTATAATGCTGCAAGCTGTATCGTACGAATTCATGAAATATGATGGCAAAGCATATTTATTAATCGGTTCAATCAAGCCTAATATGTCCTCTTTTTCCAAAATGTTTGATGAATATTTTAAATTGTTTTTATAGGTGGTCAGATGTTCATTTTCAGCTCCTTCAATGAGGCCAGCCATTATATGAATCTTATTGCAATCGACATCTTTAGCAAAACATATAGTTTCCTTCAGTTGACCTTTAAAAATTTCTTGAGCATTAGGTACACTGGCACTGCCAAATTTGGAGTCTCCGAGATCAATATTAATAAGACATATTTTTATACCGGTTTCTTCTTTTGCTTGTATTACATCTTTAAGTTCAGACTTTGGGTAAGGTATCTCCACTGCTCGAAAACCTGCTTTGTGTGCCAAACGAATTCTTTCGGCAATACATTTTCCTCCCTCAGTGAATAAAAAATTTAAGTTCGCTGCCAATTTCATTGGTAATTTTTTAAGCTAAAATCTCTGACGAGCAAATTTCACAAATGCGTAGGCAGAAAGTTTTGCGAAATTGATAAGAGATTAAGATGATGTATAATGCAAATAGCATATAGAGATTACAGAACAGCTGACAACTTTCGACCATGGTTGCCGTTATTTCGAAATGGTAGTATATTGGTACCCGACTAACGATTAAAAACATAATTATTTTTCTTATCACTGCTATTGCAAAAATATCAAATCAAAATAATTAATATAATGTTTAGAAATAGAGTTTGCGTTTTTTAAAGCATTATATGATTGTTCGGATTTTTAAGAAATATTTAAAAGAAAACCTATACAAAATCTCGTTAACTGATTATTCCGAAATCAAGCGCCTGATTTTTCCCAAATTCACCCCAACCAAATATTAAAAACCAAACATGTACCATTAATATTATAAAATGCACTTTATTTTTAATTCCGAACTAGCGCAATAGTATCTTATCGAAATAAACTAGTGAAAGTAGCAAATTTTTCATAACTTAAAACTAAAAAAGTGGTGTCAAAATAATATACGTGCTAGTTACAACTGCGTAAATACATGAGTTAAGCTAATTATCTTCTTTGACACAATCAAGCTTCAGAGTTCTTATTCTTGTTCTTCTTCTTTTTCTTTTTCTTCTTGGGTTCACCGTCCTCGGCTTCAGCTCCATTATCTTCGACAATAGTTGAATTTGCTTCCTCAGCGTTGCCATTGGCTTTACTGCCCTCCACACCGTTACCATTTTCTAAATCCTCCGCCTTGCGTTTCTTCTTCTTGTTTTTCTTTTTCAATGTTTGTGTCTCAGTAACTGTTTCTTCTTTTTCGGCCGCTTCCATAGCCTCCTTCATTACTTCAATATTTTTTCTTGGAACCTCACCAGATTCGTAAAATTTCAATCGATCTTCAACTTGTTGCTTGAGAGTTTCACCAAATACACTTGTTGGTTTCTCCAAGAAACAATCAATACGTGAAGCAATGGAACATTTGTTCGCCAAGAAACGTGATATACGACCTTTGTTCTTTAAGCCTGCACGTCCAATGAATGACGAATGGTATAGCAAACCATATTTTGGAGTGTTGGAGCGAGTTTTTAAAGCACGGAAAAGCGCTTTCTCTGCTCCTAAAATTTGTACTGTCGATGCGGGATACTTAGCCAAGTTAGTCAAACTACCAGCATGTGAAATAAGGCGCGCACCAACTTGATCTCCAATTAATGACTGCAAATTTGGTGCAACAGCTTCCATCTTGTTGTGCAAATAGGTAGCCATTTTTTTACGATATTCAGATAGTCGAACAACTCGTTCGGCAAATAATTCAATATTCATTAAATCAACAATGGAAATGTCCATACCCATTGACATTTTGGCTGCATCTATAATAGCTTGTGCTTTTGCTGAATCCATGACAATCTCTTCTAATTCCTCAAGTTTATCTTGGGTAAGACTCTTACGATCTTTAATATATTTAGCAGCTTTGGCAAATAAATAGTTATCAGGAACAATTTTAACCAACTCTGGGAAATGATATGAATACCATTCACGTATACGCATTGAGAACGTGTTAACGTCCTTATCCAGCTGATCTAAGAGCGCTATGGACTGAATAATCATATTATCTGAACGATGTACATTGAACTTCACTTTAGCACGAGAATAACTGTGACCCAAGCCCAGTTGAGCTATGCCAGCCGAACTGTCCGTAAATCCTGTAAAATAATGATTTATATATTATAATTATTCATTACAAACTAAGGAATTTCTGATATATTCACCTTTAACTAGACGATGAAAATGGAAACGAATGCCACGAATTATTTCTGGTACTGCACCAAAATGGCTACATTGTACACCGATTGATTCGGTGATTGCGGCACCCAACTTGGCATCTGCAATACCTAAGGTACACTTCTTTTTCTTTAGCTTGGAGAAAAAGTCATCCAGGAAAACCAATAAATCTTGTGGCGCTATACCCTCAGAGATGGCGTTAATGTTTTCAAGTGCAGCGATGGCAGTTTTGAAAGGAGCAAAACCAACCAATTTTACGATTGAGTTGAATTTAGATATATCGGTGACCGAAGCTTCAACTTGGGGTAAAAACATAGACACTTCCTCGAACTCCTTGACCGAGAACAGCGAGAAGCCCGCAGCATGTTCGTAGAGGACATATAGCTGTGACTGAAGATATATATAGACATATGTACATTAGTAAAATTTAATCTATGGTTACTATACAATCTTTGATACATACCATATTTGCAGCAAAATATGCCTCTTAATTCACAAAATTTTCAAAAACGTAAATTATTTGTAAGAAATTAAAATCCACGTTATAACCTTTTCCACGTGTTTTGAAGAAGATCTCAAATGATTTTGACAGTTGTCAATCGAAATTGTTCAAGTAAAACAATGTTGCCAGTGTTCTACTTTTGAGTAAACTTCGATTCTAATACCTCATTCGGACCGACATCGAAAACACGTTGAAAACGATTTTAATGAACTATTGGCTTAAGGGTTATTGTTATTATAAATTATTGTGTACTTAAGCGTAAAAATTTTGGCTTAGGGGTTTTTGCACCGACTTTCAATGTTTACGTTGTTATATCTGAAATCTTTTGTTGACATTTACCTTAAGAAACTGAAACGAATATGGTTGAACAAGTTTTAAGTAAAAACCTATTCTAAAGAATTTTCACAATAAAATACACATAGAAGAATTTACATTAAAGAATTAAATCAGCACCGTTAACAGCAACTTCTCAAAATTCATTATACTGAATGTAATAAAAAGGTAGTATATACAATTTCTGAAAAATTTTACTCATTTTCATGCATAATGCAACAATAAAAAAACTGTTTATCTCTGAGATTTTAAGTTTCTTTCACAGTTGCATTGTACGGCTTATGATAAATGAGTTTCAAGCAGTTTCCAGCGAAACTGGTTTTCGATGCGATTTCTGTTGGCAGTTTTCATTTGTTTTCTAGTTGCTATGCTCATAAGATAATTATCTAAAAGATACAACTACTGAGTTAATTCCTAATAAAGATAGAGAAATTTCAAAATTTTCAAACACAATTATTTAAAAGAAAATTTCGGTCGATATGAAATTGAAAATTACAAAATTTTGATATAATGAGAGACAATAACATTTGTGAAAAGCAAAATGTTATTTATTCTGACATATGGTAGAGTATGGAAAAATTTACTGAGCAACCGCGTTCTCCGCATAAAGAATAAGGGATTTTGTCGTTGAAGGATTTAGAGAATACAGTGATGGAAAAACTAATAAAAATACTAGTAAATACTTACAATATCCCACAAAAAAAATCATTTCAAATTTATTGAAACCGTATTTTACTTCAATTATATGTCAATCGTAATTCCAATTTCACGAAATGTTCAAGAAAATAATTATTTTTATTTGGAATATTACATTTAGCTACGACTGTACTCGAAATAAATATAACACCTTAGGCTGCTATATTTTTCTCTGTCTGCATATGACAGTTATTGAGGTGAAATATTGTGCTCACCTCATTAGTTTTTTTCTTATTGGCCCATTTGTTGCTGTTTCGGGTTATGGTTCGTGTTGTCAAAAAGCATTGAATTGAGGTGACTTCTGTGGCTTTTGTCTTCGTACTGTTAAAATTGTGAAAAACTTTTAAATACAATATAAAGATTTAACGATTTTAAATTGTGCAGCTACAATAAATAAACCTATTGTAGGAAAATATATGCTGCAGTTATCGCGATTCTATATTGATTTTTACTGAATTGAAGAGTAAACGACATTAACTGCCGCTGTGAAAAGTAGAACCGATAATACAATACAACTTCACTAAACAGCCCCACTCATACAAAAGACCTACAAACGCATATAAGTGTGATTGTTCCGGTCGACTCCTACCTTCCTCCGGTCAAGTAACATCTCACGTCGCGGCAATCTGCAGCGTCAAAACAATATAATACAAACAGCAGTTTATTTGGTAACGTTCAAGATTAATGTTCATAATATTTTTGTGATATTCGTCACAACTGCTAAAAATAGATACGAAATCGCTGTGTAAAAATCGACCGGTAGAAAAAAGGAAAACAATCATAAATTTCCAAATTGTGGGTGTCTGCAGCGCTCTTAATATCTGACGCCCCGTGTAAAAACGAATTTCAAGCTTTGTTTACGTAGAAAAAAACAACAGGAATCATGGAATTTTTATTGTGAGTATACAAGTAAATTGTAGATGCAAAAATATAATCCTTTCTAACAAAGGCATTGCCTCTGACTCTTTGTATTAAAATAAATATAAATATTTATTACTGAATATTTAGTAAATTTAATAAATTAATTTTTATTTTTCTATAGTGGTTCACGTTCGAGTAAAACTTTTAAGCCCAAGAAAAATATACCAGAAGGTACTCATCAATATGACTTAATGAAACATGCTGCGGCTACATTAGGCTCAGGTAACTTACGCAATGCTGTTGCTTTACCCGATGGCGAAGATCTCAACGAGTGGGTTGCTGTAAACAGTAAGTTTGTATTTAACCATCTAAATAAAACATATAATTATAATGCTTCTATTTATTTCCTACCATTACAGCTGTCGACTTTTTCAATCAAATAAATATGTTGTACGGTACCATCACTGAATTTTGTACCGAAGAAAGCTGTGTTATTATGTCCGCTGGACCAAAATATGAATATCATTGGGCTGACGGACTTACCGTTAAGAAACCAATCAAATGTAGTGCACCAAAATATATCGATTATCTTATGACATGGGTACAAGATCAATTGGATGACGAAACACTATTTCCTTCAAAAATCGGCATACCGTTTCCAAAAAATTTTCTCAGTATAGCAAAAACTATATTGAAACGGCTCTTTCGTGTTTATGCACATATTTATCATCAACACTTCTCAGAGGTAGTTACATTGGGTGAAGAGGCCCACTTGAATACGTCCTTTAAACATTTCATATTCTTCGTACAAGAATTTAATTTGATTGATCGCCGCGAACTGGCGCCATTGCAAGAACTTATTGATAAATTAACAGCAAAAGATGAGCGGCAAATATAGGAATCAATGCAAGTCGGTATGCAGTTGGAGTTTTGAGTATAAAAGGTAGAGAAATGAAAGCGAATTTAACCAGCATGGACCTATTTCGATCTAACATGTTTGGCCAAAAAGCCATTCAATAAGATATGTTTATCTGTTTTATATATGTATGTAAATGTGGTCCGTTTAAATGAACTTCTTTTTTTGTGAAATGAAAACTTCGAACGATGCCGAAACATAATTTTACCCTATAAATATAAAATATAATGGATTAAAACGAAATGTATTATGTTCGCTTAGACGTCTGTACCGAATGCCTGCATAATATAACTAGAAATTACATTTAAATAATTTATCTCATTTATTATTTTACTTTTTAAGCGGCTTAATCAGCTAGAAACGCAATACATTTAAATAATTAGTTACTGATTATATATATATTTTTTACCATTTAAGATTTATTTAAAAAAAAAACTAGTCTTAAGTTCTGAATATTCCTACTTAAAAAAAAAATCATTAAAAGTGTGCGTCAGGCTTACGCATACACTCGAAAAAATATTTAGGTATAACGTTTGTAATTCTGTTGAATTGCCGAAAACTAACTGCGAAAATGATTATTGTTCGAAAGCGTCATAATTATCGAAAGTGTTAGTACCACCCATTATAAGGCAAAATAAATAAAAAAAAGCATGTATTTAATTATGAAAAAAAAACAATATTTTTCTATTGAAATAAGTACGATTACGATAATAATTAAGACAATTTTAAACAACAATAAAATGTGGCTTCAAAAGCTTACCGGCATAAACATTCACTCTCAGATGTTTTCATTTTCATTTTCATTTGTTTATATTTTTTATGTAAAGCAAATACATACTAAATAGAAATGAATAGGTTTACAAAAATGCACTTAATCGCATTTTCGGGATAGGATAACCATTTGTTGGCGAAAAGACTAAGCAAAAATGGAGTTAAAGGAAAATCATTTCTACTAACATATAAATTCACGTAATAATTTTTAGCACTTGCATACATACATAAATTTTATATACCAACAATTTTGCAATGAGTAATACCAAAATTTTTCCCATCAAAATTAAAAGTAAAAAAAAAAAAAAAAATATTGCAGATCTTTGATTTTGATTAAACTGTGTAAATGACTTATTGCAATTTACCTCCACAAAAAGAAGTCGAAAATGTATATACATATAACACTAACACGCTAAAAAAACCCATAAAAAACAAAGCAATTAAAAAATTAAGCACTGCATTCATAAACATATAAATAACTTTAGTAATATGTATAATCATATCGATTTTGTACTACAGGCATACATAAATATATACTTGTATTTTATATTGGGGGCCATAAAACCCTTGTTGTAAAATACGCATATTAACAATAAAAAATAAAACATAATTTACTACCAATATACCGTTAGTAGCAAATGCATTTTAAAAAAGTGTAGATATAAATCTTCCTCTGCTTCCACGGGCAAGTACTGCATCGAAAGCTTCCAAAGCTGGAGTGCTTTTATTCATTTGGACGACATGTCAATGTCGTAGCCAAAGCGCAAAGAACCATAAATCGTTCGCAAAACTTCTCTCGAAGACTCCCAGGATCTCCTTATGGGATGTTGACATCGTCCACGCTTCTGCACCATATAATAAGACGGGAAAGATGAGTGTTTTGCAGAGCTTGGAATTGGTTCGTCGAGCGTGGTCCTTACACTTTTCAATTTCCTACTCAGTCCAAAGTAGGACCTGTTGGTTAGAGTCATTCTGCGTTGGATTTCTTTATTATACATATATATATATTTAACGGAAGGAACGTAATTGGTCACCAGCGTAAGTGTTAAAATGAAAACCAGACCAACCAAGCGAAAGAAATTTGTGAAAGATTTCCAATTTTAACTGACTTATTCCTTGAAAAACGGGTGATAATTTAAATAAGAGTATATGATTATTTCCCTTGTAGCAACCAATCCCGTTTATCCCTTGCTGAGCCCGTTAAGTTGAATCTGGGAATCATCCGAATGCAATGGAATTACATCAATCTCTGTATTTCCATTGCCCTTGTTGTTGTTGTTGTTGTTGTTGTTGTTGTTTTTGTGAGAATCTTTGGCCGGATGAAAATACAGCTCACTCCGATATAGAGACCCGACTGTGGCGGAAGCTATTGGACCTTAGTCGCCTCTTTCGACAGACATGCCTTACAGCGGGTAAATTCTTGAACCTCTTACCTTTCTCTTTCGGTATTACTGCTTTTCAAATTCACAGATAAGATTTAAAAATAAGAGCAGAACCTAAGCTCAATACGTTAATCTGGAAACTGAAGTGCTCGGGTAGCAGTGCAGCAGGCCTGGAAGGACAGGATTCTGAAGGTTAACCGAAAAAGTGTTTTTAACAGGATATACAAACCACACTATTTAAACAATATGTATAGCGCTTTTACAACCGTTAAATCAACTGTTAACTAATCAAGTGGTTTCCGAAATGTACTGCAGAGTGACGACCAGAATTAGAAAAATTAATTTTAATTTTGGCGCGTAAATAACCAGGTAGCAGCAGAAGCCGAAATGCAAAAAGGTAATGGAAAGCTAAACCCCATTTTACGCTTGCTAAGCGGTCATTGGAGGAAAGAAGTGCTTACATCTACCCTAAGGACTACATGACATCGTCGTTTATCAGATACACCAATTGGTCCACACAAAATGATCCTTATAACAAAATCTTGGCTATAGGTCTAAGCGCACTGATCGATGTCTATTCTTACTAAAAATATGAAGTTTTCCTGACACACGGAGTGTTCTCCTAGATTGTTGAGGAAAATAAATATGTAAAATATTTTTATTGGGAATTGACTTTTATATTCTTCAATTCAAGAGATTGTTGCTCGGAAAAATCGTTTGCAGCGTAGGGCTCATCTGTATTATTATATATATAATTGGCGCTTTGTAGCCGCTGAAGCGTTTTTCGGCCGAGCTCTTCTTATAATCGAGTGACATGCAATTTACACTAAGCCGCCTCGGGCGGCCTTTCATTGCTTACATAAATGGAGCATTGGAATATTGGTGGCACCTCAGGTCAGACTCAGCAAAAGGAAAAAGGCTATTCTCCAACACTCCAATGGAGTATCTGCGCTTCATTGGAGACAAAGTAAACAGTAATTTCAGAGTAGCCTTCGATGATGAAGATAATATTTACAACGAATAGAGTCAAACAGATGAATTTTATCATTATTAGTGTGTAAGTATTCTTCTGGAAATCATATACCGCGCTGGCTTGTGTTGTGACTTAATTATGATTTTTGACACCAAGCTGTGGTTGTTCGAACTTTATCTGATGATATTTCATTTTTCTTTCTGCCAGAGGCCTAACAAACACGCAATGAAATCTTGCTGACAGTCAATCTTGACTTGAAGATCGTTTGTACCGACTCAATGCCCTTCGACCACAAAGGTTTTTGTTTTATGTTGCTGAAAGTAATCCACTTTCCGTAACCAATCCTTATCAGTAGCGATTCGCAGTTACAGATTCGGCCCACTAGTTTTTTCTCATTGACTCTTGCGGCATCCACACATCGGGCTTCTTTCAGTATCCAGCGTTTTTGAATTGTGTTTGAAGATTCCACAACGGAACCTAAACTGAGACACCAATATCGATCACAACCATATAAATGAAATAGTGGATATAGAACAAAAAAAAACGAATGCTAATTTTTTATTTAATTTAAATTATGATTCTGAAACGCAATTACTTAACTTTCGAGTCAATAAAACATTACTTAAATTATTAAAACATTTATTTTAATTTTTTTTTAATATGCATACATAACACACTCAGCGAGTACGTAAATTATTTCTTTGTAATTTATTTACTACAATTCATTCTACATTCGAATTAATTAATATTTTATATATAGAAATTTATATATATTTTAAGAATATTAAAAATACATCTATTCCAAATGCGCTAATATTCAGATGCAAATATATTCGTAGACGTAAATAACAAAGTAAGTACAATATATTTATGTATAAATTATTCTAATGCAAAAACAATCACACAAAAAAAAATTTCCTACAGCAATCGACGAACACAATTAAAAGTTTCCATTGCCAGCTAAATCATAATTGTAAATAATATGAATTAAGCTTTTTTTTTTTGCTTGTAATACAAGGACGTTATAATAATATATTACATGTTCACATACTTATGTGTATGTCTGTATCTACGAGTATGTAAATGATCGTGTGAAATAATACATACATGCAGGAATGAAAAAAAATCAACTTATGCACTTTCTTATCATTACTTTTTGAATTTATTCAGAAATTATATTAATAGCTTATAAATAGGCTTAGCATTCTATACATTTTATACGCCTATTAATAAAACAAGTACATATGTATGTACGTATGTATGGATTATAAATGGACGTTATATTGTTAAGAATTTTTCTACGCTACGTAATATATGTATGCATTCCCTTAAGTTGCCAATATACTTTTATATTTGTCATTTTCCTGATAGAAGTTAATGTTCTCTTCTACAAGTCTCTTCCATTTGGCAGCCAGTTCTTTGTAACTAGGTCCTCTACCGCCGACATCTTTTGGTAGTCCATCGCACTCTACTGTGGTCAAACGTTTTTGTACAACAACTCGTGAACGCATTTTCGGTGTCATAAATAATCTATAATGAGAAGAGTAAAGACATAAAAAATTGTTGAAATAAATTAAAAAGAATATTCATATTTTTATTAAATTTTAAATAAAATTTTTTAGAGAAATAAAAAAAATGATAAAAATGAATTTTACACTTACCTGAAAGTGTTCAAAAATATATTCACATGGGTCGGTGCATTTATAAATTCCAACAATTTCGGTTGGCATGGATAAGCCTGCCAACTTTCGACAGAATGTTTGATCATTCTGGGATTTAATTGCAAGGCGTGTCCGAGTTGTACACCGGCCATGTCGAAAATAGCAACAATGCCATGCCCGCAATTGTCTGGCTCGAATTTAAGTAGCAGATCCAGCACCATTTTACTAACCTAAATAAGGTAAAGCCAAAAAACATCCATAAATATGATTTAATTTTTTTGCAAAGCGTTTATAAAACTATTTAATATACCTTAAAAACATTGTTCTGAGAATGTAATTTGGGATCATGCGCAGCAGCGCGTATTATCACAACCTTACGGTTTTTTGCATCAACACCATCGACTGGCAAGAAAACGCCCAGCTGAAGTAGGACTTGTATTTCTGGTAGGTAAGGATCTCTGTTGGCGAACCATTCCACACGTTCGGCACGCATTTGGTAGAAACTGAATGTTAAGTAAATATAAGAATGTTAGATTTATTAGAATGTTAAGTATGTATATGGTAAATATAACGGAAAAAGTACCCATTGTTATAGTTTATTCAATTGTAGCACCGTGGCGTATGAGTGATAATGAATACACTCATTTCATTAGTTTACAACAGAGGTGCTCAACCAACTAACGAGAAAAATTAACTCAACGAATTGAAATCGCTTCGCCTCGGCGCCATAGCATCGTAGGCCATAGTGTCAAAACTCATCGTTAACGATCACTTTAAAATGGCTGATTGCTATGATTTAACAGCGCACAACAATTTTAACTTTTAACATTTTCTGTTAACCATCTAGCATTTTCTGTTAACGATCTAGCATTTTCTGTTAACGATTTAACATTTTCTGTTGAGGATTTAACATTTTCTGTTAAGGATTTAACATTTTCTGTTGAGGATTTAACATTTTCTGTTAAGGATTTAACATTTTCTGTTAACGATTTAACATTTTCTGTTAAGGATTTAACATTTTCCGTTAACGATTTAACATTTTCTGCTAACGAATAAACATTAACGAAAGCCTTTCGTTTCGTGTAAAAACGAAAAGAAATTTATTTTGATAACTGCTTTAACGTTAGTATTTCCAAATGTTTCAAGCGAAGCGATTAACATGAAATTTATCGTTACCATGTAGCCTGGGTTTAAGCGGCCGCACCCAAGCCATTGATCAGGCCTATTGACAGTATGGTTCCGCTGCGGGGCAGAGGTTCAAGAGAGCGACTAAAATCTAAAAGTTCCCGCAACACTCGGCTCTTTATACCTGGATTTCAATCCGGCCAAGGGCTATCAATCTCGCAGCAGTACACAAAAAGTTCTTTGGGAAATGTCATTGCGGCTACAAATACATGATTTTGCGAACAGTATGTTCTGTACAAGATTCCACTGTTAAAGCACCTGCAGATTTGGCGCCTTCACCACAACCATCTTTGTTTTGAAGACTGAGTTGTAGTCATTTAGTTTGAAGTTACCTTGGTTATCGGGGCGGTAACAGAAGTGTTCTGCTCTTGCCTCGCATTTGCATCCATCAGATGAGGATATCTTCTGTTACCGATGGCCTTGCTTTTCATAAATTATAAGTATTAGGTTGCTTGCATCTGGCAGAATATTTCCTTTTCTCTGAAACGCGCTGTACGTTTAGTTCGTGTTCTTATATTGTTTTCTTTATGCTGCCACATCCTACACAATTGGGGTGCTGAGCTCAACTACCTATGATACAATATTTAGGCGGCTAGCTGTTGGTGCTGCTTCATAAGTCACTTAAAAGCAAATTGATCTAATTGTCAAGGATTACTTTCAGGGCCTTTATAGAGGCAGTTCACATCGCGCCTGCCATGTCTATTAAGCATATACTTTGCAACCGTTTTAGAGGATAAGGTTAGGTTGCAGTGGCTATCGATCTATCAGACCGGATTCACTTAGATCTGACTTAGACCCATTGTGATAATACGGAATTCTTCTTTAGTACTACTACAGTATCAACTGATTTACCCTTAATGTACGTGTGCTGTTGAAAAAACACCCACTCCGGTCATGGACTCCTGTCACCTATTCGGTTATATCCAGCTGTTTTGAGTTTAAAGCTTTTGAGGGGACTTTTTGAACACTTTGGTTGGAAAAGTGTGTTTTTAATAAGATTTTCAAAGTATTATAAAATGAGCTGCGCATTTCTGTCAACCATAAGCGTGGTCTGCAAATAGTTCTTCGCTAAAAACTTTTTGATTTTCGTCGTTTCACTTGAATTTAATATACCAATGGTTAGAGAACGAGGATGAACGAGACGAATGAGAAGCAGTTGAAGAAACTACAGGCTTGCCAGAAACCCGTCTATATGACCGTGACAGGAAAACTTCTGATGTCGCCGGAGCATCACTTCCACAGTGAAGCATTTATGCTACGAGTTAAGGAGCATAATGCTTTGCTGTGCAAGTAATTCCTATTGGGATGCTGAACGCATGCACATCAGAAAAGGAGTACTAAACGAATACTATCTAGCAAGACGTCCAACAAACGATGGACAGTATGGCGCACAGACGGACACTGACTCCCTTCTAGTGAATGCCGTACTTGGAAAAAAATAGCTCGAGCTGCCGCGATAGACCCGCGTTAAACTCCTATTATCAAGACTCGAGGGCAACATATTCAACGTATGTCCTGCATGTAGGGAGTCTCCGCTTGACACAACCACCTCTTTACGTGCACCCTGAAACCGACGCATCTAACCCCCTTTCCCTCTGGTCCGAACCCATCGAATAAGCGCGTTTCCTGGACCTCCCGTTAGATGACCTCGGTACTTGAGACTAACTAGACTGCCCCTATGCGGGGCTAGCGAGCCGCTAAAACAACAACAGCAATAACAAATTTATTTTGGTTCATCAACGCTATGGAGAGAACATTGCAACAGATTCCCACTTTTGGATGGGTTCTCTCGATGCCATTGGGACTTAGCAAAAAATAACGTAACTATTATATGATAATTGTCTATGCGTTTTTTTGTATATGATTTCTGAATATTACTGTATTTTTTAATAATGCCATATATGGAATGGAGGTTCCTGCACAGTTACGAGCATAAACTTATCAATCAATCAAGGTCCCTCTCCCTACCTTAAATTAATCTGCTCCTTTTCCAGAACTCAAGGTTCAGAGCTTGTGAAAGATTGTGAATTCGAAAACTAATAGGGAAATAATTTGAAACCGAAGAAGCTTGGTGTAATATGTCGTCATAAGTTATCAGTAATCAGATTTCTGTTTAGTACAAAGTACTGAAGTTCGAAATCCCATGAGCGGAGCTTTAGTTTTCGCCAATATTTTAATTATATATATAATATATATTGCGACCAGAAAAGCCTAGTAGTTGACATTGCGTACTACCATTCGTAAGGCCACGGTTCGAGTACTTGTTCGACCAACATTCAAAATTATTGAAAATTAATAGCGGTCGTCTTTCGGCGTTTCGGCAGTGAATGTCAAGCTATCCGATTGAATTTCTGACATGTACTCAAAGTTCCTCATAAAAATCCATCGACCGTTCGAAGGCGGTTCTGAATGAGACCCGTATGTAACACAAATTGGAGGAAGAGGTCGGCTCAAAATCGCTTCAGTGGTTATAGAGTGCCACTTGTTCTATAGTAGCATTTTTTTTTTCGCAAAAACCGAGTCAAAATAGAGCAAATTAAAACAGTTTTCAGAGCAAACAATACAATTTTTTTACAGCTGTGACTAGAAAATGAAAACGAGCAAATTTTTATTATAATTATTTCAAATTTAATTCGCTATCCGAAATATGATTCAAGAGATTACTATCTTCAGTTGCTCTAACTCTCTCTATTGTTGATTTGGCAGCAGTTCTGTCGAACTGAGCTTGAACTGCTTTACGCTATTTTCAGTTCCAAAAAAAAAAGGAAACAAAACCTAATCACTGCAATTATAGAAAAACAAAGAGAGCACATATTTACTTAAAGAGTTTAAAACTGCGAGATTCGCTATTTAGAAACGACTTTCACTGTAAATAATGATTAGCTGTATTTTCTTCATCCACCTAGACTTGCGTCTTATATTCAGATTTAAAATTATTTCTAATTTCATGATTTATGTTTTTCGTGTTGATAATAATTATTTTTTCAGCTTTTATTAAATACTCAAACAAGATTTTTTGTTATTGTCAGCGAATTGAATATAGCTCAGAAAATAATCATTGCTTTTTGAGCGTTTTTTTTTTTAAATTAACTTATTCCGAATGTTTTTGGTAGATAGAGATGGCATTTCATCTCCTTATAATAGTAATTGCGGGGTTCATCGTCATTAACGCCGAAACATTTTTTTTAAAGAGATATCAGTGGTTCTCTAGAACTCTGCCCCTTCATATACCAATGTGAAAAATGCGCTAGGCTGTTTCAGCAACGAAGAGCGTGACTGTGAACAGTGTTCAGAAAGTCGAAAAATTATTACTGGCGGATCAAAATTTGAATTGCGGCAGATAGTAGAAGCATTACAGATTGGCGCAGAACGAGCTGGAGAGATTTTGCATGAATATTTGGGTATGGCGTAGGCTCACATTTGTAAAGATTGTTTGAAGTTGTGCCAAAATAATTTGGATGAAATTTGCAACCGCATTGTAACAGTTAATGAAACTTGGATTCGTCAGTATGATCCCGAGTGCAAACAGGAGTCGATGCCGTCGATAGAAAGACAGGGGAAAGGCCACCAAAAAAATTCAAAATGGCTAGGGCTACAATTTTCTAGGATAATGAGGAAATATTATTGATTGATTACTTGCCAAAGGGAACTATAATGAACAGCCAGTGTTATGGTAACTTGTTGAGCTGCCGCGGGAGGCAGTCACATAGAAGAGACGTGGCAAGCTAGCACGCGAAGTGCTGTTTCTTCAAGACAACTCACACCTTAAAACCGCTCGGTTTGCCTCAAAAGCATTTACAGAAACTGACCATCCGGCTTACAGAACGAACCTGGATACCAGTGACTTTTTAACATTTTCAAATTTAAAAAAGGAATAACGTGGAGGAATATATTCAGACGATAGTAAGATGATAGCGGCCGTGGAAAACCATTTGAAGAACAATCTAAAGAATATTTTTTCAGCGGTATAACGGCATTGTATTGACGATGTGAAAAGTGTATTTCACTTGCGGGGACTATTTTGAAAAATTAAAAACCTAAAACTATAGATTGCTGGTAGTTATCTGAGTTTGATTGGTAGTTTGATTGAAAAAATAAAGTTAAGAAAAAATAACTATTACTTTCTGAGAGAAATTTTTATTTGCTGACAATAACAACAACTATTGTTTCATTGTTTAAAAGAAAAATAATCATTCTTAACGGTACCTGATAAAATTTATATTTTTTTCGATACAATAGTGTATTACATATCTATCACGATATTTTAAACATTATGTTACTGTTGTTTAGGAATTAATTTGTTACAGGTTAGGAATGATTTAAGGATACAATATTTTACACTGTTTTAAACATTTCGAAAAACTTTAGTATATAGCCTGTGGTTTATCTTTACGAAATGGTGAGGAATGGTAGTAGGAGGTCTACAATTACCAAAAATATAAATTTTATCACGTGCAAATTTATAGTTTAAAAGTTATCAACATTTTAAAATTGCACTATTTATGATATATACAGGGCGCCTCCTGCTGTTTAACTTATAAAAACACTAAAAACACTTGGTTATGGGGGCGTTGCCGCTTCAAATAATCTACAAATTAACAATAAATAACAGAAAAATACAATAAGAAAACGAATGTTGACACTCAAATAAAAAAATAGCTCGGACCAACACCGGCTTCACCTTGCACAGTATTCTTAAGTGAAATTTCTTTGTAAATTGGGGGCCTTCGACTGCGTTTTGGATTGTAACCACCGGGCAGGACCCACACCTGCTTCGTCTGAACATTTCATAAAAAAAAACCACAGACTTTAAACTAAAGTCAACCCAAACATTTTGTTTGAATATATATTTAATATGTATGAACTCTTACTACAATCAATTTTTTTTTAACAAATACTCAGCGCACTGAACGAAAATTAACTGCGCTAAATGAGGTATCCTCTTAGCATTTTGAGGCGTTTTTTATTTTATTCAATATAATAAGATTTGTATTTATTTCAATTATGTCATGTCTCTTTAATGTAGATGGAAATGCAAATATGTTTATGAGTTGACAATTCTAATGCGATTCTAAGTCAGACTTTGAGTTTACTTAAGCATAGACATATGTACGAGGTATGTTAAAAAAATATATTGAATTTTGTGTTTTTCCAAATATTATTTATTTATTTATGAATATCTATTTTGTTCCCTTCAAAGTGATCCCCATGAGATATATACTTCAAAAAATCATTTTTTTATCTTGTTCAGCTCCTCCTTCGATGCGGATTGCTTCGCGCAAATTGCTCATAACTTGCAGGTAATATTCCTTATTGACCGTTCTACCCTGTGGCAAGAACTCATGATGCACCACACCCCTGCAATTAATTTTTTCGTCTGTTGTTGAAGTGCTCGGGCGTCCGGCACGCTCTTCGTCGTTCACATCTTCCGGCATTCTGAGAACATTTTGTACCACCGATAAATGTTGCTCCGGTCCAAGGTAGCTTCTCCGTATGCCACAGTCAACATTAGGAATGCATCCGCGCGCTTAAATTCGTTTTTCATACAAAATTTGATACAGGTTCTTTGATCCATTTTTTTGAATAGATAAAAATCGAAGACCATCCAAAACACGTGCAAGCAAAACAGCTGTCAGCAATTAAGTGAACATTCAATATGGCCGAGCTTGTCGGCATAAGTGACAGACATGAGAACCAACATAACGCTACAAAAAAATTGAAATTCGATTCTACGTAACCCGCGAAAATTCAAAATTCACGATACTTTTTGAACACACCTCGTAAATTTGTATGTATGTATGTGTATGTACATACACGATATACACATATATTTTTATTCTGACGCTCACTTCTTTTTTTCACTTATAACTTCCAACTTACTTTTTGATTTTCTTCTTTGTTCGCTCTACATCATATTTGCAATTACGCAGAAAGAATACTAAATTCTCATAATCACTATTTGCATTCACATTCGGATTCTCCCTCAACCACTGTGAGATATTTTGTATTTGTAGATGAATTCTTTCGGGCTCCCCATCACAGGTGGCGACTTTCCTTGAAGCGTGTAAAAACATTTGTAATTTGAATGTAATTCAACGGAATTTTATTTTTGGCAGTTTTTTTTTCGTATGTCTTTTGATTTTCACCACGTGAACTTTGATTTTAGTAGGAATAAATTTAATTATTTTCCACAATCAAACGCACAACCGAAATAGTAGGAAGAAAAGTATAGGCAGCTCCTTTGGCGGAATAGCTATGTACATACATATGTATGTGAATATTTATTAAACACTTGTGTCGCGACGCTAAACGCAAATGTTCTTATTTAGACGAACGATCGCGCGAAACTGTGTCAGCCGACGTCAAATTGCCGTAGACGAAGCTTTGTTTATGCCGTCTCGCTTGCCGGTTTTGACGTTGTTTATATTTTATGTTCGTGCTTGCGATTCTTGGAATAAATGCATTAAAATAATACCAGATTAGTAAAATGCAAGTGCTAGGGCAACGCTGCCGGCAGTGAGCACGTCCGAATGGGGCGGTGCAGTGGGATGAAAACAAGAGTCGCTGGCTCGTTTCTCTGTATTTGTGTTACTGCGACAATTTCTTACCTTGAAAATACATTCATATAAACATATACATATATTTATATATATATATATATATATATATATATATGTATATATGTATGCATGTATGTATATGTATTTGTGTGTACTTACAATCATTTGGTTAAATTGATTAGACTTTTTATTGATAATTTTAATTACACTTGCAGCTGTTGTTGTACTTTGCTACTTTATTGTAGGTTCTTTGTTTGTTAAGAGACCGATATGCGTTAAATTTTTGTAAATCATTTATTGGATTTAGCTAATCCAGTCAACTTAAGCAGAATAAATTTAAATGCTTCAAACCAAGTAAGTTTTAACTTTTTCATTTCTGCAAATGTATTAGATACGGGCATGTATAGAGGTGCATGCACAAATAACTGCACATAGAAATTACGTTTTTCATTGTTGAACTTGACAATGAAAAGACATACCATTAACAACATGGATCAATGTACTCGCGTTCAAATGTATGCATGTCCATATTGTTATCTAAATGCATACACGTAGGTGTGGTACTGCGCTTGCGGGCGGGAGTGCGGCTACTCAGTTCGGCTGAATTTGCGGATTTGCAATTAAAACGACACGTTGACATCGTTAAAAACGTGTATAAATGAACCCTTGTTTATTTGGCGTATATATCTATATATAAATACGTACACAATATCGCTTGAGTTATATGATGTCTGCAACACAAAAGCAATTGGATTATCGTTACCTCATGTCGTGTTATTGTCAAGGAGTGAATGACAAATGAATTCTAAGTTTTTCATTGTGCATTTTTTCAACCGGCCAATGACCGTCAAGTACAGTAAGGCATTTTTATTTCCCAAACGAATTTGAGTATTTTTATCAAAGAGTTCTAAAAGTAGGTTTTTGCTCTCGACTTCTTTATAACGGAAGCACGTAAGCCTATTCTTCATTTCGCCAATTGGAGACACCAAGTAAAGAAAGATTCGTGTCCACCTGATCTTTCCATGTTTAAGCTGGCAGATACTGCAACGAATACTTTGATAGCTAGAGTTTTTTCATCCCTATGGATGTTGGCTGACAAGATTTAGGCAGTGCAGCCGCTATCTCTTAAATCGCTATGTCAATGAGGGTGTAATGGGGGTTGATCTCAATTCGCAGTCTTACGTCCACGTCGCTCACCCTTGAAACTTAAGCAATCCTTGAACAAAATGCAATAGCCAGCTCGTGTGGAGCCTAGGATAACGACTTAAATAGAGGAAACTTCAATGGAGCCAGAAGTTGAATTGCAGCATCTGTTCACCAGTGATACGGCTGCAATCTCAATTCGAAGATTTCCGTGCCACAATGCAGAGAAAACAGGCTGCCTAGCTTGCAATGTTGCGATCAACCACTACACGCGGGTTAGGATAGAGAGAGAGAGAGAAAGCGAGAGAGATAGAGAGAGATAGAGAAAGAGATAGAGAGAGAGATAGAGAGAGAGAGCGCGCGAGAGCGCGAGAGAGAGAATTGAATAGGGTGGTCAAGAAGCGTAAGTATGATGAGGTTGATAAGCCCGAGGAAAAGGATAATGCTGGAAAATTCTCCGAAAAGAAGCAGCGACTCACAAAATATTCCAAGACCAAGTCTTGTAAGAATCAGATAGGTGATCTTGCTAGTTAAATTACATATTACACAGTTATAATAACAGTTAGGCAATGGGTAACTAAATTTTAATTTTTCAGCTAAAGCTTAAATTGGAAAAATAGATCTAATCAATAAGCTATTTATCTCAATAAAAGGGAAATCGAAACCTAAAAATAAAATAACACAACAAAATTACTGGCAAATGCTAGCAACTAGTTTCTCTGTACAGTTAATCTACGCTATTGTATAAGCATTGTCTAATTATTATGATTATTATGAGTGTACATTGCATTCATCGATTATGCTTACATATGCATGTACGTGTACATACGGACTTAACTGAAGCTATTAAAAGCGATAATCACTTTAAAATTTGCCTTATCGTCAAAGCTAATCCCTTTGTGTTTGTTTAAACCAAAAATCTAAAGTCACTATGTACCGCCTTATAAAAAATGTACAACAACGAATTTTATACCCGCCACAAAAAGGCTTATCATAAAACAGAGTCAGCGATTTGTAAGGGAATTAATTGTAGACAATTTGCATCCATTTTTTAAAACAATTTTTTTAGGAATCAATACATACATATAAGCGCTTTATAGTCGCTGAAGGGATTTACGACCGAGCTACTTCGCCAAATTGTGGTGTACGTCTTCCAACAAGAATAGGGACGGACCTAGAGTTTTTTCTCAGCAGTCTCCGAACTATAAAAACTTTTTTTTTCTTAGTATATAGGTGTGTATATAGTATATTGCTTTTGCTGAATTAAAATAAAACTTACTTGTTTGGGAACCGTTGGAAATACCGTACAGTACATCAGTAAATTTGATAAAATTTATATACCTTTTATTTGGCTAATAAAAATATCTTGCCTTAGAAGAGCTGAAAGACTAATTTTGAGGTTATCTGGTCGAAAAAACGACCTCTTCTCTAGAAGATGTCCAACGGAAATCCGACATTAACAGGCCTATTCTCACTGTTACCGATAAAGAAAATTTTGTTACGTTTCTTTAACACCAGAATTTGAATTTGGTATTCTGGCAAACTGGTTACAATGTTTGAAAAAAAAAACTTGGCAGCACTGCTTTTTTCGTCCATGTCAAATTACATTTGCCAGTTGATAAAGTAAAAAGAAAAATATTCACCACAAAATGGAAGACGGCGCAGAAAAAAATTAAAAAGTTTTATTAATTTGTTTATTAAATCATAAATATATTTATAATATTATGGAAAATATGCTTGGACAAAAAAAAAAGCTGAATGAAAACGTTATCTTACAAATTAAAGGGCTATTTTTTGTCTCGAAAACTTTTTAAAATACGCCTTTTTGCGCTTTTTTCTTCATCTTCAATGAATTCCAGCCCTAAAATGTGCCTACCCATTTTGGTTTTTATTTTTTCTGAAACTAACAACACAAAATCAAACAGCAGTTATTTTTAGTACCTCCTATTTCGCTGGTAACAAAATTTGCAGGGTAACAGTGAGCTCAGAATACGAAATGGTAACAAAATTTAATAAATGGTAAATTTTAATACCTAGGTAAATTTTGTTACCTCGGCAGAATAGGCCTGTAAATACAAAAGTTATTTAGGGAAAACAATTTAAGGTTAGCCCTAAAATATTCTTTTATAGCCATTAGTTTAGCCGAGCTTTCGTTTATGGAGTGACAAGCTTTAACTTTTTTTTGACCATCCATTTTAAATTATAAAATTATTTATTCACTTATAGCAAGACGAATTTATAGATGGTGAAGTTGTCACATCATATGATTGCTTGTTCTTCCTTTCATTTCAAAAACTAACACAAACAAAATACTTGAGAAAAAGGTTTTGACATTTCGAACAGTCGTTTACACAAACAAAATGCATTGAAAAAATTTCGTTTTTCACTTTTCGACACTACGATTTACACAAACAAATTACAAAAATTTTTTGACCTAAGTTCAATTTTCGCGAACATTTTGAAACTGTGAGTATGCAGTTAATCATGTAGATCAACAAGTGTGGTCAATATCATTTCATTGCCACTGAGCACTGGAATTTTATTTTAAAACTTCGGTTTTTTTTACCTTTGCCGTGACTTTTAAAACGTTTTAAAAACTCCCATCTTCTGAGCATTTTATTAAAATAATATTATTGACATTAAGCTGTTTTAAAAAAGTCGGCGCCTCGAAACTCATGATTTTTTCAGCAGAATTACGATTCATTACACAGTGCAACATTTTTCGGATCATCGAATCCGACAAGACTTTCGTTCTCGAAAGTTGAAAGTATATGCCAAATCTTAAATTTGTGCATCATTCGTTATTCGAAAGAAGAAACGTGTCCACCGAGAAATTCAAAATAGCATATCGTTTTTATTTCGATGAACCAGATTTGACTGAATGAAGACTATACGGTTTTGCAAAATTTGCTATACCAATCTTTTGGTTAGGACGAAAGGAAGAAATGCTTGCAAATCATCTGTTCGAAACTGAGCAAAGGAAAAATTAAAAATGGTAAGTATTTCATTGCTGATCAAAACCCAAATACATACATATATATATGTATAACTAATAATTTTTGTTTCGCAGTACTAATTCATTTTTTGTAAATTTATTAATTTATTTTGTCATACTGAAAAGGTGCACTAAATGGACCGGATATGCCTTAAGAGTCGGACGAACAAAGTGTGCGTTTTCACCACATCACCAAGTCAATAGAAATGCGATATAAGGGAAAACGCACTGCATGCATTGCTTGCGGAAGTATTTTGGTGGTCAAGGAAAATAATTCAATTTTAAAATGAATACACCGAAGAAGTGCATTTGAGCAAATATGGACGTAAATATGTCAATAAATGTATTTACTGACCTTGATCAAGATGATGTTCCTGGTGTTGCTGATGCTGATAAATCACGCTTGTGGTGAATGAAGCTATCATAAATATAGGCATAATAGGTAAAAACGAATTGAAATTGAATTGGGTTTATTATAGTTATTAGAAAGAACAGACAAACTTCAATATTTGCGGACATATAGCTGTGATATATAGGCTAAAAACGGGTAAAGATTTTAATTTTTGTGATTTTGAGACCAAAAATGATTTTTTTTCGACAAGTTTGTTTTACTTTTTTTGCGTCTATTCAATAGCAACAATTTGGCTTCAGATACTAAAACGAAATTCCGTGCAGTTGACCAGATGTGACCATGTCAAAATATTAAGAAACTATTAAAATCACTTTGAAAACGAGGTAACGCTCTCAGATTCTTATATGAGAGCAAATCAAGACTTGACGTCTACATTCAACATCTGATCACCAAAGTCTTATCGGAAATTTAGTGTTGCATAGTGTAAAGGCAAATTAGGTATTTACTCACATATATAATGCTCTAAATTCATTCCACTCGAATCAGTTGTACTTCATTTGCTTTCCTATCTTATTTTATTCTACACCATTTTATTTTTACCTTATTTGATTTTATTTTCCTTTTTTATTTGTTTTTATTTAATTTTATATATTTTTCTTTAATTTTACTTTAGTTTGTTTTATTTTATTTTATGGTTTAGTTTAATAAAATTTTGTTTTATTTAATTTAATTTAATTTTAGTTTACTTTTTTTCAAATCTAATTTGATTTAATTTTTTCTTTTTTGTTTAATTTTAGTTATTTTAACTTTTATTATTTAATTTAATTTAATTTGTATTTAACTTGATCAATTTTATTTTTATTTCAGCTAATTTAATTAATTTAATTTAGTAATTTATTTATTTAATTTAACTTTTTTTCTTCTATTATATTTCATATTAAAATAATTATTGGCGCCTTGTAAACTCTGAAGCGATTTTCGGCCGAGCTCCTCTTGCAATTTGTATTTTTTACGTTTCGATGTTATCCGAACAAACAGAAAGACCTACAGTTTATATTAAGCCATATCCGTACGACTTATGGTGTTTTATAAGCAGCCTTCAATTAATGTCGTAAATACACGCAGAGTTCTTGAAAATTTCAGCCGACTTTAATTATTTTATATTATTTTATTTTAGTTTTATATTATAAAAGCTGAAAAATAAATCAAGGGTTATCTTTTTATCACATCTTTATTTACTCAATTCCTGTGGAATTAAAACATTTTTATCTTTTCAATAACATTAATCCACTTCCCTTAGAGAGGAATACTCCGACTTTTTCTTCGAAAAGGTCAGTCTCTGGTCCATATTATTTTCGTAAAAAGCGGACATAATTTATTTCCCTATAGGGCATGCACAAGTAATACCCTTCTATTCTATCTTAATTTTTATTTTCATACAATTGCAATAAATAGCAATTTGAACGTGACATTTGAAAACTTTCAGCTTATCATTCATTCTAAATATGAGCTGGCAGATAGTGGATAATACATAATGCAGCAAAGCTACTACCCTACTAAGAAGCCCAAATCAATGAAGTGTATTAAAATGAACGATTTGAAGTGAATTTCCCATGATTAGTGCAAAATTCAAAATTAAAATTTTTATATAAAATTTACCTTATCACTTTTTCTTTAAATTTGCGTATTAGCAAAGGCCCACAAATTGATTGGAAAGTGTCCCGAAAGCTTTCTGAGAAAAATCCCGCTTTCTTATCAAAGTTTTGCTCACATTTCAGTTTGTTTACCTTTCGTATTTACATGTAAAACACTTTCTCAGAACCAATGTTTTTATTAACTGATCGATGTGCATCGTTTAATAAATAAATTTATTTAATAAGGTGAACAGAATTGATGAACTACAATAGATATGCTTACAGATATTTTCTTATAATTTTGTATATGCGAGTACATATGTATGTATGTAGGGGAAGATCGCGCGTGAGACCTAATTGGTATGCAATCAATATTGTTGCTTGTAGCAAGGGTGATTCGTGAATATTATTTTTCACCTAATTTGACAGCGGTTGCAACAGCACCACAGCTATAACTAAATTAAACACAACAACTTCGAGACGATATCATTTACGCCGATAGAAGTAACGAGCCGATATTTCGCGGCGATAGATCGGCAAATTCAAATTCGTAGAAGAGTGTGACCTTTGGTTAGAGAAATAAGGATAATGCTCGAAAATTCTACGAAAAGAAGCGGAGACTCAAAGAAGGTTTCAAAACCGGAAAAACTCTTGTACGAACTGCGTTGTGATTTGGCAACTGATGCCCAGATTATACTAAATTTCGGAGGAAACACTTTCTAGCCTTCTAAATGGCAGTGAAAATGGTACACCAGGATCGATGATAGATAGAAAAGATGTTTCATGGCAGGACTATGATGAATACCAACTGTCCGCTTGAAATGCAACGAGAGCGACGGGGGTGGCTGGCCGATTTATTTAAATACGGTGGTAATGAGCTGATAAGGCATTAGCTTCTTTGTAAAAAATGGCCGGATGGGATGAAATCTTGCACTACGATTGGAACCTAAGTGTGCTTTACGCAATATACAAAAAGGGGGAGCCTAAACCAACCTTAGACAGCAAAGGAGCTGACTCAGCGCCGCGAAACTTATACGGCTAAGTAAAGTGGTGTTAGGTACTGTCAAACGGAGCGTCAAGATCGGGATGGACTTCTTTGTGTCGTTCGATACCAAACGCAATTTCCGACAATGTGATTACTGTCATAAAAAAAACACCGCAAACGCGACTCAGTTGCCACCTCTCTGGAGGAACAAATACCAAATTTTAAATCATCACCTACGACCTGTTATACGATGCGCAGACATGGACGATGACAATATCTGAGGAGTCGGTGTTGTGAGAATAGAATTATGTACCTCTGGACGTTTGCAAAGACGAATCGCTACCTATAGATCGGCTTCATTGATATAGTTCAGCTAATCAAGAAGCAGCGGCTATGTTATGTGGTCCGGATGGATAAGAATACTACAGCTATGAAAGTTTTCGATGCAGTACCCGCTTTTGGAAGCAGGGAAAGACGAAGACTTTCACTCCCTTGGAAAGGTGAAGGAGGACCTGGCTGTACTTCGCATTTGCCATTAGCGCCGGATAACGAGAAGAATGAGTTAATGGCGCGCTGTTGTTAACTCGACTATAATAGCGTAAGCGGTGGTAGTGAACCACTTGTCCTATAATATTGAACGATTTGTCAATCAACAACATGTGGCCAGATCGAATAAAGCCAATTGTGACCCTAGTGGTGTTTACGTAAAACTAAAATAAAAACCCACACGAAAACTAGTCATGCCTTCCGAATGTAAATAAGGGATTTCAACAGTTCTTATGTAAAACTTATGCACATTACTTAATTCGTTGTTGTTCTACAAGCACCTACTGGCAAATGTTGTCTTTAATTGAGCAATGGGATTTGTTAAAGTGTACATTGCATTATCTACATACCTACATACATACACATATGTATAACAAGGGAAGTGCAGATTAGCCAACTCACATTGCAACGGTCTATTTCATTTTCCTGGTTAATCTTCTTTCTGCAATTACGTTTCCATCATAAACAGAAAATGTATATTGATAGTCCGATAGTGCAAGTCAACGCCTCGGTGGGTGGGATCTATTAGCTAAAATCGAAATTAATGAACTGTGTTCGATTTAAGATCGTCCAATTACAAATTCGTGTTACGAAACGAAAAATTCGTTGAATGTACATTACAACAAATTGACTGAAATTAGCGTTCAATTGGTAAGCTTAGTTGTAAGGTGGGCATAACAAAAAGAAAACGGACATGAAAGAAAAGAGGGAGGCCCTTCGTTTGCTAGGCCATAGTCGTGTTAATTTTCAGCATGACTTCAGGTCTCAAAGACACAGTTTCCACTAAACTTTTTCACTTCCAAGGCCTCACTTTTGCTACAGGGTATGTGCAAATGCGAGGGTATCAATTCTGTAAACATACTGTGGTGAAAATGCCATGAAGTATAGAATCCAGACCATTGGACTACCATAGGCATCAGAGAAAGGTTGATAAGAAGATGAAAAACTGCCGTGTTTAAGAAAAGTGTGTGTGGCGATCGGATTTAGGTGGAGGGCAATAATGGAAGCACAGGCCGATAAGTAAAGTATATATCAGAGCGCATATATCCAATGTTCGTAATCGAGAACAATCAAAGACGGACTTTCTAAAAAATAAGATAGAGTACCTATTAAGAAAAAAAATTAAGGCCAAAATCAACGAGTTAGAAGGTCGATTCCGGTATTGGCAATTTAAACGACCAACTGCATCGCCGAACGCTCTCAGGGTAGCTGGGTAAAATACCTCAAAAGAGCAAAAATCCAGAGGTTTGTCAACGGAATAAAGGACATATACACCGAGGGGAAGACGTATGCGTATCCAAAGCCAACATTTGCTGAAACTATCTCGTATCTGGGCACATTTTTGTATAGACCAGTGTTCCTAGCGAACCGTCTGGAGGTGGAAAGTGCACATGCGCTGTTGTAACAGTCACAAAGATCAGGGTCAGGAAGTGTTGCCAATATAAAAAGCCAGGACTTGAAGATGGACTTCACCAGACAGCAAATTGGTAGAAACTTCTTACTGAATATGGACACATCGCTCTCCATAATTCGATATGAATTGATCATCAATAAGGTAAAACCGTTGCAGGAGCAAAACTGAGGACGCTAACAAACTGAGGACGCTAACTGGTCAGTACACTAAGGTAGCGGAAGAAGTAACGTGTATGTTAGGCGTATTTAGTAAAATCAGTACAATACTTAAAGCTAACGTATATTGTAATACATTTTTCTCATTCGAATAAAAGTCAACAGACGGCCAATCAGTTTTCAACTCGAGTTGCATTAAGAGAGCACAACAACAACAACAAATCGGTATAAAGGAACTGTTGGTCGGCATTTCCAACTCCTTACCTACAGCTGCAAACGAAACTATCGGTTTTCGACAGCCAAAAGAAAAGTTGGTACTAAGTGGAGAGAAAAAAGCTTATGGGCAATGGGCAATGTCACGATCGAATGCAGTTCGAAAGATGTGATAAACAACCAGAGTTGAAAGGGAGACAGAAGTCAGAAGATTCGATCATACCGAAGCTTTATACTTTTTACGGCCATATCAAATTTGTTGTATTTATTTTTAGGATTAAAATTAGATTTAAGGTATAATATCAATTCTTTTATCCCTAAAATGGGTTCGGGGGGTGGCTATATGATGAAATTTTCCGATTTCGATGATTTCGTTGTCATTTTCGATTATTTTCAGCACCAATATGTAATTCATCATAAGAGTATCTGTGCCGAATACTACATTCCATGCTCTTAGATGACTTTTTGACGTATGTTCGTTTAAATGTACCAAGTTAGTTTGAAATGTCTCAAAAACCGAGAAACTATAGTTTAAGTACAAAGTCCACTCGTGATTTTGTATCCGGAAGCACAATCGGTATAGATCTTCCATCACGCCAATATGATAAAATTCGAATAGCGATTGTCCGCTTAAAGAGCCGATCGTTTTCCCGCTAAGCTATTCAAGGTGGCGGCAAAGAACTGATGAAACTATCAGACAAGAAATGTTTATGACTTTGGTTCTCTTAGTAACTCGAGCTCTTTAACTGTTATGTACACTCGATAGCTAAGCTTGATATGTTTTAGCATAAACCGAAAGTTTGAACAGTTGGTAACTTTTGGCGCTAGCATCTTGGCGATGCATCTCTAGCTTGTTAGAGCTTTGTAATATAAATTTGACTTGAAATTAGAGGCATTCAAAGTTTTTCTAAAGCGAAATTAATAATAATAATAATAATGAAAAAACGAAGACACCTGTGGGTTAGGGGCTCAAGAATTTACCCGTGGTAAGGCATGTCTGTCGTAAGAGGCGACTAGAGTCCAATAGTTCCCGCGACAATCGGGGAATAATTTGCGGTTACAACAACAACAACAACGTGAAAAAGCGAAATTTTTAAATAGACCGACTCATTGCTGTTATGTATGCGGAGTTCGAGCATTGATAGAGGCAGTTGGCTTCCCAAATGTCAGACCAAATTTGTGCTAGACTTATGCAGGCCTCACAAGGCACTTCGAAGTGGTCGTCCTTCGCGATGTTCGTGAAAAACTCCATAAAGAAAGATAGAATTATACAATCTTAAGAAGTATACAAATAATAACCACGCGGATTTATTCAATTATGTAAACATATTCCTGGTACGACCAATAACCAAAGGTTAAAAAGTTAAAAAAAAAGTTTAAATAAAAAAATTAAGTTAAATTTTTCTAATTGCGGTCGTCTCTCGGCAAGGAGAGTCAACCCCTCCAAATGCATTGTGATATACAATTTCAAAACGTTACGTTCTCATTTGAATGCGACTTTGTAGTATCTGTAGCTAGTTAAAAGATTAATGTCGAAGATTCTATTTTAATTGATTGACATTTATGTAAATTATAACTGATGTTGTATTTATTTAATCCAATTACATAACACTAAATTAACGTTTACAATGTATATTTAATAATATAATTATATATGTATGCATGTATGTATGTATGTCGACTGCACTGGTAGTGTAGTAGATAGAATGTAGTCAAATGAAGCTATAAATAGTATGGCAAAGTGGTGAGCATATAAAAATGAAACACGAAACACAAAATACAATAAAAAAAAAAATACTCGAACAATTGTAGGAGGGCTTAAAATGACCCACAAACATACAACAAGCATAAACAAAGCGCTAACAAACAGTAAACGAATAACTAAAGTAATATTAAGAGACTTCAATTTCGAGCTCCCTTAATAACATATCAAATGCATATACCGACGATACAAACGTATACGGTTTATTATGTATAACGCCATAGTCAGGTTCGAGGCTAGGCAATGCGTGATTAGGAAATTGCTGTTGTCGTTTATTGGCACGTGCCAATGCAACAGGGTTACGTAGATTTTGATTCATTCTCTCTTTGCGGGCTACAAGTTTTTTTGTCTCACGTACCACATATATAGCTTCGGCAGTTGTCATGTATTCGCGTATAATCTATGGAGAAGAAAAATGGAATTATAAATTCATATATATAAATTAATAATTTTTTTTTGGGTTTCACAAACTTACTTGACGCTTGTAAGGACAGTGCGCAAAGAGCCAAATGAGTGTGCACAATGTATTGAAGATTTCACCATCTTTGTCACACCAACGCAACAGCATTTGGGCTATAGTCACCAGACCGCTCTCCTGGAAAGTATTCGCTGTGGTGCTGTTATAACGCGCCAAATTCAAAATAATGCGACTGCAATAACGAATCAACTGTTTGTCCACTTCGCTTCGTATTGTTTGTGCCATAACACCGTAGCAGAATGTCGACACAAAATCTGACTGATTCATTAGAATGTGTGGCACAGTTCGGGATATGCGGTCTACAAAATGTAAAAAAAAAAAAAATTATAAAAAAAATTGTTAGAGAAAATTATGTCAGGGAAGGTTTGTATTATTCAATTGCACTTTAAATGGTTATTCATTCCATTAATATACATATATGTATAAATGGCACTTGGTAATCGCTGAAGCGACTTTTGGCCAAGTTCCTCCTCCTTCCTACAAATAAAGGGACTTACAGTTTATATTAAGTCTCTGCCGGTTGTTGGTATTTTTTATGAGGAGCCTTTAATATATGTCAGAAACACGCTCGGAGGGGTCGACATTCCCTGCCGAAGGCGACCGCAATTAGAAAATTTAGCTTAATTTTTTATTAAAATAAATTTTCTATAACTTTTTGGATGTTAGTACGACACGAGGATTTGAACCCGAGCCAAATACCAACCACTCGGCTACCGCGGCCACTCATTAGTATTGGATGAGTGCATAAGTTCGTGGCCGATTCCGCTGGATGCCGTTCGAATCGTTTGAGAGTGGCGGTGACAGTCTGAACTGTAAATCAAGCATAAAATAACTTCATTTTGATTCGATGTCGAAAGGTGGATTGCATCCGATGAAGGTACTGCTGGGCATTTGGTGGGATATCCGAGGCGTGATCTATTTTGAGCTCTTGCCAACTGGAGAAACGATCACTGCCAACAAGTATTGTCAGCAATTGGTCGAATTGAAGAAAGCAATTGATAAAAAAAAACGTCTGATTTTGGCCAATCGCAAAGGAGTTCTTTTCCATCATGACAACGCCAGGCCACATGTTGCAAAACCGACCCTGGCCAAACTGAAGGAGATGAATTGGGAAATCATGCCGCATCTCCATATTCACCTGACATTGCACCTTCTGATTATCATTTGTTTCGATCGATGCAGAACAATTTGAATGGAAAAAAATTTAAAAATGTGGAAGACGTCAAAAACCACCTTGACACCTTTTTCAGCGAGAAACCGTGCGATTTCTACGAATCAGGCATCCGTAAATTGGTTGAACGTTGGGGGTGGATTGCCGAATGTGATGGCGAATACATAATTGATTAATGAAAGCACTTAAAATCGGGCACGAACTTATGCACTCATCCAATACAAGTATAAATAAAATTAAAATATAAATAAAATTAAAAAATAAATGTATTGCATATAAAAAATAAATTTAAGTAAGACGTTATTACAAAAAAACTAAAATAGTTTGTGATTTAGTTTGAAAAATTAAAACATGTTTTATCTTAAAAATGAAAAAAAAAAAAAACAAATAAATAGTAATAATTTCGAGTATTTACAGCTTTTTGATGTTATCGCTAGGTGACACTAAAATCGCGAAAATTGGAATAAGCCAAAATAGTATTTCAGAGTTACAAATGTATTGCCCCCTACAGCGGATATATCGTCAAAAACTCCAAATTATGGTACCGTGAAATTGGATGGTCACATGCTGAATTGAAATTTTTGAATTTTGTTTGCTTAGACGTACTAAGTAATAGTTTTAAACTCTTGCAATTATTGAGTGTAAGCAATTTTAGGAATTTGAACTCACCTAAACATATAAGAACGTGTAGTATCTCCGAAGCGCTCGAATGATCGCGCAACACACAAACCGCATGTGAAATTTTTGAACTGAGGGTGTTAGCTGCCTGTGTGGTTTGACGCCAAAGCGCCATATTACGACGAATCAGACGCATTTGCATGCTCTGGAAGGATTTGCGTACACGATAGCCACGCCAGAAACGTTGTATAACTCTCGCGGCTTTCCTACGACGTCGTTCTTCGATAATTTCAGGCGTCATTAATGCCTGTAAACGGCGGCGAGCGAGTAAGCCACGTGCGTAGGTTTGCAGGGTAAGTGCAGTCTGGCAGAGTTGAAGGTATCGAGCGCGTTGTTCTTGCATTAGGCGTTTGCCGCGGAATTTCTGTTGCAAATGTATGGCGGTATTTCGGATGAGTAGGTATTCAGTCCGCTGCTGACGCATTACACAAAGACCACGAAACGTTTGTTGCAAATGGATTGCTGTACGTCGAAGCAGTAAGAAATCATATCTAGCCTTTCGCATACTAAGTTGCGCGCGATATTTTCGTTGCACACAGATGACCAGCGTCCGAATGAGTAAGTATTGCTCGCGTATTGCCAAAGCTTTGCGTTGTGAACGATAAAAGCGTTGTATACTAAGGGCAGCGGCGCGTTTACGCTGGAAAGTTGCGCGTGCAGTGCGCATAAGAAGAGTGGCGCGCCAACGGCGTTGTATGCATATGATGCGTTGTAACTGTTCCTGATATTCTTGTCGGACACGACGACCTTGTAGCAACGCGCGCCATCTGCGCTGCACACATATGCAGTTGTTTCGTAAACGCGTGTAGGACGTCTTCTGTTGGAGCGTCACTTGTGTGGAGCGATACCATTTCTGAATGCGTATAATAGCGGCACGTTTTTTCTCGTATGATTTGCGTTGAATACGCATCTCTCGCATGGCACGGTATCGTTGCTGAATTTGTATGATTTTGTTTCGTTCGCTTTGATAACCCATACGAACTTCACGCATACACCGCAGCGCGCGATATCTACGTTGCAATGTGATCGCGGCAGATTTTAGACGCTTATACTCCATGCGTTGTTGCCTCATAAGACGTGTGGCGCGAAAACTTTGTTGCACCACTGTTGCAAAGTATTGTATCGTAAAGAACTCTACTCGTATGCGACGCGCCAGCAAAGTAGCGCGCCATTTGCGCTGTATGATAATACAGCTCTCGCGCAAATGCGCATATTTGGATTGCGCCACGCGCATAATTAGTTTAGCGCGATATTTTTGCTGTATCATACAAATAGTTTGCTGCAGTTGTAAATAAGAGACGCGCTCACGACGCATCGCTAATACCGCGCGCCAGTGACACTGTATTATGGTAGCTGCCTTACGTTTCTGTATGTAACCGTTACACACTGCCCGCATTTGCAAGGTGGCGCGGCGACGCTGTTGTAACTTTATCACACAAGCGCGAAGCCGTTGGTAATCTGCACGCTGTCGTATCATAGATCGATTGGCGCGCACACGTTGCTGCAAACGTATAGTGGCGGCGAGCAATTGTAGATACTTCTTACGTTGATCTCGCATGGCGATCACTGCACGCCATTTACGCTGCAACACGATTGCGCTGAGTTTTAAGTCTAGGAACGCTTGGCGCTGTTGCTTCGTAGTGCAGTATGCGCGCCAGCATTTCTGAATGCAAGTAGCTGCCTCAGCACGTTTCTCTTCACAATAGCGACGATATTCGTCGGCGACTACCAACAATTTTTTCGACAGCAAACGCCGACGATAGCATCGTTGCAGAAATATTGTGCAACAGCGTAGTATTGTGAAGTGTCGACGACAGCTGACAGCGAGTGCGCAAGCGCGATACCAATGCTGTATCTTGCACACTGCGACTATGGAGATTCTAAAATGTTTCTGCGCTAAATAGCGCCTGGTATGTTTCTGTAATATCACCGCTGCGTCGGTGCGCTCCTTTCGATACAACTGCACCCAGCGTCGCGCTATGTAGCCATGGTAATACGATTGTATAATGGTTGCCGCATGATGTCGACGGCGTTCTTCCTTATCACGTATAAGCCGTCGTATCCACACCCCCAACCATTTACTACGCCACCATTTTTGAAGCACACGTGCCGCTGCATGGAACTTTGGCGAGCGAAATTTATAGATAATCTGCCAGAGTAGCGATAACGTCTTCTCGCGATGTCCGTCCACAATATCGGCAGCGGTAATATCACCACTCAATTTAAAATCAGCTTCACTTAGGGCACGCAGTCCCAAATTGACATTGTAGATACGCTGCAAGCGAGAAATCGCAGGCACGCGCAACTGTTTGCTGAGATCTTCGCGTAGCAATATGATTTCCATGACACGCGTTAATCGTATGCCGTCACGCAGATCTACCGCAAGGTTTTGAAATGCATAATTGAATTCGTCCAGAAAAAATTGTTTGTGCTCCAAAACATAACCGAGGCGTTTCAAATCACGCGTGATATCGCCCATATTGGCCAGTAATTCGGAAGAGAACTTGAGTAGAATGTCTTTCGTTTCCTTGTGGGGCGAATTTTTGACAAAGAGGCACGGATTGTACTTGATAATGCGCTTTTGCTTGGCTTTATCGAGAAAAAGTAACAAGCAAAGCATTTTGGTTAGCGTGTACTTCTTAATATACTCAGCGTATTCTTCGGAAAGCGAATAGGCACGTGAATATTTCTCTTCCAAAATTTTGTCTCGGAAAAGTCGATTCAATATGAATGTACTGAGGCCAATTATATCGGTGTTGGATCGCATATGTATTTTTTCTCCGTATACTACCTCTAAGCCAATGCGTAACCACATTGGATTAAAACAAAGCAACAACTCCAATATATACCGTTGCATCACAACATCAAGATGCAAATTTCTATCGTCGCGTATACGTATTGCATTCTTATTTACGTAGACGGCAACTTTCGAGCAGGGTTCGCGTACTTCAGCGCTTAAATACAGGTAAACAGCTGCACGTCGGACGACCTCCAGTCTATGTTGCACAAGATAATCCATTGATTGCTCTTCTTTTGTTGGCGCTAAGGCTAACTCCTTATGGCGCACTTCATTGAAGAGTTTTCCAACATCAATTTTTTCATCGCTGTTCGAGTCCATGTCCGCTGGTATGGTGACCAGCGCATTTAACCATTTTTTAAAATCATGCTGATGCTTCTGTACAGCCGTTTCATCTAAATACATAGTCGACGCAAGAAATGGGTCACACGTAGTGCTGGCCGCAAATGGGTCAGGGTTAATGCAGAAATTTAAATACAACTCCGGATCATATAGTTTTTCGGATTGATACGAAATATTTACAGGTTGAATATTTGGAGTAGTTACCTTTTGTTGGCAGGGTGATTTTAAAAGCCGCACTTTTTTTACTTGTGTGCGTGTCCAATTTTTGGTGCGTGATAACCCGGGTAGTGACGGACGCTCAAATGTGAATTCTTTATCTACACGTTGACGTTTCGGTGGGGAAACTAGTATCAGACTCATATTCTTATTTACATTTGAGGAGATTTTCGGTTGTGCCGCAGTGGTGGATTTCGTTGAAGACTTATCGCTGGTAGTGGTCGCTAGGGATTCACTGCTTGGCGCATCGGAAAATGATAGATCCTGAGAATTGCGTTTATTGCTGCCTGATTTAGTGGGCGAGTATTCGCTTAGTTTAATTCGCGAAGATTTCGGTGATACACCACGTAAGTCCCGCCATTTGCCTGAGACTGCAACTGGACTGGTTCTGCGCGATTTAACGCCAACTTCGTTCAAATTGAAACGGCTTGATTGAGCTAAAATTTCACTTTGATTAAATGCGAGATCAACTTGCGAGATAAGACCCATATCAACTTCCTCACAGTCGTTTACAGTTACGTTACTCTTATTCCCTAGCGATGCTGTATTGGAACTATGCTCTTGGATAACGGACATTTTTAGACCGTCTCGTGTTGACGCACGATCATTGAAGAAGTAGCGATTCTGTTCAATAGATCGTATGCTCTCCATTTCATTCAGATTCGGCATTGAGCCTTGACTCGCCGAATAACGCTTATTAGGAGAACGCCATGAAAGGTCTTTCATTGATTCTGAATACTTTCGTAACGGTGTACCGACTAATTTTACATCACGCAACAAGTCTTTTTCGCGCGTTGGGCTTTCTTCTGCCAACTTCTCTTCTTTCTTTTTAATATAAGTTGTTTCACTACCACAAAAGCTCACTTCTTCTTCCACAATACTTGCCAAAGGACGCGATTTGGGTGTTGTGCTCAGTGTAGTGGTTTTGTTAAGTGTCAAACCGTAAGTGATCGAGCCATCCAGTGAATCCGTAGAAATATTTATATTATCACGTTTGACTTCGAATGTTTTATTTGTTACAATTGTGTTGCCAGGTGTTTTTTGATCCACATGAAACTCAACTGTCATTTGAGTGGTATTTTTATCCTCAACCACATCTGTGGTTTCATTTGCCGACGTTAACCGTCGCGGACGCAGTGTTGATAAATTTACTTTCACAGTATCCACACTGACGGGTGTTGGCCAATTAGCTAGATTCTCTAAATCTCGTTGCGCACCAGCAGCGTTTTTCGCCGCGTCGGCATTTATAGGCGTAAATTGTATGTTATCAATCATTTCCATGACATTATTTGGTGTCAAAGGACTCACATTCTCTTTGTGCGTAATCAGTATGGGTGACTTGGTAGTTGAAGCTGAAGTTATCGTTGCATTCATTGCTTTGCTGTGTGTGTATATATTTCGCTCAGAGAGTGGAGAAGTGTGTGTAAAGTTAATTGTTATTTCATCGAAAACTTCGCGCTTCTGCTCCTCACGTAAATGACAATTTGAGTCTGCCCATACTGATCGTGGAGGTGGAGCACGCACTCGTGCCGTGAATGGCGTTGCTGCCGATTTATTTGATTTTTGTACAGTTTTTGTTGCTGCCTTTTGAACAGTTGTTGGTACTGGCCTGCGCGGTTGCGTTTGAGCTGTATTCGATTTGTGCGTTTTTCCAGGACCTGTGGGTGATTTGAGTCGAAGTGTCCTTACATAACCATTATTGCCGGTTGAAAGTGTGGGGAATTTGCGTACAGTCTGAAATCAATTTAGGATAATTTAAAATATTCTCTTGAGTGCATAAAACATTTGAAAACCTTAAGCTATTTCAGTACAATAGCGTCAAATTGTATAACTACTACTTGAAAGCTCACTGAATTATTAATTAAATTTTATAATAAAATATTTCGCAAAATATATTTACTTCTTTTTCAAATTGTACATCTGCTGCCTAATATTTCTTGTTTAAAATAAACTTTTTTGTCAACGACTAAAAAAGAACTAACTTTACATGCTCATAATATATACATGCATGGCTGCAACTTGATAGAACAATTAAATATGGCTGTTTTACTAACTGCTACTAATTGTGTATTGCTTAGCGTGTGTGCTGCATTTCAAAACCGACTTCAATATATAGTGCATTTTATTAAATCAACCCTCTTTTGAGTGACATATTCAACCACCGTTTTTTTTTTCAAATACCATATACTTCTTATGCACATACATTCATACATACATTAGCATAAGCATTTAGTAATAAGTGCTGCAAACACTATTAGAATTTTTGATATGAAATTTGTGAACATACCTTGACTGGATTGGTAATGCGTGTTTTCAGTATGACCATAACATCTTTACGAAAATTTCTATTATCTAATAGTTGTAATGTCTCCTTGCTGGAAACCTCTTCCAAAGGGCTCCAAACCATCTCCATCTCGATAGTTTTTGAACGCGGCACAATATTCTCCGTCCAATTTATAGTAACATTATATTCCGCACTGATTTGTCTAATGACACGTACCTAGAAATTAGAATATTAAAAATATAGAGATTGTGGAGAATTTTTAATTTCTATACCAAAATAACATAATTAAATTCTCAAACTAACAAAAAACTCAAAACTAACACTGTATAAACAACACAACTCTACATTAATGTAGGGAAATCGATTTAATTTCGAAACGGTTGCCACTCAACATAAGTACGCTAGCGGAATTCGGTTAATAGTCTAAAAAGCGGGTCAGTAAACTCGCAAATGTATGAAAATTTTGTATTATATATAAGCTGAAAATTTCTACCTCTATATCCTCTGATGAAGTGTTAACTATACGCAATATACGACGCGCTGTTTTCCCTACTGGAACGTCTTCAAATTGAACGATTGATTTCGCAGAGAATGGAGCCATTACCACATCTGTGGGCTCACGCGATTCAATGCGTTTCTTGCATTTTGATCTCGTAGGAGTCACCACAACCTAAAGGAAGTTTTTGTTATTTAAATAATTGAAGTACTCAAATCAATTCACAAACCTCGAAAGCACTCATTTTGTTCCACGATATATTATAAAGGGAACAGAATTACGAGCTGTTAGGTTCTTAACGGCAATGACAAATTGTTGAACAATATTAAAATACAAGACAATTCTCCAAATATATACATTAACTTGTGAAAACGTACAATTAAACAAAAATTTTATTACTAATGAATACAAGGAAACGGGATAAATGAAATTCCAACCGCCAAATTGAAAAATAATGCAAGGGTTGCACAGCTGTGCGCTCTACAGGGTTGTATTTCAATGCATACAATTTAATACAATGGCAATTCAACTATGTGGAGTGTGTTATCTTGTTTTAACCGAAATTATTTACTTTTTGTACATACAGAATTAGATTCACTTTTATGATTTAATGTCTTTACTAGTTAAAGCATTAAACAACAAACAAATATATTTCTAAAGCCCTCTATATATAAATTTTTTACAGCCGAATGTTGTTGAAACTTTGCACGGCAGCCTTCAAACTGTTCACATTTTAAAGCTATGGTAACTTTAAAATCAATTAGATTTTCAAGTAACTTTTTGGAAAATAAATTTTGGCTTTTAAATGGAAAATAGGAGATTAGGTTATATACCAATGGTGATTACCAATATGAAATTGGCTTCATATGCAAGAAAATGCAAATATGTTACATTTTTAGCATTTTTTCTGTTACATTATGCGCCCTATATTGTTAAAAAGAAAACCAAATGGACGAGGGCTACCAAAGCTCCTAATACAAACACAAATCTATCACAAGATTTTTCAGTTAGATTTCCAACTTCACATTTATTGAAATAATGATAGTAAATGAAACACGCTCACATATTTATTTACATATATTTAAATGTATGTATATACAATATACATATATATATATATGTATACACATATCACTATTTACTAAACGTTAATATTATATATAATATAATACACAAATTTTTCTTTGATACACAAACAAAAATACATACATATATACATAGAAATAAAATAAATATCAAAATAATAACAAACGAAATTAATATAAATCAATCATCGAAGTCGCTATCAGTATCAGAGGCGTAATACACGCTGCGCATATAACCTGGAAAAGGTGTTACTGCGTCTAAATCATCTATTAGGTCATCATCAGGTGGCTCTACGGCTTTGAAAGTAACAGCGAATCCACGCAAAGAGGTACTCTCATCCGTTTGGAAACGTATCAGCAAACTGTCGGTGTATGATGTTATTGTAGGTGGTTTCTGAAAATATAAATTAAAATATTGTCATTATAGATATATGTATGTATGTATGTATTTAAGTTCACAAATATAACATAAATTTTCAGCACTCACTCTGTGGCCACAAAATCGTCCATGATTGCTATTCCGCCTGAGTTTTTCATCATAAATTTCTTCTCTTATTTCGACAGAATCATATTCGCAGTGTTCGGAGTTTTCAATTTCAAAGTGTAAAAATTTAATTTGTACACTACTTTCAGAATCAGCTTCTATACGCCAATTACAGTACATACGACGATTGTAGGGTCGACTTCCGTAACGGGGATGTGAATAGAAAACTTGAGTATCATTAGTTGCCCGCAAATAGCCGCCACATTCTGAAAGAGGAAAAATATTTCATATATATCTTTATCTTTATCTTTATCTTTATCTTTATCTTTATCTTTATCTTTATCTTTATCTTTATCTTTATCTTTATCTTTATCTTTATCTTTACCATTTTCATATTAGTGAAATGCAAATCACCTATTTAACCACCCACCTGTAGAATATGTCGCGCGGAATCCTTTTCCTTGCAAAGTTGCATCCGTCCAAAGTACCATAAACATTTCGTTCGTTGACGCCACCACCGAATACGGTTGATGTCCGCCGCAGTAGGTGCCTAACGTTGAACTGTTTTCAGATTTACCATCATATAAGGCAACATAATCGTAAAAGCACTCCTGCGAACATGCGAAAAGAAAAAGCAACAAAAATTAAGTGAAGGCTTTAAGTACTTTACTACATACATACATACATAGAAACAAGTATGTACATATATACATAGTGCTCTAAAAGCCGACTAAAACGCATATTTACCTGATGGTTTTCCAATTCGAAATCGTGAAATGTTAGCCGCACTCGATGTCCAAGCACAGTACGAAAACGCCAAAAACAATATGTATTGCGCGGATAATCGTTTGGGTAGTTGGGACTGTAAATTGTTCCCTTGGGGCTGGTGATTTCGAATTTGCATTTAGTTTCCGTACAATTATGTCGATTCTGGTGTAGTGTGTACCCGTTGCGGCAACTGCAATCGTACGAACCCAATGTGTTTATGCAGTTGTGTTGACAGCCTCCATTATTTATGCTGCACTCGTTCAGGTCTGCACATGAGAAGAAAGGACAATTAGTGGAAGTGTGAAGTTAAGAGGATTTACATGCGAAATTTATTCTACTAATACCACTGCTGATTTGAGTGCCATAGAGCTTTGATAGCTTTAGTGTAAAGTTAGAGTACTGTAGAGTCAGGTTCGGTGTTTAGTTTTTACGAGGACTAGAATTTTTTTTATATATTTTATACTTCTGTGGACGCAAAGATTGACGTGATCAATGGTTACTTCTTTGAGGTATGCAATATTCGACTGTTTAGCTTTGCGTGCTAACCTTCAGAAGTCCAAGGTTCGAGTCCTGATTCAGGCAATATCCAAAATTGTAGAAAATAAATTTTCCTTACTGTGTTCACCCCTCGTCAGGGAATGTCAAGCACCGAATGTGTATCTGACATGAGAGTCAAAGCTACAAACTGTAGTTTTATTCATTTCTTGGAAGAACATCAAGATACAGGTGAAATTTTAACAAATCGGCGAGCCGTGTTATTGCTTTCCTTTCGCCGCTCGCTTTTTTAAAAATGACGGAATTTGTTCTTTAATCCTAAAAGCACACTTGAAGAGAACTTTAAGATCCACATTAATATTAAGATGGAGCCATTGTATACGGAACCATTATAGACGATATAGAGGCGAGCAGGATTTATTTAACCCTTGTCCGGACTTCTGGGTCTGGCCAGACCTTTTTAATTTTTACGCATTAATTTAATATTGTTCTGATTTATCTACCGAGCTGAAAATCCAAGTACATTCGCTTGGTTGTTCTTTAAGCGGGCAATCGCTATTCGAAAATTTCCATAGTGGAGTCATGGAACGTCTATTCCATCATCAGCGGTTGGGGCTTCGGGTGCGCAATCTCCGGCTGGTGAATTTTCACTGCCATTCACCAGGTTGGGGAAGTGTTCCCTTCATAAATTCAGTATACTCCGGGCATGAGTCACTAGATCACCTCTTTGTGTCTTACATTCGTGTAAATACCAACTGGTATACTAACTGGGCACTATTTAATGTGACCTCGCGGTAGGAGACCGGGATATTTTTTGAATGATTTTTTGACGACGAAAAGAAGATGCTGTCGAGCACTACCTCTCTCACTGTCTATGAAAGTAGATATGAGAAGGTGAGAAGTACACCATAGCGATAACACAAAGGACCTTTAGACGTAAGTGCGCTGGTCGCTCTGATCAGCAGTCGCATTAACTCAACTCATCTCAATACTTATCAACAAATGAAATTGCAATTCACTTACCAACTTGGATTTTAGCTGAAAATCCGGTGCGTTGAATGTTTTTATCCGAGAAGAATTCCAAGCGCATTATATTGTCGTCGGACTTCAGTAGCGGCGGCAAGTCTTGACCACAGAAAATGTCAATTTTTTTAAGGCGATTATCGCGTAATTTCGAATACACCAACAAATAATCGTAATCACACTCAGTATATTGATATTTATTACCCTCCATATCGAAATGAGTAAAATTGAGGAAGACCGAATGATTGGGTGGCGCTACCACTTCCCAAATGCACTCTTTCGAAATGGGATACACATCCGGATATGATGGTGAATTAAGTGTACCATTGGGGGTAGACGCATTGATAATACCGCCGCACGCATCTGCAAATTAACGGTAATGTTTGTTAATATCAGACAAATAAACAACAATTAATAGGCGTAGTACGCTCTGCGTTCGCCGTTCACTCTTCACTCTCCATGTGTATGTACGTACCTTCGCAGGAACGTCCATCGGCTTGTAGCTCATAGCCAGCAAAACAGGCACACTTATAGCTCCCCAATGTATTCGTGCATTCATGTTGGCAGCCGTGATTGGCGAATTTGCATTCATCGAACTCCTGCAGGAAGAGTGCCGAGAAGCCAACCTTCTGTACGGTTCCATCGGAAACGAACTTTACGTACATTTGATTTGAATTGGTCCTGTAAGGATAATAAAAATTCGCATTAATACAAAAAAATGTCGTTAAACTGATACACACATGTTAATGATGTGGCATAAAATTATATTTACAAGCATGTTAACCAGCGCAATCAGTTGGTGTAATCACCCTAAAGAAGAAAAATACTTGTTGTAAACTAACTAACTGGTTTGCCTTTTTACTCTAACTGGTTCACCTTTCCATATAAGCAACAGGTATTTTTAACCCGGCGCTGTCCTAAGAAAAACTTCAGAAGCTGGCTGGCATTGGAAACGCCATACGAAAAATACGGCGACTAAGAGAAGCTTTCAAGACCGGAGCAGACTCTTGTATGGCTGAAAGTGGTAACCTAGTAACTGAAGCCCAACTATACAATTTGAATACGGCAGTGAAGGGCTGTTAAGGCGCATGCATCAGCTTTTTTTTTGCAAAATATGGTCGGATTGGAACCTAAGTGTGCTATGCCAAATCCATGAAAAAGGCGATCCTATAGTCTGCGCCACATTCCCGAAGGAAAATCCTCCATAATATCGTATATAAGGTCCTATCGAGCGTATTGTGTGAAAGACTAAAGCCCACCGTCAACAATTTGAGTGGACTTGATCAGTTTGGCTTAAGACCTAGTAAAACAACCATTGACCAGATATTCAACAAAAGACCCATTAAAAGAGGATCGACATACACCACCTCTTCGCAACCTTCGACAGTACGAATAGGAGCTGCCTCTAAGTCAATATGTCTGAATAGAGAAGATAAAATATTTTCCTAGAGTATACAACTGCTGGCGTACGCGGATAATATTGACATTATTGGCTTCAATAACCGCGCCGTGAACCCTGCTTTCTTCAGGCTTGATAAAGAAGTGAAGGATATGGGTCTGGTAGTGAACGAGGGCAAGACAAAATGCCTCCTGTTATGAAACAGGCAGTCATCGCATTTGCGACTCGGCTCCTAGGTCACTGTTGACAGTCGTAGATAGCTCCGCCTATCTTGGAACCAGTATTAACACCAACAATACTGTCATCCACTTTTGCCAACAGGTGCTACTTTGGAATGAGTAGGCAATTGAAAAGTAAAATCCTCTTTCGACTTTCGAGGAACAAATACAAATCTCTACAAGACGCTCATCATTACGGCCCTGCTATGTGGTGCGGAGGCATGGAAGATGACGACATCCGCTGAGTCGGCGTTAGGAGCTTTTGAGAGAAAGATTTTGCATAAAATTTATGATCCTCTTGGGAGTTGGGAAGACAAATGCTGCAGTTAATGGAACGATGAGCTGTATGAGGTATACGGCGAAATTGGCATAGTAGCGGCTACTCTGGTTAGATCTTGTAGTTCAGATGGATAAGAATACTCTAGGTTTGAAAGTTTTCGATGGAGTAGCAGCCGTTGGAAACAGAGGAAGAAGAAGACCTTCGCTCAGTTGGAAAAAATCAGGTAGAGAAGGACAGTGAACCTCAAGTGCTAGAGTGAACTCAGTCGTGGTTTGCATGATGTAACAACAACACACGGTGGTGAAAATTATGACTACTCCCATTACTGGTTAACTACTATATAAATAACCAACTGGTATTATTTTATTTTTCAAATACTAGTATTTAACCAGTGCTTTTATGTACTGGTCGGTCTACCCTCTCCATGCAGAGCGCCGAAAATCACTTCAGCGATTACAAAGCGGCAATTATATATATGTATATAAATAAGTATGTTTATTGGGGTGCACTCACTTTATATTTGGTGGCACTACATTGCCACAGTAGATACCCATCAGCCGGTAATCACTGCTAAGTCCGTCGCGTATTTCCACATAATCGTAAGCACAATTATCATGATTCTCCAATTCGAATGATTGAAATTTCAAAGCAACTTGTCGATTCTCCGGCGCTGTAATACGCCAAACGCATTCCCGGTCAGCAAGATATTCCAGTGGGTAGTTGGGCGAGTCGATACGTCGACTCTCGGTTAGAAATATATCGCCACCACAAGTAACTGAAAGGATAAAAGGAAATATAATTATTTAAATAAAAGAATTTGATTCTAAAATGATTTTGGTGCTATCAATTGTATTTGGTATACATAGGCATGTTTTACTGACATCCGATGTCGACCATTTTAAATCAACATTCTGTTCTATAGACCAATGGTTAGCAAAACAGGTATACGCTTGGGTTTTAACAGGCCACAATAGAAAAACATCTATAGCCAGAGCTCGTGGAGTCCTTCCCGAGAAACAGGATCAGCACAAGATATACCACAGGAGCTACCCCTCAAGGAGGAGTCTTATCTCCACTGCTATACTGCCTCATAGGGAACACGCTGATTATATTGCCGTAACAGTGACAGGCAAGCATCCGAAAATCTTACGTGCCAATCCAGTGAAAACCGAAACGATTCTTTTTGCAAGGTGATTTAAACGTCTTCCTTTTAAACCTCTCTATTGAAGTCAAATATCTCGGATAACAAGTTTAACTTAACGCATTGAGGAAAACTATCACAGCACTATACGCAAGCTTGGGGCTTAAAAGCCTTTATTGTCAGCTGGATTTATAAAGCGGTAGTCAGATAGATTCTATTCTAAGGGGTCACTGTCTGGAGGCCAGCGCCCGAAAAAAACACTTTCAGGAGTAGACTGGATAGAGTTTAGCGGTCGGCAGTTATTATAATTACCGGAGGTCCAATATCGACTCCATCAAAAGCCGTGTAAGTTCTTCTAAATTTCATTTCCATTGATTTCTTTAGGGCAAACTTCAAGTTAGTTGCAACGCTATACAATTGGACGCGACCTAGTTTTGGAGGTAGCGCAACACCGGTCACGCACGGATATTGTCTTCCGCGGAGTTAGACTACGATATTACAACCTCTTCTCCACAAGAATCCTGCACAGCAATGAATGGGAAATCGCTAATGCTGCTGGGTTCCATGGTTATAACCTGATCAATCGGTATATACGCATATTGCAAAGCTGTCATTAGATCTCTTCAATGGCGCTGATATGCAGAAGCACTTTAAGCAAGCCCTTAGCTAGATGCAAAACAGCCGAGGACTGGGCATCCCAGGCAACTGTATGACGGATGAGCTAGCGATAGACAGTACCAATCTAAGACTAAAGCTGGCTTTCACCAAAGTAGCCAACATCAAATGGCTTAGCGAAGGAACCTGCAACGTGATTAAACAGCTTTGATCTCTGCTGAACATTAACAGATCAAAGAATTTGATCCGCTTAGACCGGTTCCCCATTAATTCAATAACAGACATACTAACTGGACACTATTTAATGGGAGTTCATGGTTAGAGAATGCGATACGTTTCCAATGCTATTAGTCTTAGTTGCAGGAGCCAAGAAGGGATAGAGTCCGCCGACCTCTGTCACTGTCCAGCTCTAAGCATCACCCCACATAAATACCTAGGACATCACTTCTTTGACTGCCTTGCTGACGTAGCAACCGCTGAGAACGTGAGATGTACTCCACAGCGGTATCATAACGGCCCCTTAGGCCTAAGTGGTTAATCTGATCAGCAACCGCATCAACTCAATTCAACTCAACTCAGCGTACTACAATTTAAAACGCCAGGATTCAATCCCTGGCCCCGACCTATATCCAAAATATAGAAAATTTATTTTTCTAATTGCGGTCGGCGCTCAGCAGGGCATGCCAAGCTATCCCATTTTATTTCTGACATGAAATAAAGAGCTCCTGATAGCTAATAGCTCCATAAACTGTAAGTCCCTCCACTTGGTGGGACTACGGACTACGTGGTAATGCGATTTGAGGAATTAAACGTTTAAATTTTTTTGCCAATTATTGATGGGATCAATGAGAAGCTATACCTTGAGAACCTTCATTTGGTCTCCTCACATGACGTGAATTAGCAAAAAGAGGAAACGTCTGTCGTGCTAACATTCCATTATTCAATAAAGAAGAAGAAAAAGAGGATGAAGAGAATGAGAATCATATCATATCTTCGAAGCACCTTAACAACACTTAACCCCAAAACACATATTCAGTGTCTGGTCAGAGCAATATGAATTGTAATATTTTGCTACTTATTGTCCCTGGCAGATGAAAGTGTTTTACAAGAGAAAATAAAATGGCCATAAAATGCAAATATCACGAAGAATAACTGCATACAGGAGGAAAGTAAGGGTGGCGTTACAGCCGAAATTGTACTCAAAATCAAAATTGTCAATAAAGAACACCACAATGGCTATTCCCGCCATTAAAGCTGTCATCGGCAGTATTCACAAGTGATATGGACATATACATTCATAACTACACGTATGTATGTCTGTCTATACATATGTATGTGTGGAAAGTCTCTCTTAAAAAGCTTAGCTACAGCTGTGGAATACCGCAATATTTTCAGTGTGCTTCCTCCGTGGTGAAAAAAAATAATAAAACAGTCGATAAAATGCTTTTCTCTTTCTATTTTTTTTATTTCACAGAGTCTGCGATTGTGGACAGCAGCGTCGCGGCTGCGATTGCTGTATTGAAGAACTGATATTTGTTTTTTTCATATTTTTTCATATATTTATACAGTGCGTTATAAGGCTGGGTATGCAATGCGACCAGAATTGAGTTTATATTTTCATACAACAGTTATGTAGGTGGTTCTATATGCACGAATGGAAGGATCTGGTAACTGATGGAATCTTTTTATTTGCACATCAAAAGAAACTATCGGAGATGGATTATCCGAAACTTGAACCGATGACGATATAAGAGACAAGTCATGACATCCGCGTAAGACAAAGTTCGACACGCGATTGTTCGAATAAATCACAATAATGCGGCGGCCTTATCAATGAGTTACTAAGTCTAAGAAATCCATAGTGAATATCCGACTTTACGCCAAATTTGGTAAAATACCAAGAAAATATTAGTCAACACACCACGTGCGTTTGTCGACTATAGAGACGCTATCGATAGCTTGAAAGTAATTTAGCTTAATGTTGATAAATATGGATTTGGTTATCTGCAAAATAATGTTGAAAAAAAACCAGAAACTCCTACAGGCTAGATAACGAGCTGAAACGAATAAGTTTGGGTCTGGTAATGAATGAGGAAAAGGTGAGCTATAGCTTATTAGGTCGTAAGACTGCGTACTCTTGATTTGGATCCTACCTATCTTGTACAATTTCGAAGTAGTGTGTATATTCGTCATTATCGAATAATCACAACAACAATGATATTAGCTTTGATATGTAAGACTGGCGGTCACGGTAGCCGAGTGGTTAGCATCGAGCCGCTTCCGAAAAGTCGATAGATTATTATGAGGGGCTTTTTATTTTATGTCATTAATAGTTTCGGGGGGCTTTACGTTCTCTGCCGATCAACGATCAACGACAAAGACAAAAATCAATTTTCTACTATTTAGAATATTGGTCTCGAACCAGTTCTCAATCCGTGGATTTCCGAATGGCAGTATGCAATGCTAGTCATCCGGCTATTGCGGTTGCCAAGATTCATTAAAATTAGGAAAACTAAATTATTTTGTCTTGACTTTATCATCGGTGATAAAAATATTTTACCCCTCGGCACTTTTTTCATTTTTGGAAACAAGGTACGAAGTCTGGGTTGTAGGGTGGGTGACTCCAAATATCGACCCACCTTATCCAAGGCAGCTAACGTAATGAAGCTGTTGTTTTTGTCGAGACCCATCTTGCGCTGACCTTAGCCATATCAAGATAATCGTGCGGGATTAAAACTGATTTTATCGAATACTTAAACGTGTGGTTTGTTCTTTAGTCGAGGTCAATTTTTTCAAGGCGCCATTCGTTTCTTCTTTTTGCTGTTTGGCGCCAATTCGAAATAACATAAAAGTACAGCCAGGTCCTTCTCTACCTGGTCTATCCACCGGCGGGTACTGCATTGAAAACTTTCACAGCTGGAGTATTTGCATTCATTCGGACCACATGACCGTAAACCAATCACATATCATTTATTATGGCCACAACTGATTTTCCTTGTTTGGAAAGATGAAACCTCGTATTTGTACTAATTATGAGTTATTGAACACCTGAGTACCCCAATGAGTACTTTCTTCCATGTAGATAAGAGCGCTCTCGCATTTAATTTAGCTAATAGCCTATTTACGGGTAACAGCCAAATTGTTGGAAGAAATTTTCGGTACTCTCTACCGGGAAATTCTCCCTTAAAGGATTGTCCTTTAACCACGTGATCATATTTGAGGCTTTCCGTGACACCGCGCCCATTACCTAACATAATTTTTGCTTTGACCCCTTCCTCCCCTGCTCTATGCATCGTCTATTGTTTAATCTGAAGATAACTCCATAACTTTGCCTTCACCTTGTCGTCCCGGCCAGGTGTCTATAGCCTAACATTAAAGGTTTATGGACGCACCCTAAGCGCTTAACTCTCGATTACTTCTCCACATCATTGTGTTTGTGTGTGAGTAAAAAAATTGATGGAAAAACTCTCTTTCTATGGTTTAACTCAGTAATCTCTCCGGCCACTGAGGTGTGAATGCGAATTAAAATGCAACGAGTGTGAAAACTCGTTTCGAATATAACAATATTTTGCATGGCAATACTTCGAAAAAAAATCCAACGAAATAGAGGAGGAGGAGAGTATGTATGAATGTACAATGCAGTAGTTTTGTGTGATAACTGTGAGGCTTATAACTCACAGCCATTGAAGGATGTTGAAGGATTGATAGTCCATTTGCCTCCGCGTCATAGCCAATGCATACGTGTATATGTAAATGTATGTATACGACGCTTGTATTCCATTTCATTCACTTTTGGCAGCCATAAATAACAAACTTATCATATTTACACTCGTGACCTAATTTTTTTTTTTCACAAAATATGCTTAAGGGTGGGGTTAATGGGAAGTGACACAATTTGTTGCGTAATCCTTGGGGCTGCAATTTAGTGGCATGGTTGATTTGTGAAAACGTTTCAAACATTTACAGTACTTAATAACGGTACAATGCCTGACAGCATTTGCATTTGTTGTCAAACGCAATGATATGCCAAAAGTGAACTTGAATTTTTTGTTGACAGGCAACAGTTGTTGCAAATTCAATAAACCAAAATTCAAGCACATATCCATTGCTTTTTTGCTTTTTGTTCTGAAATTATTTTTTTCTAACTATGGAAAAAATATACTGCCAAAACACTACCGGTAGCTGATGATTGAAATAGCCCGCTTGAAGGTATTGTTTAAATACGTTTTGTCGCTAAGTGGGCACAACTGCCTTTATACTGACGTTGAGTTTGATTTGTCGTATAATTATATTATTTTCCAGCTTTCTATGCCGAAGATAAAAGCGCTCTCGCATTTCATTTAGCTAATAACCTCTTTACGGGCAACAGTCCAATTATTAGAAGAGATTTTTGGTACTCTTTATCGGGAAATTCTCCCTTAAAGGATTGTCCTTTAACGACATGATCATATTTGAGGCCTTCCGAGACACTTCGCTCCTTACTCCTCATCTAGTCGGGACGGAAAATCGTAGAGTTTGCAAGCCGTTCACAGATTAGCGGTTTTTTTTAAAGAAGTTCGCCGAGACGTGGCGACCGGAGCGAAAAATAGTACTCGTGGCCTGAGTCCTTCTTTCATCGAACTTGCCACAGTTAGAAAAGTCATAAGAGTCTATCTTCTTCTGTCCTTGTCCCCCGTCAAACGCATTTACTGGATGGCGGTGGTGGTAACATTGCTGGTTATTCTAGATACCCTTAAATAATAGTATTTAACACTTTTGCTGTTGTCGTCATCAGAGGAGGGTCTCCCATCCGAGACCTCTTTTACAAGGGAGCTGGTTTCTACGTGGCGGGGTCCCAAATGCGAAGGCACGACTTCACTGGGAGAGCAAAATTGTGATTTTAAACAAGTTTGTATAGCGCACCGCTCGCAGCCGTACCTCTGTTTGACAGACGATGCAATTAGACTTCAGCGAATCCTTAAATCGAACATGTCGCAGTGGCTCCGCGGTATCTCTCTCTCTGTTGGCCACGATCCAAGATCTCAACTGCAATAGCAGAAATTGAGTATATAGCCCTGCGTTTTTAACCGCATATCCAGAAGCATATATATAACACCCGACTACACCTACATTGACATAGTTCACCGATCGAGTACATAGCGGCTGTGCTGACTAGATCATGTCAATAAAAGTGTTCCACTTTGAAAGCTTTCAATGCAGACCCGCAGGTGTGAGTAGAGGAAGAGAACGACCTCATCCCGTTGGGATGGTCAGGTGGAGAGCGACCTCATTTCGTTGGGATGATCAGGTGGAGATCGAACTGGTTTTATTTGCGAAACAATAAAACAAAAAAACAATTCAAAAAAGGAACGCGACATCATATCGAATTCGGGCGACGCAGTGTCAAATGAGGGTTAAAATTTAAATACTAGTTGCGCCCGTTTAAGTCTCTAAAACCTATATTAAATTCCAGAAATAGTGCTCATTACTTACCCTCGAAATCAGCCGAAAATCCACGAAATCCTCTAATCGCATTATGATTTACATAATTGATAAGCATTCGACTGGATGTACTCTTCAGTGTTTCCGCGGTCATGTTTCCACAGAGACGTTTAATAACTGGTGATTTGTACCAATAACCATCGCGTACTTCTAAATAATCTACAGAACAATCGGTAGACTGCAGAAGATGCTAAAAACAGAGGAGCAAAAAAAATTTATAAATTTTCCATTCTGTTCTTGAGAATATAAGCTCCAAGAAAAATGGATATTGTTGTTTTTCTTTCAGCAAATAACATAAATAATTTTGATTCCATTTTGAGAAAACTTACCACTTGGTGTATTTGTAATATGATGCGTTCCCCATTGGTCGCCGTAATACGCCATTCACATTTCTCCCGAGCTTTGTCAAAGTCACTCAATTCATAATCTCCACTACCGCCATCGTCTACAGTGTTCGACTGTTGCATTGCCGCATCATAGGGTGAGTATTCATAATGTGGCGATATTATCTGACCAGAATTCTCTTGAAATGTACGTCCACAACTAGTGCATTTATACAAACGATTAGCCTTAACAATATCGCCAGGACTCAAGCGTAATCTCTGACCAATCTCAATGTGTTGAGCTTTTGATATGCCAATCGGTTGTATGGTCTCTAAATAAACATTTTTAGCAAAGGTATTTTTAGCATAATGCATAATTGAATTATAATCGTATGGCAAGCCCAGTGAGTCCACGTCTTCCGCTGAGAGTACATCGAAATTATATTCCTGTCCCTTCATTATATTCTCTTTATTTATCATTATGTGTCTGTCGCGATCGGTGCGTGTATGCTCGTGCCAAAAGCCGATGACATGTCCCAGCTCATGAACGACAATGCCAAATTTCTCACAATTACGTCCAATCGAAATGGCCTGACGCCCGGAGCCACGTTTGCCCACAAACGAACAGCAACCACAATTCTTAACCGTGAAGTGTATGTAGTTAGGATGAGTTTTCGGATCGCGTTCCACAAATTTTATACACGTAGAGTTCTCCCAATGCCGCATAGCTCTCATGAAGAGTGCCTTATGTACACCGCTAAAAATTTCATCTATAGTATATGGTATGACACCGTAATCCCAAATCCGTTCCTTTTTAGCGGTAACTGCGCGTCGTGGACGTGACACAGCATTAAGGTACGCTTCATTTTTTAGATGATGAAATGGCAGATTGGGCTTATCATTGCGTTTCTTTGATTTTTTAGAATGTCTGTAAAGAAAGAGTAGTGCTAAGTCGTTGGTTATGAGTCTACAAAGGTTCAAAAAGCTTACAGAGCTCGTTTACCTGCTTTTCGCTTTATTATGACATTTAAGAGGAAGCCGTTTATGTTGGTGTTTATGATGTTTCTGTCGAATCGGTATGCGCTTGCCTTTGAGTTGTTTGAATAAACGCCTATACAAATGTAAATTAGCATTTATTAGTTAATAAATCGATATACATATACGAGTACATGAACAAAAAAAATTAGATTTTTAAAAAAGGTCCCTACGAGCTTGCTGAGGGAAAGACTAAAACTCAGCGTTAAGGGACTGATTGGACCCTATCAGTGTGGCTTCAGAATTGGAAAATCTACCATTGACCCGATATTCCTCATGCGTAAAATATTGGAAAAAACCCATGAGAGGAGAAGAGGCTACACAAAGTTGGTTTCAGACAGGATGTGATTTATCAGTTGACTTTATTAACTTAATTTTGGAGAATATGAACTGCATTGCTAAACAGTCGCCTATAAGATGATATAAACGTCTTTGTGTGCCGATAATAATGATATCATTGGCCATAATAGCCGCTCCGGTAGTTCTGCTTTTTACAGATTGGAACGAAATCGTCAAACAAATAGAGCTCATTTATGCCTTGGCTCCCACGTCATTATTGAAAGTGTCATAAATTTGAAGTTGTAGATAAACTCGTCTGCCTAGAAACCGATGATATTGATATCATAGGCCTTAACAACGGTGCCGTTAGTTCTGCTTTCTCCACGCTGGATAAAGAAGCGAAGCGTATACGTCTAGTAGTGAACGAAGGCAAGACGAAATATCTCCTATCATCAAATAAACAGTCATCGCATTCGCGACTTGGTTTCCACGTCGCGGTTGACAGTCATGATTTCGGATTATCTACGGACCAGCATCAACACCAATAATAACGTCAGCACAAGTGCAACTTTCGCCTGAGTGGGCAATTGAAAAGTAAAGTCCTCTCTTGACGAACAAAACCCAAACTCTACAAGTCGCTCATAATATCTGTCCTACTAATATGGCGCAAAACCGAGGACGATGTCCACATCTTCAAGAGAAAAGTTTTCCGCACGATTTATGGACGATGAAACGATGAGCTGTACGAGCTATACGATAATATTGATCTGGTTCAGCGAATTAAGAGACAGCGACTACGCTAGCTAGTTCATGTCGTTCGAATGAATAAAAGCCATCCAGCTTGATGGAAGCTAATGAATAGGAAGGCATTCATGGCGTTGGAAGGATCAGATTGAGAGTGACCTGGTTTCATTTGGTAATTGCATTTGGCGCCAAATAGTTAAAAGAAGGGTTGAATGTCGCGCTAATATTGATTCGGTTATAATCGCGTAAGTGGTGCCAGCGCCAATAAAGAAAATAAAAAAAGAAGGAACTAGTGTTAGCACCAAGGCTTGAAATCTAACGTAGAATCATTTTTGCCAACAAATGCTGCACCGTACTGAGAAGGCAACAGAAAAATAAAGTCCTCTCTCGATCTGGATTATGACAACTATACCGCCGAAAATCGAACGGTCATGTTAAACGGATTGAACTTTCCTAAACTAATGGAAAATATATTCCAATATAAAAAATATTTCTTTGGCAAGCATTAGAATTAGTTCCGAATCGATTTCTGACTTTTTCCAATATATAAGACTACTTTACCGAAATAACATATCAAAAAAGAGATCTACTCCCATTCAAGCTTATTATCTTTACCAAAAAGTTGCATCATTTTGAGATAGATGTCAGACATATGTACATAAATTTGCAGTGGTTGATTTGCCCTGCCGAGGGACGATCGCATTAGAAACGGCTGTCTCTATCACTTTGGATTTTAGTATGCCTATTAATCGAACCCAAAACCATTCGCATAGTAGCACACACTGCTAATCAGTCACCTACTACCATTGCGATACACGAAGTATATACTTCGTCAAGGATACTGAAATTCTAGTGAAACCTTTTAGGGAAATTTGCAATAGCCTGAACAAGCATGCGATTATTAGAAGCGCTGCGATTAATTGTGAATTATACGAATAATTTCCAACGACTTTGGGATAGTATGTACAGTTCGCTATTTTTCCGCAGAATACCATAAGTAACTTAGAAGATTATGTAGAAACACAATCACCGATCAGCGATTTTACTGACAATGGGCATTTGCCCAGCGAAACCTGTCACGCTTAGGCTACTTAAAACTGTTGCACTTAATGTATTCATTCAAGGACATTTAAGTTGTATCCGCCGCTCACGAATAACAATGCAAGAATATTAAAATTTAAAGCCCTTTTATCTAACACAAGTGGCCCGCAGCACTAATTGAAGAATTTATTTGGAAATTCCCAAACAGACATACTCGTAGACGCGCAGGTGTTCGTCGAGAGAATGGAGAGGAAAAGGTGAATGTGAAACTAATAAACAAAGGCGCATCTTTTGCTCGCTTCTTGTAGTAAGAGCAATGATTATAGTTATGTGTATGTATCATAAGTGTACGTGTTTATGTATGTATGTAAGCGTTGGTATGTATCGATGAGTGTACTTAGGAAGGACTGCCAAAATGTCTACCTGTTTGGGACAATCGTTTGGTCGTTGAATGGTTGCTACTAAACAAGGATGTTTAGATGTATTATTGTTTGTTTGTGTGCATAGCGATATCAGGCGCGTAACCGAAATTTTGACTGAGAGTTTCATTTAAGGTTTTATTTCAAATAATTTTCATCTGGTATGTGTGATAATTGAAGCGTAGATACTTGGAAGAAAATCAGTAAAATCCTCAGAAAAAAGTTAACGAATGCAAACATTAATTTGAAACTACTGCGGAGTTGTTTTTGCTTATGCCAAAATGATGGTAATATCATAAATAAAATATTAATTAAATTGAAACATTTGAAATTATACGATATGGATATAAAAGTAAAATATTCTCGAGTAGAGTTGTGCACTGTTTCACTTTTTAATCGAATTCAATAATTATATTGTATATATATATATAAATATATAAAAGGCTTTGTCCTGAAGGACTGCCAGCTTAACCAACAGCCTAAGTCATTGATCGTTGGAATTTGAAGCTTGATCAGTGTGTTCTGCGTACACCGATAAAAAAGGAACTTTCTGGGAAGTAAAATCTAATTTATTTCAAATCGTTTTGTTTCCATTTAGTACACACAATGCATATAATATTTTTTTTCAGGACCGAAAAATCTTAAAACCCTCGTATATCTATGTATAATTTTTACGTGCGTTCGTGAAATATTTGCACGAAGAAATATTTTCAGAAATAGACCAATGACCTGTTCGGAAAAAACTTATTTTCGATTTGATTTAGCTTAGATTATCAGAAGGACTACTCTGCTCTGCCATAAGTCGCCCATAGACGGAACTATTCGAAAAAATTTTATAATTGGCTCGATTTACTTGAAACTTGGAACCTATGTAGGTGATTTTCTGCTTAGTTTAATAGGAAGAGCCTTCTATTAGGGAAAGACGAAAAGGAACCGACTTATTCTTGTTTATACTTACAGTGCATAGGTGAAATTAAATTATTTTTTACCAGAAGCGGACCTATCCTTTTGAAAAAATATTCATATTCATGGCTCGTTTTCCGTGAAAATGGACCAGAGACTTGGAGCCAAAATCTTTGTGCTCGAAATATAAATTCCTTTACGGAAAAGGGATTATAGACAGATTGGGAAAAATTATTATGTTTGGGTATAAGCATAGGCTGTGCGTAGCTATGATTGGGTTATTAGCAATTTCCGACGATCTACTTGAGTGTGAGTAAGCATCAGAATGGTGCATTTGGCTTACTTCGGGGCATTCATATTGATGTGGAGCTTAGCTTTAAATCGAAAACATTTTGGAGAAAGTTTCACCGGAATTAAATAGTTTGAAATTTAAAAATGAGTAATATATAAAAGATTTTCTAAAGAAATTTAGTTGAAGTTAAAGTTATAAGGTTCAAAGTTGTAAATATTTTTGAAAGAGATGGCATATATACCAAAGGCAGATAGCAAAATAGATTTAAATTGTATTATAACAAAAAAAAAAAAAAAAAAAATTGAAAACAGCCATCTACTCTTACTATTTGAAAAATTTAATTCAAAATATTGTAACCAGTTTCTCCATGAAAATAATTAACACAAATTTTTTTCTAAAACAAAAAAAATATTGTACGAGGTGTGTTCAAAAAGTATCGCGAATTTTGAATTTTCGCGGGCTACGTATAATGGAATTCCGATTTTTTTGTGGCGTTATGTTGGTACTCATGTCTGCCACTTATGGCGACAAGCTCGGCCATTTTGAATGTTCACTTAATTGCTGACAGCCGTTTTGCTTGCACGTGTTTTGGATGGTCTTCGATTCTTACCTATTCAAAAAAATGGAACAAAGAACTCACTCAAATTTTGTATGAAAAACGAATTTAAGTGCGCTACGCTACGATTGACGAAATAAAGACGGAATCGAAGGAGGGGCTGAACAAGATAAAAAAAATGATTTTTTGAAGTGTTTCGAAGGTTGGAAAAACCGTTGGCACAAGTGTATAATATCTTTGAAGGGGAAAAAACATTTATTCTTGAAAAGCCTTTGGTTTTTGATCTGCCGGGATCATTGGACCTTACTTTTTTGGAAATGAGGCTGGGGCAACAGTTATGGGGAATGGATCGGGCTATCGAGATATAATTAATGATTTTTATGACGGGAATCGGATGGTATTGGTCTGGACAACGTTTATTTTCAAGCAACGAAACCACTGAGCTTATAAGACAAACATTTGCAGACCGCGTTATCTCTCGAATAGGTGATAGCAATTAACCACCGAGATCTTGTGGATTGATGCCTTGCGACTTCTTCCTTTGGGACCACGTGAAAAACGTGAAAGATAAAGCCTACGCCAACGTCGATTCGATGTTCTCAAAACTGACCATTTATCTCAAAAAATATGATATTCCTTGATGCATCGTTTGGTGACTAAATGTTATAAGAGTTTGGTTCCGACGAATTATCATTCATTATAAAGAATACATTTAATATATCGGATCATATAAATCAACTCAGCTCTTCATTTTGAACCGATCCGTGGGAATTTTAGTGGGACTTTTTCTTCTTCTGGTATTTACATACCAAAGTTAATACATATACTCGTACATACCTATTCACGTTCATGAAAGGTATAAAAAAGTAAGCATGAATTAACCGAGGTTCAAAATTTCTGTAGTTTTCTATTGCAGTTGTAACCTCAAAAAGTTTTACCGAGACAGTAAGGGTTTTAAGTCCATATTTTTGGACAAAAGCCTTTGCGACTGGGAAGTAAAACCATTTCTCATGTCCTATTGGTAGTTGCAAGCGAAGGCTCAGAGAGCAAAAGCTGCTGGGCCAAGTAGCTTTAAAAATAAGAATACTTCAAATACTTCAACTATATGCAAGTGTAAGAAAATAAAGCATAAGACGAGTAGTATCCTTGCTATTTAACTTAAACATGAACAAGCGACGGAAGTGGCTTTTTTGCTCACTAACATACATATATATGTATGTAGCTCAGAAAGCTTACTCTGCATTCAACTGATCAGTAGACGGGATCTTTGAGTGCTTAATTGAAATTTATAGCCGTAAAACTCTCTCCGTGTTTTTTTCGCGCAATCACATGGTCGCAGCCGAAATCAAGTGGTATGTGGTGCATTTGTGGTCTGGAAGGCACGTGACCATGTTGCTACTAAGTTTGGCACAACAACAAACACACACAACATGTAGGTATGTTATTGAATGCGTATGCGCAACGGTCAGCAGATGCGCAGGGCAGATAGTATTAACGGCTAAAGCCACAAGCCAAATAAGAAAAAAAATAAATAAATAAAAATAACAACAACTTTTGCCATACATAACCTAAATGCGTTCACATATTTATAACTACATAATCACACATATGTATGTAATTCTGCCGGTCCAAAGCATATACGTGTATATAGGTGCCAGTCTCCCCATTTGTTTTTGTCTCTTTCTCCCGTTTTTGTATTTCCATTTTTAACTCACCTCCGAAATGCCAAGCTTTGTAGCTGCTGTCGCTGCATGCCGCTTGTATCATTGCCCTTTATTGTGATGTTCTTATGCCTGCGTCTCGATTTGAGCTTTGCTTTGCTCGCCAGTGCCGGCTCCACTACAATGTTTCGTTCGTAGAAAAAATTCCCGCCATCGTCGGTGTCGATACTTTTTGTATTCGATTGTATTTTCGACAATGCGGTGCTGTCGTAGAAGAAGGCCGGTCGATTTGCGTTGGCGCGGCTCCATACAGTTTTCGCCTCCTCGTCGCCGGCTCCACTGGCGGCTGCCGCCTCCGCCTCAACGGCGGCAATATCAGGTAGATGTTGTAGATGGGTCGATTCAATGGCGCCATTATGGCCTTTGGTTTGTGGCGCCTAAAAAAAAAAGAAAAAAAAAAACACAAAACAAAACAAACAAAAGAAATAAAAATAAAATAAAATCAAAAAGGAAGAGGTGATGAAGTGGAGTCGAGTGGAGTCTTGGTATGGTATAAATTTTTTTATTATCCACTAATACGTTTGGCGATTGGAGTTGTAGTGTACTTACGGTCTGCGTTTCGATTTCAACGAATTGTTCCGGTTGTACAAAGATATCGAAATAACCCTCAGCTTCCACCTGCAACCCGTCGAGAATTTGTACTTGACGAGCGAGTGCAGTTTTTTGGAGGTGTGATAAGTGATGGTGGTGTTGGGGCTTGTGGTGAATTGAAAGTGAATGTTTGGCGCCCGTCGGCGTCACAGCGATAATTAACGGTAGCAAAAGATATAGCACTAAGCAATGTTGCACAAAGAACCCAGCCATTTTTGACTCTTAAACACTATTTTGTTTTCTTAAAAGAGATTACGCACTTTATAAAGAATACATATACAAATATGATTTCTATTATTTTCTCTCACTTTTCACAAAATTTTTAGCTAATTATTTTTCTTATGCTCACACACACACACAAATTTATGTGTCCTTTTGCGTTTTCATTAATTAATCAATTTAATTGAAATTTACGCCTGCGCAGTTGCTCTGCATATTTCAAATATACGTAGAGCTCTCTGCCCGTACCGAACCGCACTAAATATAATGTTTCACTGAGCACATTTAGGGATCTGCGCCCGAATTTAACTGCAAGTATGCGCTCTCTGCCTCGCTGTATACATACTGATATAGATAGATACATTCATACATACCTACACAGAGACAAGCGGCGGTCATCGTAGGTAACAAATATTCTGAACGCAAGTAAAGAAGATTAAGCTGCCAAAAAGGGAATGAGAGCCAATGGAATTGTTGAAGTGTGTGTTAGGCAACGTGCGGTAGCCTCAACAGCCTCCAAAGGCGATCTTCCTAACAAAGGCTACAAAATAAACACACATACATACTTACATGCATACATGTATAGTGACAATACACTGCAAGAAATATTGCTGTGAATGTCGATAGATTCAGCGCGTGTTGAAGTTGATTGGATAAAGTGCATACCAAGAGCATTGACTCCTCCGACTTGCTTTACAGTGTGAAAAATATTCATTGAGTGCTCTATAATAATTTCCGTCTCATTTTTCTTCGCAGCTTCTTAGTTCCCATGTAATTCTTAGTAGTTAATGAGCAAATCTGTAACTGTTCAGTGTAAGGGGCAAGTATAATTGAAACCTTCTGCGATCGGTCTTGAGCAGTCCGGCCTGTTACTGGTTTTCGCTCACCGATCTGTTGAAGTACTCCTCTATCCCTCGATCGTTTGGAAGTTGGGTAACACGCTGGGCTCGTCATAAAAAATAGAACGAGTAATTAATTTAAGAATTTAAAACCTACTCGTATTGTACTCGCGCTTTGTAGCCGCTGAAGCAATTCGCGTCCAAGCTCCTCCTTCAACTTGTGGTATTCGTCCAACAAATGGACAGACGTACTGTTTATTCTTAGCTGGCTCTGATCGGCTGATGGACCGCAATAAAAAAATTTACTTTATTTTTATTTCAGTTAATTTGCCGTGACTCGAGATGTCGGTCGCACCAGGATTCGAACCCTGCCCTACCGAATGTTGTTGTTGTTATTGCAACCACGGGAGTGACAGTCTTTGGCCGAATTGAAATCCGGGTCGTTCTGGTATAAAGACCCGACTGTCGCGGGAACTATTGGATCTTAGCCATGCTTTACTGCGGTTAAATTCTTCAGCCTCTAACTCGAAGGGGTACCGAATGTTTGAAAGCAGTGCTAATCACTCAGTTAATATACGAGGTGTGACAATTGGCTTTATTAGTTTTGCGGATTTTATTATTATTTAATTAGCATCTGCAGGGCCATATTGTTCATCATGGCAAGATTTACTCCCTTGTAGATATTTCAACTGACATTAAAGCCTCGGATAAGAAACCCCTTTTTAGTGACACTCCCCGCAAATCTTTTAAGCATGACGCCTAACATCACTGCCAACCATGGACGAGACAAGAACGGGAGAAGGTGGATCCTTGTGTAACTTATTACAGCGTTCATATAAAGGAAAGGTGGTGTTGGTTTTGTGGTGGGAGAGAAACTCCGTTGCCGATTATTGGCATTCACTCCGTTGGATGAACGTCTTGCCACAATCCGAACCAATGCGAAATTTTTCAAAATATCGCCGATTTGCGCCTACGCCACGACGGAAGAAAGAAACAATATGAGCAAGGACGCTTTCTATGTGAAAATTATGTTTGTCGACTTTAATGTTATCTGCAGCACTCCTCACATTATAATGTCTTCAGTGTTCCAGATGCATGTACGTTCCGAGGATCTAATATTGTTGGGCATTACTAACTTGTAGCATCGAATGTACGCTCCCCGCCTGTGTGTATTAAAGAATGATAATAATCAAACACAAGGAAGGTTCGTAGTCGAAAAGCTGCAATGACAACATACAGTCGATTTCTGCGGACAGTGCATCTTATGCTCCCGACATATCGTCACAACGGAAATACTTAGTTTTCAACAATGCCAGAGAAAGAGCTGGTACGATGAGGAATGTCGAACTTCAGCGGAGAGAAAACGCGTGGGGTTTGGGATAGATGACGTATCCGAAACTTCAATAGATGATGATGAAAAAGACGTTCCATTATCCGACTATCATGAGGTTCGTATAGCGATTGCCCGCTTAGAGAACAACAAATAAGATGGAGCTATTGGTTTTCTAGTTTCGCTATTCAAACATGGCGATGAAGAACTGGACAAAAGCGTGCTTGACGATTGGAATCCAAGTGTGACTAGTTCAATGAATAAAAATGGAGATCAAACGATATGCACCAATTACCAATCCAACAGCATCACAAATATCGCTTTTATGGTTCTTTCGAGCGTATTGTCTTAAATACTAAAGCCCGCCGTCAACAAACTTATTGGGCCTAATTAATGGGCTTTTAAAACTGGTACATCCTCCGTTGACCAGGTGTGCGTCATGTTTTGTAAAAGAAAATTGATACACACAGCCTTTTTATCGATTTTGAACTTTGGTTTAATCCCGTCGAAACAGCTCATTTTCTAGAACTCCCACTAGATGACGTCGGCGACTTAGATTAATTAAACCTGAACCCAAAAAAACAGTCGACGCACTTGCGTCTTGGCTCCCATATTACTGGTTACAATTATAACTTTGAAGTCATAGATACATTCGTCCATCTTAGAACTAGAATTAGCACCAATAATTATATCAGTCTTGAAATCCAATGCAAAATCGCTCTTTCCGGTACTTTGGACTGAGCAACCAATTGAAAAGTAATGTTCTCTCTTGAAATGATGGAACGAGTTATACGGTGACATTGACATATGAGTAGTTCAGCGAATGATAAAACATCGGATCGAACGAATGAAAGTTTTCTATGCAGTATTCGTTGGTGGAAGAGGGAAATCGTCACACCGTTAGAAGGATCAATTGTAGAACGACCTGGTTTCACTTGGTATCTTCAAATGGTGTCAAACAGCGAAATGAATAAACGAATGGCGCGCCGTTGTTGTATTCGGCTATAATCGAGTAAGCCGCTCCTAACCTAATAAAGAAGAACATATTTTATTTTATCATCGCTTTGATTGCCTTTCCTGTTCTCGTGATCAGAAGTACAAAGTACACTATACGAGTATTGGTCTTCTGGTAAAAATAAATACAGAATATAGAGACAGAATTTGTTTGAAATCATGTTGGGCTGCATGTACTTATATATTCCCAATGGATGTTTGATTTTGTCGCAGTCTGAGGATACATGCACGTATGTATACTTCGTAACTCAACAACGACGATACCGTAGGCAGTGCAACGATGGTAAGATGAATTGGATATAGATCACGGTAATATTACCCAGAAACTACAGGGGCATATTATTTCGAAGGAATTATATAATCTGTTGAAATGTTTTTTTTTACACAGTCATAAATATTCGAGATTAAATTTCACCTCTTCTAATAGAGCTAATCCTTGTAACTCTCTGTTAAGCTGGTCGTTCAACTCACTGGGGATAAATTATTTTAAAATTTCGAAAGTCCTCAGATTTAATTCAAAGAAGTTGTTAGTTAACCAATAATTAGGGCTGTACTTTCTTTACAAATGAAAAAAAAATCTTCTCTTGATCATATTAATAAAAATGAGCCACTCCGTTGGCACCCGGAATTAAATATTTTTTAATCTTTGTATAATAGCATATAAACCTAGAATTATTTTAATTTTTTTCCAAAAGTATTTTTTAAAGTCGTTATCTTATAGAGATCGTCCATCCATTCAACATGTACCCCATACCATGGGAAGGAAAAAGTCCAACTTCTTCTAGAATTATTTCGAATAATGAAAATAACGAAATTCAATGGTCATTGAAGGCTTCTTCAACTACAATAGAAACAACTGAGGCCATAAAGTAAAAACTAAAAAAAAAATAAGAAAATGAAGCTAAACAAGAAAGCACTGTTGTCTGAAGCTTCTATACCTTTCATGACCTTATCCAATTTATTGTATTGTTGGCTTTTTTCACACTTTTTTGCTGGAGTTTTGATCCAAACCTTTTTCTTCGTCTTCTTTATTTGCATAGGCACCGCTTACGCGATTATAACCGAATTGATTATAGCGCGCCATTCAACTCTTCTTTCGCTGTTTGGCGTCAGTTGGAAATACCAAATGAAACCAGGCTCTCCAACTGATTCTTCAAACGGAGTAGATGTTTTCCTCTTCCTCTGCTTCCACCAGCGGGTACTCCATTGAATACTGTCAAAGCTGGAGTGCCCTAAAACCTCATATCTGCAAAAAATTTGTTCAGATATTATATTGGATGAGTGCATAAGTTCGTGCCCGATTCCGCTGGATGCCGTTCGAATCGTTTGAGAGTGGCGCTCGTGAAAGAAATATATACATATTATATATCGTTGGAAAGGTGACAGTCCGAACTGTNGCGCTTTCTTCAAAAAATTTCAATTTTAGTTTGCACTTGAAATCGGGCCCGAACTTATGCACTCATCGTGGGCCCAATATTTCCGGTTTCATCGAATTATCAATATAGCATAACCATATAATTATTCATACCAATATTGTTCGAAATATCTCAAAAACTGTGCTACGTTCAAATGTACGGACAGATATGCAATCAAACAGACTAGCAGACGATCATGACTAATTCTACTAATATAATAAATACGTTCGTCATAAGTTTTGGTGGGTCTCTCTCTCTCTTCTCCTTCTGGTACTTACATACTTCCGACCAAAGTTAATGCACCTACTCATGTGCATGAAAGGTATAAAAATGTAGAATAAACATTGCCATGGAACATTGAAATAAGTCAGACAGGCAAGAGACAGATGAACCGACACCCAGACAATCCATTCACACGGACGGTCATACAAAGCGACAATTAGGCAAATAAACGAACGTTCTTGTGGCCTACAAGTGTAGAAGTGTGTATGTGTATGTATGTAGGTGTGGTGGAGGTTTTTGTTTTGATTGCTTTTAGTAGCGCAACAACTGTCTGCCGCGCACCGATCGCTAAATCAGACATTGGCACTTATGGCCAACATTCACGTCACATTGCATCGACAAACAATTGTATTACGTTTTGAGCATTTATACATACATATGTATGTATCTACAATAGCTATATACATACACATGAGCTGGGGTATGTTTGGCACAGTCTTACAAGTCATACTCAGTCGCTGGGTACGCGCTTGGAATCCCTTTACCCAAAGCAAAATCATTCATCCACCATCCGTCACAAGCCAACGGTATTCACCTTGGCGTTTGCATAGCTGTCTACGAAGCATCGGCAATGTGATATCTTCTATTCATCTCAATGTGATTAGTCGGTGGATCACCTTCATTCGTATTCTATTGTCCGAACATACTCGTACATATATATTCACAGGAAATTGCGTGAGCACACGGGGAAGGAAACTCTCATATGTGTGTATGCAAATTGGTTCGGGTGTCTTTGCTAAATCCCCTTGAAGGGTCATACAGCTCGCGGCGCCGGTATGATAGCTTTGGAAGGTCTGTGCCCCTTGAAATCACTCGAGGTATTTTCCTGAGATTTCTGGGATGCTGGTTTCTTCATGAGTAAAGGGGAGGTTTGCTAGAGTGACAGTGACAGCGTGAGTTTCTTTAGACCAATTAAGACTAGTTTTTTTGTTTTCGAAGAGTTTGTCGGTTGGAATGGCGACAAGTAAGAGCCATTATTAGCTGCTGCACTTAAAAGCTTAGGTGGTATGCATAGGGTTGGGGATTGGATTTGCCACTAGCCATCTTAACCTGTGATTATCTTCCCTGGACAGGCCTATTCAGAAGGGACTCCCGTAATTCGGTTGGCAATTTAGCTATTCCCTCAAAGATAGCAGACGTTTTGCCAACTGCGAACTGCTTATCCTTCAGGATTCCCTGCCACCCCATGGAACCCGATGTCCGAAGAGGTTCAGAAGGCAGTGCAGATCTGATATTGCGATGCGGTTACCACCGATCGTGGTTTAGTCTCACCTTGTCCCTCATTAGCATTTTCACGGGTGCAAGGATTCGAGGCTGAATTTAAATTGTGCACATCATCTGGTTCTTGGCTACCTACTGAGTTGCGACCATTCGGCGGCCAGGAAAACGGATAATGGAAGGGGTTAGCAGACCAATATCCAAAATTATAGCAAACATCTTCGAATATATTTCTGAAAAATAAAGGCTCCTCATAAAGATCCATCAATCGTTCGGATGCGGCTTAGGTTACACTTTTGGTTAATAAATCTGTTGAAAAAATATCTGCACCTCTGCTAAAAATTGGAGGGAAGATCGGCCAAAAACTGGGTAAAAAAGTGTATGCGATAAATGTGAACAGAATTCGGTCCTATTTGGTATTTATAATTTTCAATAATAATAGTCAATAAATCACCCCCGAACGGCTGATGTATTTTTTTTTTTTAAGAAGAGCCTTTATTTCGTATCAGAAATACATTAGGAGAGGTTAACACTGCCTGGCGATGGGCGAGCGCAATAAGAAAATTCATAAATTTTTTTATCAAATTATTTTCTATAACTTTTTGATGGATATAACCTAGCCTTACGAATGGTAGCTGATGCATACTCCTCACCGCCAGGTTTAAATAGCTCAAATGGTAAGTCATCGACTCCAGATGCTTTGTTGTTCTTTATGCGGAAAATCGCTAATCGAACCTCGTTTTAGTCGGGTTATGGAATGCCTTTTTCTATCATCATCGTTTCAGTATACTTCGGGCATCAGTCACGCGATCACATATTTGGGTCGTATAAGAGTTTGTTCTGGACTTGAAACATTCTATAAGTCGCAGTATTTTTGAGCATTACCTTTGCCGGCCTGCTTCTCAAGTTTTTCATACTCACGCATTTTGCCATCTTTGCCAGCTTTTTGGCTTGTTCATTTCTGTTGGATGTATAAATATTAAGTTTTTTTTCTCGATTTTCATCTTTTGTATGGATTAAGAATCCTTCCTGACCGAATCTATGTGCATGCGTACGTACTTACCCGTATGGTGCATAGTCTCATAGTCTCTCTACTCACAAACAGCAGCATTTTTTTTTTTGAAAATAAAACATGCTTTTTCTAATTTCTAAATATTTATTTTGTATAAGTATATATGTTTGTAGATATAATAATGTGTTGTTTTCCAGGAAAGGTTACGCGCCTATGATAATGTATTTTTGTTAATTTATGTGTGGTGTGTTCAAGTGTATAAATATGGTCAAGTTTTTGATATATTTTTTATTCTAGAAATTTCAAAACATTTCTACAAAGACAAGGGAAAGGTTTGAGTGGATTTTTATTATAATTGTTTATTTATGTTTGTTTTGTTTTTGGATTCGATTATTATCCATAAATGCAATTCCCTTAATTACGACTATGTTTTTGGTATTTTAATTAAATATTTTTCTCCATACACCTGCATATATGTATATATACATTCAAATATATATATATACATATATATATATGCATATACTGTATGTATGTAAGTTGCCGAGAAGTTTTTTGTATGTTTGTAGATATATTTTACTTTTCTAAAATATATTCTTTTTAAAATACACATTTGTGGTTTTTCAATTCAAAATTTTTCTTAAAAACTAATTATTGTATGTTTGTTTTATTTGAAAATTATAATGGTAAGAAGTTGCAAATATAACAACATCAATTTAGATATTTAGGTTTGTATGTATGTATATTTTTAATTAAATCTTCGAACGCTACTAAATTGATGCGTCAATAAGTATTGCAGTAAATATTTATGTATGTATGTATTTCGAAATTCGCTTACATTTTTCATTTATTTTCAAATTTAGTTTTTTTTTTATATATGTTGGTTGTTGTTAGATATGAGTGTTTTTAAACCGTGAGTTCTTTGCACTACTCATACGGTTTCTCCCGACGGTGTTGGTGTTTAATAAAGAGTTTCTCCCACTAATTGTTTCACTAATTCTACATTATTGTTTTGTTATAACTTTTTAAGTAAATTGCACACTTAAATAATTAAAAAATTCTCCTCCATTTGACGAAATCTGTGATAGTCAGCATTCTTTTGGTTTTTCCATTTTTTCTTATTTATTTTTAAATTTTTCTTTATTCGTACTATATTTTGACTTGATGATGTGATTTACATTTTTGATATGCTTTAGAAGATGATGAAAAGTCTAAATTCTATTTGATACGAGTATTCGCTATTGTCATTATTTTCATTCATTCCTTATGCGTTTCCGCCAGATTTTAACTTTTTTGCGTTTAACTTTTACAACGCTGATACGCTTTTTATTCTTCTTCCTCTTGCCATTACTATTCTGTACAATTCCCACCCGTTTTGGCCACTTTCAAGGAGTTACATAGAATATGGGCGGATGCCACCCACGATGGACCGCGTTTTAGAAACCATTATAATAGCGACCCCTCGGTCGTACGATTAATTGATTCTCACTGAAGTCGCTATACTCATCCGAATCCTCGTAGATGCTCTTCAATGAGCCAGGAAATGGTGTAGCACGTTCTGCGCTATAGGAATTGAAATCCTCATCGCTATTCTCAAATGGATCCACTGCCACGTAGGAGGCCGAGAAACCCTTCATTGTTACGGTGTCATCTGTTTTAAAGCGCACCAGTAGTGAATCGGTTAAGGATATGATATCTTGTGGGAGCTATGAAGAGAAAAAAAAATGTAGATTAGGTTTTCGCAATGAAATTAGAGAGGCATTCGAAATAGCTGCGATTCGGCTGAGCTAATCAGGTAAAGCGATGAAGAACTGACCAAGTGCATTCATCAGTTGTATAAAAAATTTGTGCGGATGTGTGTTTGTTTTGCCGATTGGAGCAATAATCGTGAGATTAGACACCGCAATAGCCAAATGGCGCTGTGTACTACCATTTCGAAGGCAGAGTTCGAGTTTTGGTCGAAGAAAAAACCAAAGTTATTGAAATTATTAATTTTTTCTAGTAGCTGCCGTTTTTCGGCAAGGAACGACGAACCCTAAGATTGTATTTCTAACATGAAAAAAGCTGTTCAGAAATATTCATCAGCCTTTCAGAGGCGGCTTTGTATAGACTGTAAGTCCCTCCATTTGTTGGAAGAACATCAGTTAATTCTTAACCTTCTCCGAACGACCGATTAATTAGTCCCTTCTTTCCGGTCAAAAATATACTTCGAGGGCTTGCCATTTTCGGCCGAAGATAGACCGCTATTAAAGAATTATTATCTAAAGTTTTGTATGTTGGTCTCGAACCCAGGCCATTCGAGTGTTAGTACACAATGCTAACGACTCGACTTCTTGTGATTGAAAAGAACTTACCGTATTTCCGCAATATTGTCCATACATCGGTCCACTGGTATCCTCCATGCCCGAATACACCTGCACGTAATCGTAGGTACAATTTTCGCTGGACTCAATATCGAATGTGAGGAAGAGTAATTGTACATTACTGCTAGCAGGAGCTTGAATCGTCCACTCACAATCCATATTCTCATTATAGTTGCGATTGCCGAAGAGAGCATGTGAATAAAATTGTTGTATTACATTCGTAGCACGTAAATAACCGCCGCACGCTATTAAAGAAACCAAGCGGGGTAAAATAAAAACTTAAACCAATAAAAGTGCACACTCAGGTGCGAGTCAACTCACATGTTGAATGTATGGCGGTGAAACCAGTCATCTGTTTATTTTTGTCCGTTTTGAAAACCATATATAGCTGATTGGTGGTTGATGAGATTGGATATGGTATTTTATCGCCACAGAAGTGACCCAATATCGAGCTGCTCTCCGATTCGCCATCGTAAACTGCCACATTGTCGTAAGCGCATTCCTAAAGAAATTGAATAGTAATGACAGTAAATTAAACGCACGAGATTCCCACCCTCTACTGAAGTAAAGTCAACTCTTCTTCTACTCACTCACCTGATGCGACTCCACATTAAATTCATTGAATATCAATTTGATGCGATGACCCGGTGTAGTGGAAAAATGCCACACACAATCAGCATTCGGTGGATAGAGATCAGGAAAATTGGGACTGTAGATGGTGCCGAAGGGTGCAGAAATTTCGTGTTTACACTCGCCCTCCTTGCAATCATGTCCGTTCTCATGCAGCGAATAGCCATTGTGACAGAAGCACATATACGAACCGATGGTATTGCGGCACTCATGCTGACAGCCACCATTATTGGTCGAACATTCATCGATATCAGTAAAGAAGACCGCAGCAAAGCCAGTGCCTTGTATGGTCTTATCCGAATGAAATTCGACGCGTAACGCATTACCCTCCGAGGTGGCTGTGGGTGGTATGGCTGTGCCACAATATGTGCCGATGCGCTTCAAACGATTCTCGCTCAGTTTGGAGTAGATGGTGACTGAATCATAGCCGCAATCCGTTTGCTGTTGCGTATTACCCTCGAGATCGAAATGCGTGAAGTTGAGGGAAATTTTGTGTTTTGGTGGTGCAATAATTTCCCAAATACATTCCTTCAGTACCGGATACGGATCGGGGAACGACGGTGAACTGATGGTGCCATTGGGGTATTCGATAACGCCACCGCATGCGTCTAGAATTAAAGGATGCATAGTGTACAAAGTTAGCAAAGGGTAATAAGAAGTATGAAAAAGCGCGAGATGGTATAAAGAGCAGTAGTCTGTGTATGTATGTATTTTTTTAAATCATTAGATTTTATTTTGGAATTAAGGCAATCAATTTTGGGATAAATTTGTAGATCTGACATTATTAATCTCCCAAATATATAAGGCTCTCGCGTGTTAGTTATGCCATGGTCGCATTTGAATAGATAAGAATTCAAACCTTCTCAGTTTTTGGATCTTAATAAGAAGTCTTTAAATCTTTGTAAGAAAGTGTTGGTCGATTGTATGGCCTTTAAAGCCAGTTGTATGGAATTTGTAAAATTTATTATCTTCTACCTGATGTGCTTGCGGAATGACTCTGTCTCAAGCAAAGTACTTAGTTTAGCTAAGAGCAGAAAGGCTTTGACCTAATGACAACTAGTTGTACTTGATCCTTCCTTTACTGTCTTACTATAGATGCTTACATAAATAATTGGCACTTTGTAAGCGCTGAAGCGATTTTCGGCCGAGCTCCTAATCCAATTTGTAATTTTGCGTCTTGATTTTTTCTCAAAAAAAGGATGGACCTACATTTTATACAAAGCCGCCTCTGAACGGCTGATGGTTTTTTTATGAGGAAATGCCGAGGGGCAACCGCAATTAGAAAATTTAACTTCATTTTATTATTTAAATTAATTTTCTATAACTTTCGGATGTTAGTCGCACCAGGATTTAAAACCGGGCTTTACGAATGGCAGTACTCGGGCCCCTGCGGGTTAGGGGCACAAGAATTTACACGTGGTAAGGCATGCCTGTCGTAAGAGGCGACTAAAATCTAATAGTACCACGATTGTCGGGTCTTTATACCGGAACGACCCGGATTTTTATCCGGTAAAGGACTGTTACTCCCGCAATATTCCCCGAAAACCAATTTGGGGAATAATTTGCGGTTACAACAACAACAACAGTGGCAGTACTCGGCTACCACGGCCGCTTGCATAACTATAAAACCGCTTTGAACGCTCTCAAAACAAGCAAGAAATTGGTACAGTTCGGCCGAAGCATCAACCGTGATTACAAAATCTGCTGCCATAAGCACAATCCAACAAGACATACATAGACTTCTTCGGAAACTTTTCCGTACTTCAAGTGCTTAAAGCAAAACCTCTATAAGTTCGTTTTTCATATATTCTAGTACAGTTCCATCTAGTTTTCACTATTCTCCCATCAAAGCAAGTATTGCCAAGCGCTTTGGGCCAAAGTCTCTCTCTCTTTAGAAGTGGTTATCAGGAGACGCTCTATCGCGGTATAGGGTCACAACTGCGTTCTACTACATATTAGCTTATCATCTTTCGGGATACTCTGTTTACATAATTTAGATTTCAGGTTGAAATTCACTGCATTAAAAGTCCTCCAGTACAGGGTTTTCCAATAAAAGGTGTTATTTTGCAATTCAAAGAAATATGTAATTTTTTGAGAAGTATAATTGGATGTTTATTTTAATGTAAAGATGAAGATATGCCATTAATAATGGAAAATAATGTCAGTCAAAGGGTCGGCACGGCTACGCTTAAAGTACCAAATCTTTTTTATGAAATTTTCTATCACCAAATTGCAAAATGGCTGCTGTATTGCCTCAATCGCTTCATGAATTCCATCTTTGAAGTCTTAAATCGACTTTATATTTCAAGTGACCTCAAAAGAAAGAGTAGCAAGGAGTTTAATCACAAGATTTCGGTGATCAATTGCGATTTCCTCGTCGAGAGTTAACACAGTCCAGAAACGTTTGCCTTAACAGATCGCAGGTTGTTTTTTTTTGCTGCACGTACTTCAATTCCGGCAAATAAAAATAATTAATCAACTCTCGATAGCCCAATCCATTCACCATAACTGTTACTCCCGCCTCATTTTTGAGAAAGTAAGGTCCAATGATCTCCACGGACCATAAACCACACCGAACAGTTACACATTAAGGATAGAGAAAAACCAATCTTGGGCTTTCCGAGTCCCAGGTTGCGACAGTTTTGCTTATTGACATAACCATGATGGGCCTTATCAGCCAAGATGATTTTTCAATGAAATTCCGGAAATATTCCACAACGACAGGACGTTGTTAATGATCTTATGGCTTGAGTTCTTCTGTTAACTGAAGTCTATGGGCCTTAAACCCAAGTCTGTATGGAAATGACGGTGTAATGCCTCATTACAAACAACCACCAGGAATAGACAAACCTGGGGTTTCTTCAACACTTTGGGCTACAGCAGTAATATTCCCAGTTGTTCTTTATTCATCACATCATTAACTTGTCCCATCAGTGTCTTTTTTCGTCAATTTATGTATTGCGGTCTGACAAGGAGCTTGATGACGACTGAAAAATGTAATGTTACGAACCGTTTCTGCCATTTTTATTGTGATAAATGATGATAGAGATTTACTAAGCTACATTACTGGCTCCGGGCTCTCTAATAACAATATTTTTATTTCTTGCTGGTTTTCGTTACTTCGAAATGTTTTACAGTCTAAAACCTAAGTACGTCAAACAAGCAAGTTTAGATGCATTAATATAAACTACCAGAAGATATTTACCCAACGGATTTGCCCTATTTTGCGTAAAACCCACCCAGTGCTGGGTAAATATCTTCTGGTAGTGATATGTACTTTTCCAACTAAATAAGTATTGACATAGCTGTTACGGTGAAGCTTCCGAAAGGCTTAAACACCACTTTTAGTGGCAGCGATTTCCTCCTAAACTATTTAAAATGTACTGAGTTACTGAAAAGGGATCCTAAGCACAAGTAAAAGTTAGAAAGGTGGCCTGCTAGCTCTTCTCTGCTCGAGTTAATCTTCAGTGGTTCGTTTCACTTAGTGCCTGTTCAGTCATCTTCAGTTTAATCGGTTATTCCAAGCTATTTAGAAAGAAAAAAGATTTTGAAGCCAGCGTTATATGTCGATCTATTGAAACTGAGGTTAGTTTCTTTTTTCGTTTCGCGCCATTGAAACCCTTTTAATTATATTCAAACACAAGTACAACCGAAAATTATATATATATTTTATTTACTTACTCTCACAATGCTTTTTATCGCTATGCAATTCGTATCCAATGTGACAACTACACTCGTAACCGCCCAGCGTGTTGATGCAGTCATGCTCGCAGCCATGGTTCTGTGTCTCGCACTCGTCTACCTCTTTCATAAATATAGCTGAGAAGCCGGCTTTCTGCACGGATGAGTCGGACAAGAATTTCACGTACATAGCATTGCCACTTGACCTACAAAATGTTGAAAATACGTAAGAAAGATGGCAATAACAACAACACCGAAAGCCCAAATGGGGAAATGAATATTAAGTATGCTGACGTCCAGAAAAGTTTCACTTTCACTTTTTGCTTTCAAGCTCGCTCAATTGCATACATGCTATCATCACGTCCGAACAGTATAACAAACAAAAACAAAAATAACAACAAAAAGGACATGCACACCGTATGCAACGTAGCTGAACGGAATATGGAGCAGACGAAATAAAATTCCTTTGTCTACCAAAGTACGCCACGTGCTTATACATAAATCTACGGTAATAAACTACATATGTTTGTTGTACTTACTTCATGTTTGGTGGTGGTTTGTAGCCACAAAAGACGCCAATCAATTGTGCATCCTCCGTTGCGCCATCTCGCACCTCGACAAAGTCATACACACAACTATCGTGATTCTCCACTTCGAACGATTGGAATTTGAGTGCCACTTGGTAGCCTCTTGGCACGGTGATTTTCCATACACACTCTTTGCTCGGCAAGTAATCCAATGGATAGTTGGGCGATTCTAAGCGACCCTCCGAATCATCAACAGACATCTCACCGCCGCAGATGACTGTAAGAAGTGGCAGAAGATGAAAATAACTGTAGTGCATATAGCTATATTTAAGTATGAGCATGTGTGGAGGATTTGGTGAACATGAGTTGGAGCTCGTGCCAAAGTGGACTCGTTGTTCGGCGGATACGCATGAACTAAGCTTTTAAAATGGTGAGAAGGATAATTTAATGAGTGCAGGTAATCACAATTCATTAATTTACTGGAAATTTGAATTTTACCCATGTAAAAGGAAATTGGAAAATTTGTTACCGAAGTTTTTCGTAAAAGCAGAGTTGTCTTTGGGCAAGCCAAGATGTCTTGATGATGATTTTCGGTGTCAATATTTATTTGTGTTTACGTACATATGTAGAATACTGTATTTTTTTTTTTTGCGGAGTTTTGGCCATAACCTCATTTGTGAAGAGATCGGTTCATGGTAGTTATATGTTATAGTCTTTCGATTTTGATACCATTCAGCACCAATGTGTAACTGACGTGTGCAGAATACCGAATTTCTCGCTCTGAATACTTTTTAACTAATCTCAAATCTGTAAAATCTGTCGCGCATATGCTTAGTGATTTGAACTGGCCGGCTCCGACATATGATCGCTTAAATGCATCAGCGCATTTGTGTTCCAATTGTATCTTAATCGCTGAGGAACAAGTTGGGGTATAAACAGACGGACAGACGAACTCTATCAGCATACATTTTCACCGGCCTATCTCTTCTCCTACTGGTACATACTTACTTCAGACCAACCTTACTACATCATCCCATGTGAATGAAAGCTAAAAGAAATACTTCAGCTTCTTTGCGACATATGAAAGCACGCCCGATTATACGAACATAAGTTTACTCAGCCTTATCCACGTTTGCGCCAATTAGGGTGTGATAAGCCTCCGAGGAAATTGTGTGAGAGACTAAAGCCAACACACTGATTGACCTTATCAGTGTGGCTTTAGACCCTGAAATCAACCATTGATCTGATATTTACCATGCGCCGTGACAAGAGAGTGAATACATACCCCCTCTTCGTTGATTTTAAAACAGCTTTTGAAAGCACGAAAAGGAGCAGTCTCTACGCCGCTAAGTCTGAATTTATTTATTTATTTATTGCTAAAGAAAATAATATGAGCTGGACAACTAAATGTTTGGAAGATGACGACATCTGATGAGTCGATAATCTGCCCGTGAGAACGGCGAATACCGCAACCCACGGGAAGATGAGCTGTACGATATCTAGGTCAACATTAAAATAGAGTTACGAAGCAATAAACAGCTGCTACGCTGCTTAGGTAGAAGAAGACCTATACTTCGTTGGAAAGACTAGGTGTGGAGAAAGACTTGGCTGGACTTGGTGTTTCCAATGGCCGTCAAACAGCATGAACAAGGCATGAATAGCACAACGTTGTTAACTCGGCTGTAACCACGCAGGCGAGGTCTACGCAAATAAATAATAAGAAAAAGAAAGAGTAACAAAAAGAAAAATAATCGAAAAACCGCCAAGTAGAAAATGTTGAGAATGAAGCATGTAAACGTGATAGACCTTTTATGGGCCACAATCATTTCCAAAAACCAAAAACCTTTGACCGGCACATTTTATTTTCCAATAAAAATTAAAAAACTATGGGCTGCACTTTTTAATGCCAGACCTGCGATGCATGTGAAACTGTCGATCCAATTTTTATTTTAATTTTTATGAGTCTCTTTTCTATATGAACAACCAAAGAGGTGGATAATTCCAACATTTTTCGACCTTTGAAAAAAATCACTTTTTCGAAAAAAGGAGATATATTCTTTTTGCTATCACTGGCACTGTTTCCTAGGACTTTTAAAGATGAAAACTCTCGAAAACACGCCTCAAAGCCACTAGATCTGCTTTGTCGGCTTCTGAAATATATCGAATTGGCCACTGAAATTTTGAAGAAATATTCTTGGATAGTTTTAGAATTGATTTAAGAGGCACACCTAGTGTGAAATTTCAAAAATCGATCGATCTTTTTTCATATTTCGGTAGATAACATCTTTAAAATAACATATCAAATCGATATCTCAAATAGTTTTTGAGTTCTAGCAATTTAAAGAGCAGCCACTCGGCAGCTAGAGAGTCTCATTAGCTACGAGTGAAAACGATAATTTTATCTTTAAATGCGTTTTTCTCGAAACAGCATTTTCCGATACGCTGCAGTGATTACCCAAAAACAAATGATCCGATCACTATCGAATTTTTTTTACATGTTCTATATATAGTTCTCCGTTTGATCTGATCAAAAAAACGAATTTTGGCAGGCCAAAAACGACAAAAGTTTTTGGTAAAATTCGACTATTTTTTTTAAAACGCCGCCATATTGTCAGTTTTTGATTTTTTTTATCGTAGTTTATTGTACAGACAATATTATCTTATCGAGAATTTTTTTTTAGGTTCCATCCACTGAGAAGGCCGGAATCACTGCAGCAGTGAAGGACCTTTTTTTTCGCGCCGTTGGAGATCGACTACAACTTAAAAAATATATAATTTTTTTTTCTTCAAAAATTTCACTGTATATTCTTGAAACATGTATAAATTCTTATTCTTAAAATTTTGAAATAATTGATAAAGTATTTTTTTTTAATGAAAATTCCCAAAAATCACCTTTTTTTAGACCATTACACTAGGTGTGCCCTGCATTTTTGAAGCCTCTAAAGCAGACTACTTACTGCCCTAGACAGACCTTAATCGCTAATTTATGACTCAAAAGCTATAAGTTATACATATATTTTTTTTAAATATTTACTCACCATCAAATTCGGCCTTAAATCCACGATAACCCTCGTAGCGATGTGTATTCACATATGTCAAAAGCATCCGACTTGATTCTGTCTTCAAAACTTCACCATTGACTTTACCACAGAATCGTTTGATCAATGGAGATTTATGATAATAACCGTCGCGTACTTCCAAATAATCTGTTTGACAATTGTTTGATTTGAAAATATTCTGAAATGGTGAAAGATGAGAAAATATACATTTGTATGTACGTGTATGCAAGGAAGAAAGTGTGAGGTAGACAAAATTTAAGATAGAAATATTTCATAAAATGACTGCCAACAAGCTGATGAAAGCAAATTTAAAAATGAACCTTGATATAATATATACATATGTTAGTACATATATACATATGTACATACATACATTTATGTGGGTAATACCTACCATATTTTCCAGCTTTAACACCACACGCTCGCCATGTGTAGCTGTAATGCGCCACTCGCACTGCTCCGTCTCGTTGGTCAATGCGCCAGCCGTGTAGTATGAAGGACTTGCAAATATGCCGGTATTCTCTTGAAATGTCCGACCACACTTGGGACACTTGTAGAGTAAATTTGCTTGAGAAATATCACCGGCGCTCAAGCGTAAACGTTGACCAATTTCTGGCCGTTTTTTACCCTTCACCTCAATGGGTAATATGGTATCCAGATAGGTGCCCTTTGAGAATGTATTGCGTGCATAATGCATAATGGAATCGTAGTCGTATGGCAAGCCCAACGAGTCGACCTCTTCCGGTGTCAGTTTGTTGAAATTGTAGTCTTGACCCTTCATGATGTTGTTGTGCTCAATAACGACATGTTTCTCGCGGTCGGGGCGAGTGTGCTCATGCCAAAAGCCAACAACATGACCCAGTTCATGCACTACAATTCCAAATTTGTCGCAATTGCGACCAATCGAAATGGCCTGTGCACCATTGCCGCGCTTGCCAACAAATGAACAGCACCTGTGGCAATTGTTTTTATTTTTTATTTATTTACATTTTTTTTTTTTTGGAAGAAGAAGCATAATGAAATTGGATTTGATAAGAAGTTTGGTTGGTTGTTTTTTTTTATACAAATTTTTTGTAAGTATATAGAGTTGTGTGTAGGTATACTCGTATTAGTGTTTATTTGTATAGAAGAAATAACAGTTATTGAGCGTCAAGCGGTTGTATGACTTGTTAATTGGTATTTAAGTTGTATTTTTCAGAGTTATAAGACTCATTCAAGTGAACTTACCCGCAACTGCGTACTGTGAAGACTATATAGTTTGGATGTATTTCCGGATCGCGTTCGATGAATTTGATGCAAGTGGAGTTCTCCCAATGCCGCATCGCCTGTTTGAACAGTGCCTTATGCAGGCCACTAAAGTTGCCATCGATTTCATATGGTATAACACCGTAATCCCAAATTCGTTCCTTCTTCGCTGTCACTGCACGCACCATACGATTGCGGTGTTTTAGAAGTTTTGAGTTTCTGAAAAAACATACACATGCATATATGTACAGATACGTGGATACATAAGAATAGGATTTATATTGAAGCAGACTATAAATTTCCGGTTGAAATTGATATGCGATAGAATTATCGAATTGAATCTGAATCATCGATTTTATACTCATTATTAGCTCGGTGGTGGAATACTTTATTGTATTATATCGATTTAACGATCATTTTAACACATGTCCCAATTAAGGCATCTGAAATTCCTGCTGCAGCCCCTGTCGGGTTCCAAAACCGGGGTACAACCTCCTTGTCCCGTCCATCGTACTTCTTGCCCGCCTATAGTCTCGTCTTAAGACTATACCAATCAGATGGACCGCGTTACCTTCCCAATTAAGGCATCTGAAATTCCTGCTGCAGATCCTGTCGGGTCCCAAAACCAGGTACAATATCCGCCTATAGTCTCCTCTTAAATCAAGGGCCTTAAATATTTTTAGTGGTTTTCTCTCATTAGATGCGTTGTTAAACTTCTGTACGTGTCGGGTCCCAAAACCAGCCTCGCTAAGCGAATATGTTTAAATTTTGCATATATTTACATACATATATAGTTTGCAATTCGCCTTCAGTTAATCCTTTAACCGAATATGTCGGAGTGGATCCTCTGAAGCTGCCTTTCTTTTAGACACGACACAACTCTGGGTGTCAAAACGGATGTGTCTTTAATTAACTCCAGAAGGTGGGCTCCTCGTAAGGCATGGTGCTAAGCTAACTATGATACGCGTAAAAATAGAGTGCACTCTGCCAAAAGCTTATACCTACCCAGAACTGTTTATGTTTTTAACCACCTTTACCTTTTAATTGCAATTCAGGCTACCAACACAAACATTTTCCAGCAGAGAGCTTTCGAAACACGCAAAATCTGCTTTGGAATTACTCCTTTCCGCATACTTACTCAGCGTTTTGTAGTTCCATTTCCAATGGCATTTGCACTTTACTACTGCCACTACTGCCACTGCTGTCAGCCACATTCGCATTTACTTCGATAATGCGGTCATTGTTCACCATAGGTTCATAGGCGCCCACTGTAGCTCTGCCCACAGCTGACAGTTCATCGCTTTGAGCCGCTGAATAATTGAAATTTTTGGCTAGACTTTGTTCCATTTGCAAGGCTATCAGCCATTGGTGATGGCGTTGATGATGTTGTTGCGGTTCTAACATCAGTTTTTGGCTCTGCTCTTGCTGTTGGTGCCTCTCTTCCAGCAGCCGCTCATTTGCGGTTTCCGCCTCTGTTTCGGTTCCTATTTTTGTTATTTGCTGCTTTGTGTTATGTGTTTTATGGTTGGCGCTGGGATGGTCCTCACTGTTCTTGTTGTGCTGTGGTTGCGGACGTTGGCGTTGCGTATGTGTGTGATAATCATGCATCGTATGTACGGGGCGATTGAGTTCCTCCTTTAGGCGTTGTAATTTCACATTAAAATCGGCGAGTCGTAACTCTGGGCTGCGTCTGAAATGAAGGTTAGTTATTTTTGTTTTGCTTGTGATATGAATGCATACAATGTGACTCTATTGAGTGAAATCGATATCACTCACCATTCAGCTTACTCACCTATGCTTGCGTCCACGTCTATGTCGTCGACGCACTGGGCCTTCTGCGTGCAAAAAATCCACATCATCCAACTTCATACCATTACCGCCCGCATTACTATATACATTCGGTAGTGTGGAACGCTGTGTGGGCAATGATGTGGGTAATATAACCATACGACGCTCGGCCACAAAATTATTACCCGAATCCATTTCGATGTCCTTCGTATTCGATTGTATTTTACGCTGATCGACATTACGATTGTTGAGTGCCAATGCGGCTTTGCGTTGCTTCTCCAACTCAACAGCCTTCTCAATTGACACACGCCCACCTTTGGCGACGCTGCTATCGACACTGCTCACCGCCGGGCCGAAATACTCGCCACTGCGATGTAGTGCAATCGATTCCACTTTCCCATTCGCATCGAACGTTGTTGGCTTGCCGGGTCGTGTATACAAACCGCCTGTACTGCTAATGCCACTGCCGCTGCTAAGCGCACGCTGACGGACTTGTTGTTGGTTCGCGCCAAGTGGTTGAGTTTCGTTTTTCTCGGCATAAGCGATTTTGTTGGTTTTCTCACGTTTTTTCGGCTTCTCATCGAAAATGTTACTCTCCATCGGTAGGTAAATGGGATTTGGTTTAAAGCGTTGGCTCTTGTTGGTTTCGTCCTCGTTGACGCCATTTCTGATTACTTCATTTTTCAAGTTCTTCATTATATAGTTTGCGCTCAGCGAGTAGCTTGTTGGTTTGACCGGTTCATTGGCCGACTTGGATATCAAATAGGGATAGAAAAAATGTGAACAATTTTGATTATTTAAATTATTTTCGGTGAAAAGATTTTATAATCTTCATCTCTCCTTCTTTACATTTATTTTTCTATTTTCGTTCAAAATTGTGGTTGAGCTCCTCATCTCATATGTGGTTTTCATCGTAATGGGTTTCAAGTAAATTTGAAAAACTTCAGACTTTAGCCGCCTTTTTTAAAAGGGATGAGCAATGTTCTGAAAGTTTTCTTTAAGGAAAAGCTACTAATAAACTAGGCAGAGTATTCCAGGACAGATGGTTAATGCAGTGGGCAACTGTTCAGCAATGCTCGTCTGCGAATTTGTTGTTGAGACCCGACTGTCACGGAAGCTATTGGATTTTAGTCACCTCTTACGATGGGCATGCCTCACGGGTAAACTATTGAGCTCCTAACCCGCATGAGGGTCTGCGATTTGCAATATCTTATAAAGGCAGTGAAAAACGCAGTCAAGAAACACAAGATAACGGACTGCCAAAAAGATATCTACTCAACTTTTATTTTTGCTCTCTGAGAGCACTTGTCTGCAGCTTGGTATAAACGAACTATGAGATGGAATTTCAGAAAAAGGCTTTGAAAATATCGGTGCCATGTTGCAATAGGGAGAAATAAGACTTTTTTGTACCGAAAACGGGAGAGTACGAACTGTGAGAGTACAAAAGGTTGCAGCAGTGGGTCAACACTGCAAATATCCGAATATTTTGCGAGGCTACAGTTGGTTTAAAGTACAGAGATACCGTCGATGTCTGACGACATATCTTAGATTTTGTGAGACCCGCTGTGAAACCATTATGACTAAAATACCCTTATACTACCATGTCCCATGTCCTCTTGTAGAATATCCTGTGCCTTGATAAAGTAATTGAATTCGAAAAGTTTTGTATTTTCAACTTCCGAGACATCGTTAAGAGAACCGGCAGAGAATGCCCACTCCTCCGAGTGTAGTTCTAACATGAAATAAAGCTTCCCATAAAAAAAACTATCAGCCGTCCCGAGGCGGCTTAGTATAAACTGTAGGTCCCTCCATTTTGGGGAAAAAATCAAGACGCAAAACCACAAATTGGAGGAGGTCGAAAATCGCTTCAGCGGTTACCAAACTCCAATCATATTATATAAGAGACTTAAGTGGTTTCAAAGCCGCTTGCATATAGGTGTACAAGTATATAAATATATTTTTTGTTTTAAGCAACCTATTTCTTAGAACCAGAAGGTTTTCGTTAATGACAGTGATCTCTGCTTGGAAAACACTACAATAATCTAGTTGTCGAATGCTGATTTTGGTATCTAATTTTGCTGAAAAGTCACGACCTTCTCCTCGTTTATCTATACGTAGTTTGGATACGTCCGTATAAATACTTATCTCTATATCATTTTTCACCTCGCTCCTATCACACTACTCTCTCGAGTAGAAGGCAGTATTAAGGGTAAAATTCAAGTTCATTTCTTAAGGTTTAATTGTATTTTCCTGTAGAAACATTTCTCCAGCCTACAAAATAACGCAAGTCTGTGGCTTATCTAGAAAGAGCATGCATCAGACTATATAAGGAATATGGTCCGACGTAAAAATGCTCACGTCGATATTGAGAGAAGAACGAACAAATATCAAGCTTTACAAGTCTCTCATTATAACCATCCCGGCGATAGAGAAGAAAAATGTGCCTTTGATATACTCCGATATACTCATGCCGTCTGAATGGTTGAAAAGACGGACTTTTCATGTCTTCGAGCTACTACCCGTTTGTGAAATAAGGAAACTTGTATAAACTCGTTCTTCCAGAAAGTTGTAGATAAGCTTGTAATAAGATTCCGACTAAGCTCTTGCATTGGTATTTATATGATAGGGATTAAAGCAGTAAAAGCTGTGTAAATTTTCCCCTTTCTCTGACTTAAACTCGTCTAACACCTTAACAACAGGCAAACTCCAAGACATCTCGAGAACATCGAGGTAGAGCAATGCCGAAAGGTAATACCAAAAGGATAAACGATGCTCTAAAACTACACCAAAAAGTTTAACTACTACGAATTGTGCTTCATTTTACCAAAGGTAATCATTTATATGTAAATATCAACATGTGTCTACCTAAAACTAAACTCACCACAGCTGGATCATTATTGTCCTTATAGTCAAAATGTGAGCTCGGCAACTTCGTTTTCTTTCGTATTATATGTGTAAGACCCTCCTCCTCCACCTGCAAGCCTTCGTGGTAGACTTCCTGTTTAAGTATTTCCAATTCCTGTTGGAAAGACGCATTGAATTTAGTAGCCGTTGGCACTACCTTTTCAGCGATTATTGGCGCTTCTGCTGGCGCATCCGATTGCCATTCCACATCATTCTTTTCCGCCGCTTTGTGTTTTTGAAAATTTTCATTACCATCGCCGTTGCCATTATCGATTTCATCGCCTTCAACGTTGTCAGCAGCGCTGTCCTCCTCAGCATCTTCCTCAGTCGCCTCCCTTGCGACTGGTATAACTATGGTGCGCGCAACAATGGGGTCACCGTCGTAATTAATGTCGGGCAAAGCGATATCACCCATGAAACCACCTGTGAATAAAGATAAAAATTATTAAAAAAAAAAATTAAACATTTCCAGCTTAATTGAATTTAAATGATAAGCTGTGGGCGAAATTCTGTATGAATATGAGTAAATGAAATATACACATACGTGTACAAAGATACTCATGTCTGCCTGTGTATGTACTTGTGACTACAAAAATAAATACTCATAAATAAGGATAATAAAAGTAAAGCCAATTTAAAGTGCGTCTGGGGGCGCGCATAGAGAAAGATAAAAATTCATTCATTTCATTGACCACTCATTAATCATTGCTGCCTTTCGACTGGCGTGGGTTGCGGCTGGGTTTTCACTCTGTGACTGGCCACCCTTAAATGAATGCGAGAAGTGATGGCAGACTGTGTATTGCCATATGCCTTGGCACGCAGCCTGAACTATTCGAAGGATTTATGGTTATGGTTAAATTCAATTACGATACATGTGCGGCTGGTGAAATGTCATGGAGAAAAGTAGACACCTGCTTCATTGCAAAGCGTAGGATAGAAAATTTGGCGAAAATATTTGAGTGGAAACATCTCATTGCGATTATTATAAAAATTATTCTTCGACTATTGGACAATGCATAAAGAATGCACTTAGAATGTCCCCCATGTTTTGCGCGTGTCTTGATGTTTTCTCTAAGAAACTAGTAGACCCGACCACCGGTTGCTGTGATTTTTATATTAAGCAATAAATGCTTGAATCTCGCGTTCTATAAATGCGTTTGGATTACACTAGATGGCGTTAGAAAGATGATATTTTGTACTAAGAAAGATTTTGGGAGAAGTGACTCAGTAGTGTTTGGGCGCATGTCAAGCAAAGAGAAAAAACTTTTCTTCAATTAATGCGAAAACGCGTGTTAGCTAGCTGAAAAAGTGAATCGAGTTTGGGGTCCTGATATTTTACCAGTAAATCATGTACAATTTTGGTTTTGTCGATCACAGCGTTGGTCTTGTCGATAATGTCAATAATATAATAGAAATCGTCAAACCTGGACGTCATACGGGATCTGTTTTGATGACCCAGTACTTAAAAATTGCACAATAAACAGTTTAGAACCACTTAAAGTAGGCTGGAAGGAGCTCGATGTAGGGTGTCATATAAGTAAACCAAAAAAAAACTCCTCACGGCCTGAATGTCCATCTTCGAATCGGTGCTGAATTGTAACAAAATCAACCCATTTCTGAAGCGGATGGCGACTGGTGATGAAAAGGGGATCACTTAAAGCAATAAAAAACAAAAACGGCCGCTGTCGAAGGGCAGTGAAATGGCACAAATCGGCTTCAAGTCAGAGTTAATGGTCAAGTAGGGTTTGATATGTGTTTGGTGGGATTGTCTTGGAATCATCCACCTAGAGCTACTCCATTATGGACACACTTCTCATTCGGAGCTATACTGTCAGCAAATGGATCGTTGCTTATTTAGGAGATTCTTACACATCCACCACTTATACTCCGTACCTCGCACTAAGTGAGTGCCATCTTTTGGCTTCAAGAGAATTCTGTGAAAAGTCCCATAATCCCGATAGTCCCATTTTTTGTTCATAGGGACAAGGACTTTTAAGAGGCATAATGATATTATCTTCAAAATAAATATTCTACATAATTCGAATAATTCTACCAATGGTAAATAAAGCCATTAATTTATTTTAGATTAAAATTGCAAATTTATATTCCTTGGCTAGAGCACCAACCGGTTCATTCTGATGCTACTGAGAATTATCTAGACAAACCAATGTATGGAGTTAGCAAAACACAGAAATCGTCGTATCATTGCATCCGTCATATTTCTCCATTTCCTACTCCCAAAGTGTAGAACATACCCAAAGGAAATGCTTTAAAGTTTCAGGGCTCTCTCCCACTTCTGCTAAAGTCGTTTGATGGCACGCCTAGTCTCTCTGCGTGTCTGCTTAATGGGAAATATCCCATAATGATAGTAATAGTTACTGCCTCCTTAAGTTTTAGCCCGCTAAGCCCTCGTAAACTTTTTACATTATCTTAGTCACATTGCAATACTTGAGACTCTTCCATCTTAAGTTCGCATCTACGTCGAATATCTCTCTTAATAGTTTACAAATGGGGAGAGTGGCATGCCCAGCCCAGGCTTTTCTATGGTGGCGAAAGCTCGTTCACCATGTCATTATCTGGCAATGTTACTATGCCTTGGCTCCTGTACTATGTTTGCCATGACCTACCTTTCCATATTTGGGAATAAGAACAATTCTCGATTCTCTCCATATTTTCAGTATATAGCTTAAGCTGAATACTCTTTCTTACCAGGTATATGTATAATACAAATTCGGTCTCGTCATGCAAAATATGCCATTACTGGTGCTTAAACTTTCGTTATTGGTTCCGATGACCTGGTTATAGATGCATCGCAAGATATTTTTTATTGTTCTATAAATATCTGACCCAAGGATTTCCACTTCCCTAAGGCATTAAAACGGCTCTCATGTCGGCTTCTTTTTATCCCTAGTAAGCCTAGGTGAATAAACTTTGTCCAGAGCGTTTGAACAGACACTGGCTTGGTTCTGTGTTATAGAACTTTGTTATTGTTGTTGTAACCGCAAAAATGTTCCCAAAGTATTTTTTGGAGAATGTTGCAGGAGTGACAGTCCTTGGCCGGATAAAAATCCGGGTCGTTCTGGTTTTAAGATCCGACTGTCGAGGGAACTATTGGACTTATGCAGGTTCATATGACAGGCTTGCCTTACCACGGGTAAATTCTTGAACCCCTAACCCGCAAGGGGTATAGAACTTTGTATTGCTTTTCGGTTTGATCGTCTGTAAGGGTCGACATAAGACTTCGAAAATATGTTTTTTCCAACCTGAGCCTATAATATAATAGTTAAGAATTACTATAAGCCAACATACATTGGACTAGAGATTGTAAATTTTAAGTTTTCATCGTAATAAAGTGGGAAAGGATTGCGTAGGTAGATTATTTTCCTTATGCTTCTACATGTTTTAGCTCAAATTGTTTTTTTGCTCTTTCACTTCATTACTTTATGCTTTCTCTGCTGGTATCGCAATAATACAAAGGGTGTTTTTTGGACATGTAATCCTCAAGAAGAAATAAAGCGCATAAAATTTAATGTTAAGGTCGCATTATTATAAAGGTAAGGGTTTGAAATTATGATTTAAAAATGGTTTCGGCTTGATTCGAGTGAATCCCAGAGTAGAGAGACCCATTTTCGACCACCTTTTGCAGAAATTGAGGCCACATTTCAGCAATAATGTACCGAATGCTCACATCCAAGTCGTGACTTGCCTCATGCTAAATAACTCCAGCGATGTTAAACGCACGATTTTGGAGACCACGCCACAGGCTCACGACGCAATATGATGCGCTCATCAGAAGCTTCTTCTAATAAATTGATTGTTCCGTTGGCTGTATCGCATGTATTTGTATATATGTAATACCGCCTTGTTGGAATGAAAGGTCATCCACATTAACATCCACCAATTCAAGCACGTAAAAGTCTTTAATCATAGCTCCCCATTGCTTGTAGTACTATAAACGGCTTCATTTTGAATAAAGAATGACTTTTTAAGTAGGTACGGCGTATCAACAATGGCTTGTCGATTATCATCACTCCAACCAAAAGTGAGCTTCATCACAAAATTTTCTTGTGGAATTCGAAATCGATGAACATCTCGTCTTGGGCTCATTCACAGATATGCGACCCGCAAACAAGGATCCGCCCCCAAAATCAGCCATGAAGTGGATAGGCACAGCAAGCTCAAATTATTGTGCGTGATGGCGGATAAACTCATACGGGACTTCTTTGATACTCTGCTCCAGAGTAGAAATAGCGTCATCGATGCGCACTGTAAGGCATCTCTGAGTATGCATATTAACCACTAGAGTAAGCGTGGTGCGAAACCGATCCATGATTGCTCGAATTACCGATTCTGCTGGGGGATTATGCCGACTAAATATTGGTCACAGCGCACGATGCGTCGCCTATTCCGAATTATATTTTTTGTAATAAATTTTCACGATTTGCAAATATTGTTCGGGAGCAAGTCCGTTCATTGTCAATGTCAAAAATACTTCCAAAATCAAACCAAAAACACCCTTTTTTTAGTATTTTCGCTTTAAATGCATTTTCCTGACAGTTTCATTGATAATTCGCTACAGATTATGCAGATTATTATAAAAAAGCAATAAAAAATACAATACAAACAAATTATGCTTTATTAAAGCGATATTTGTATATATGTATATGAGTGTATGTAAACATTAATTGCCACAAATATGGTATTATTTCGCCAGAAATATATTTTATTTTGCAATTCATTGTTTTCTTTTTAATTACATTTATTTACACGCTACGAAATTAAATTATCTGCAAACATTGTAAACATGCATACAAACATATGTATTTGCATAGATACTTATGCATAGCTACATAAGAGTAATCGAGTATTCGTGCATAGAGATGAATGTGAGCTGTTCAATTACGGAAACACGGTTTCACTGTGTAAATAAAACATTTTAATTGAAATTTTATGACTTCGTTATGGTTGTCCACAGGTTTGTGAATTTTCGCTTCACCATAAACTCGCACACAGCACATACACACCTATGCATATGTACGAGTAAATGTATTTTCCGCTTGCACATTTACTCGTACATTTCATTGATTTGACATTCCGTTGATTGGGATCGCCATCGAAATTGCAAATTTAATTCTTTGACACCTAAAATAACGCCACTGGTGTACGGTGACTGAAATAATGCTAATTTTAAAATTGAAATTTGCACTGATTTTACTGCATGTATTGTACATACACATGTATATACAAATATTGTAAATTAATCCTCCGCTCTGCTTGTCGCACGACCCACATACCAATAGAGTAGCTGCTGACCAATAACCGACCGCTTTGAGCAACCGTTTAATTATTACAGACTACACGTATGTAAACGTCGCTCGTGTGTGGATATGGCAAAACTGTCATTTATTGCTCGTGCCCTAAAC